GGGGGGGGGGGGGGGGGGAGGCTAAAGAAAACACGAACTATTTATCTTTCTTCTACATATAAGATTTGGGCACTTTTCAAAGCGCATTTGCGCCGCATATTAAAACAAAATAACCTTTAAAAATTATTTGGAAGGAATTTCATAGGAATCAAAAAGGACGAATTTCACACAATCACAATCGAGAGCAGACAGGTGTTTAACACTTAGATCTCTTCAAGTTGAACTAGCGCATAAATCGCGGATGAAGTCATTCGTCCTTCGGACAACGCTCAACTAGATTACGAGATACGACTATTTCAACTCCTGAGCCGCTCAAATTGTATCTGTGGAGTTGAAGGCGAACTTGACTTCTCACTCCGATCGGATATGAGTGAGAGAAGGGGGCTCCTGCCAAGATGCTGCGAGAGGGGTATATTTCTAGACTACTCACTTGTTTCAGTTATTTTTGAAGAGCTCCCAACCAAGCCACGCCCACAGCTTGAAAAATAGCATGACGGGCACTATCACTATCGATAGAAGGGCGTAGTACTCAAACGTGGTTAGATGAAGCTCGTCGTCGACCATCGTTGAGGATCATGACCAGACGGAGATGGTGAACCGCCGAGCGCGCCTCTTCGCTGAGTCCATCGGGGTTCCAAATCAGACCTGAGAGCAAAGAAATGAAAGAACAATTTTAGTTTACTCCATTGAAAATAACACACACATCGTCACCTTCCAGGCAAAGTATCACAAGCGCCATGCGACGTTTAAAAATTTCCGCCGCCATTTTATTTTTTTACAGAGAAATTGTTCAACGAAGCTGTCCGAAAATTTCACTGAATTTTCTTTGTGCTGCCGATAAAATTTAGTGAAATTACCAAACAGATTCAACCAACAATTTCTCAGTAAAGAAATAAAATGGCGGCGGAAATTTTTAAACGTCGCATGGCGCTTCTGATACTTTGCCTGGAAGGTGACGACATGATGCCATCAGGGTGTCTACAATCAAACAGACTGGTCAAAAATAAGTACTTTTACAGTACTTTTTCAGTACATTCTCAAGGAATTCAGTAGCTCCTCCGACAGAAAAAATCCGTAATTTTTCAGTACCTCCATTTGACGAATTTAGAAAACTTTAACAAATTTGAAATTTCGACAAAAATGACCAAAAATTTAGAACGATTCCGGACCTGTTTGCGGAATTTCCGCACTTTTTCAGTACTTCCGGACCGCCCTTAAAAAATCAGTGCTATTTCCGGACTTGTAGACACCCTGGCCAAGCAGCTATAAAGAGATATTTTTAAATACTTAATATCAACAGAATGATGTTGAAAAATAGTTGAAAGTATTTATGTTTAAAGAAGATCTTCAGCTTTTGCGCAATGTATTCTGGGTACGATCGATGTATCTCAAATTTTAACCTTTAGGTGGATTATTTTGGGAAAACTAAATTTCAGTCAGTAGATAAATCACTGAAGAATGTTCCTGTCGAAAATCATCTTTCAAAATCTTGAAACAAAATCAAAAGGACTGTTTTCATTTTGCAGCCCATTTCAATGTATGGATATCGATGGTTCTTTGGAAACAGTACTTTTGACTTCGTTTTGAGATTTTGGAGGGTGATTTTCGGTACGAACATTCTCCAACGATTTATCTGCAGACTGAAATTTAGATTTTTCCAAAATAATTCACCTGGTTAAAATTTGGGATACATCGGTCGTACCCAGAATGCATTGCGCAAAAGCTGAAGATCCACCTGAACATGAGAACTTATTGTCGACATAGCTTCAAAGGTGAAAGGTCTGCGGTAGAGGTGACCGCGTAGTCTAAAATGGCGGCCATGTTTCAACTGGCGTCAAAACGTACTTACTGAGAAAAAAAAAAGAAAATCGGGCCATGCGAGTAATATCAGATCATTCCTTTATTTCACAAACCTCAGAATGCCTTGCCAACTCTACGGAGAAAACTGCAATTTTTCCGACAAAAACGAAGACTCTGTTGTGTGGAACTTTAAATCATAGATATTTAGGTGAAAGAGAGAGCCGTGTAATGACTTTATAGTTGCCCTTAAGGATGCATCCAATCAAACTTAAATCGTTTTGATCCGTTTAAAGATATCCGTCATTAACTTATTTTTCATTTTTTTGGCTGATTTTTCCTGACTCGAGATCCATATAAGAAGCGAACAGTGCTCTAAGTTTAGGTACCTGGTGTCAGGTGTCATACGCAAAATGCGCCTAAAAATCAGACCTCGGCGTCAGAAGATAAAGAGCACTGCACCAACGCACGAAAAGAAGAAAGGTAAGGTAAATTGGATTGCATTTCGCAATTTGGAACTATAAATTTTGGCTCTTCTGGAAAAACACGTACGTGCATAGGAAAACTAATGGCACATACGTTGTTTTTAAACCGGGCTAGAATTTATAGTTCCAAATCGCAAAATGTAGTCCAATTAGCTGTCCTAGTGAGTGAACCAAAGTTGAGCCGATTATTTTCCAAATAACGTAAACGCCAAAATTACAAAAGCGAGAAAAACGAGAAAAACCGTTTCATTCCCTTTGTTGACGATCTCCGAATTCCAAAAATGTATGTTTTTCAGAAGGCTATTTTGAAAACAGATATGATTGATTATACCAGAGAAAACAAAGAAAAAACAACCCATACCATTAAAATGGAGATTGGCGCTTGCGTGATTTGGAAAGTAATCGGTTCAATTAATATCTGCTGCAAAAATGCAATTGCGCTACCTGAACAATTTCCCGTTACACCGTCAACAAATTTTTACGACTCCAAAAAATTTGCAAACGGCTTTCAACATTTTAAAGTGTAATTAGAACACTCAGGGGAAGTAACTACCCGATCGCGCTTGGAATGAGAGGGAACGTGATTGAAACTTGACACAAAAAAGGACACCGTTCTTAGTCCGCGTAACAATCAACAACGTAGAAAAAATGTCACACCTGGCAAACTCGACACTGACGAAAATGAGACACATTAAATTTTTGGTTACCATGGAAATTTTTGCGGCATCATAAGTTGAAGGTGTGCTGTGAGCACTTGGGTCTGTTAGATCCTAGTTGAATCTTATCAGTGGTGGTTGGTACAGTATAAAAAGATATAGATGTTTAAGATTCGATGAAGTGGTTATGTTTGTGGCCTTTCACCTCCGATGTAAACTTTTTCCTTTATTTGTTCTTACAAAAACAGGTACGCTTGATCCCTCTACTTTTCACTTGATTTCGCTCGCGGAAACGTTCTCATTACGAGTTGTCACAGAATGTATCGAAGCTAAATCGTCGTTTCCCGCACGAAGGAACGTAACTGCATTTCAATGTTGCCAAATTTCCCTTCGTAAATTGCATTTTAAACAGAAAAATCTTGGGCATTTCTGACTAAAAATTTCACAGATTTTTCTTCAGATTTCATGCAAAAATCAGACAAATTTGGATAAAAATTGCACACTTACATTTTTGTAAAATAAATTAATTGTTGGAGTCAATTTGGCAACCTTGGATTGGAGTTACGTTCCTTCGTGCGGGAGACGACGAAATGTCAAAAGCACGATGTAAACATAACCTCCGCGTCAGGGAGCTTAAAAGAGATTCAACCATCCGCTTTGTGTATAGTTATTAAAGGCATGTACGAGAAGGCGAAAAACAATGGAATTTTAAAGGAAACTCAGCTTAGAGTTGCCACGGGATTTAGATAATGAAATTTCCTGACATTTCCCGGTATTTCCAGACCGTGGCAATCCTGTCAGCTGAGTATAAAACATTTATTAAGGACTTGGCACACATCAAACCTATGCGTGCAGTTAAAGATGCTTATCGCGAGACCAAACGTATTTTTTCGCTTTTTTCGCACTGCCACAGTCTAAATAATAGAACATCCATCCGAAGATTTCTCCAATTGAGGGTAAAAAATACTCAAATTTTAATGCTAAAACCGTTAAAATGACTAAACGTTAAGGCTAAAACTGTGTGTTAACTACGTTTCCATTGTTATCACCTGTAAAGAACTTCCAACTTTTAAGATGGCTGTCGCGATCGTGAAAGTCCGAGCGAGGCTGCTACCTTCAAGGTTACCACAGAATTTAGAGAATGAAATTCTCTGACATTATCCTGATTTCCCTGACACATTTAGGTGAAATTCTTGGAGGATTGAAGATATGCCAGATGGTTAGAAATACATGATTAGAAATTTTTGCAGGAAAAATGTGTTGTTCGAAACGTCAAACCCATACTAGAAAACAAGTAAAGGTGCTCATTTTCCCCTGACATCTTCGTCATTTTCGTTGACTTTTTAAAATTCCCTGACATTTCCCGGTTTCCCCTGAACGTGGCAACTCTGGAGGCTGGCTATCTTTAAAGGTGGATTTTTTAAACCGACGATGACAGTGACAGAAATGTAACCTTGGACCAAGATTTTTCGCCCTTTTGTCGCTAATCGCCACAAAAAAATGGATTTTTTTGCCTCTTTCTCGGCAGCTGGGAATTTGATCGACTTGTGCTTGAAAATTGACATAAATAAATCGTATTGGTAGGAAAATTAATTGACTGCATTTTTTATAGAATAGCTTGAAGAGGAGCAGAGATTCTACATCATTTACAGGCTGCTTCAAAGTCGAAGCATGGAGTTACAAAACTTGGAAGAGTCGGGTCGGATGAGGCCTTATGAAGAAATCCAAAATGAAGTAAGGAATAGGTTTTTCTCTTCAATCTCTTCTCGTATAGAATTATCTTCTTTAGTGGCGTGTCGTGTTTTTCTGCCTTTTAAACCTATGGAAATGGATCGATTATGAAGGTATACCTTAAGAATCGATTCTTTACCATAACTTCAAATTTAATAGGAAAATTGTCTCTAATTGATGGAATCCTAACGCTTTTTAATGATGTGCGAGACCCCTAACTCCTCGACTAAAAATTAAGAAAGTAGTGCAGTAACACTGATCCAGCCCCAGCCCCCCTCCCCCTTTATTTAAAAAAATCACGAGAAAATGACCAACGTGTTAGGATTGCTGTAAAATAAAGATGAATATTGGAGTTTGAGTTGATGGACTTGACATGGAGTGCATGGTTTCCTCTGATACCTAATTTTCTTCATTTCATGAAAAATCTAGGAAATAACGAACAAAACATACTTGGGGAACCCGCAAAAACGGCTCAAAATTATTGAGGTTCCTTCCCATTAAACGGACCTGCAGGCTGATTGTTGAACTCGATGGACAAAGCTACAGACAAAGAAGACATAGGGAATATGGAGTGATCCTATTCGTTGAAATGGTTGTTTTCTATAGACTAAGGTAGAAAACGATGGACTAACTATGGGGTCTCGCGTAAGTTGCCGTTAGTTGTCTATTTTATACCTTCTTTGTCTATTGAAACCACCCGCTGCCACCAATAAGATCCTTCCATATCCCTTTCTTCTCCTTTGTCTATCAATTTCAACAATCAGCCCGCTGTTCAAGGATAACCACTGACGTTTCACTGTTCTGATTACAGATGACGAGCGAACAAGAAGAATGGTTCGACGGACCAATCACGGTTCACGGAGGAATGGGCATGGAGACCGATTCCTGCAAGATATGTCAGAAATTCTTACAAACTCGTCGTTTAAAAAATATGTACAAAACCAGATATTATCAATTACTAGAAGAGTTCGAACAGGTAATGAGAATGCATAGGTATTCAAGAAATGGGACTTGGAACATAAACCAACTTCTGAAGCTTCCATTGAATACCTTCATGCGTGTATTTAGGTGGGCTCTAACAGGAATAACAGCTAAAGATTTAATCGACTATGGATACGGTATAACACTTTCGCACAAAACGTGTTTTCTAATCAACATTTTACGCATGAGTGCGTTGAACTTATGGATACGTTTCGAAAGGAACTCATGAGTAAGAAATTAATATTGATAGTAACATTAGAAACAGTTAATTTGACCAAAAGCGAACGCAGCATCACATGATAACGCAACGTTGGTGAAAAATAGAAACTGGAACGCCTTCAATTTTCTAATCAGCAACACGGACATCCGTTAAGAACGAATAATTGCATCCAGGCTTTGACCATTCATTGCGGTTTTGACCACAGGACAGGCGCGTTTTATCTGATAGGAGAATAAATAATAAGATTCCTCAATTTCTGTCATTCGTAGGAATGTAAAGGATGCTAAGGCTAAGGATAATTGTGATAATGATAAGGATAATTATGATAGGGATAAGGATAAGGTAAAGGATATCGTAATTATTCTCTCTTTAGTGGTTCATCACTAAACGGGATGGCAGGATATGATGATTCACGATTAGTCTAGAATGAAACGCATCGTAAACTTATACAACAAAAATAACTTTCCTTGATTTTTCAGACGATCAATTCATTAAAAGCATCGTTTGAGGAAGCAAAGCAATACTTCAAAGTTTTAATTGAAAACCCTTTGGACCTGAGGCCGGAGATACAATCTCACAAGTACTGCGTTACAGTAAGTTATTGTGATCAGTTTCGTTACCTATACCATCTGACCTAGAATATTATTTTAGGGGGAAAAAGGGGGAGGAAAGACAGGTTAGACAACTCCGATGGTTCAAACGCTGGCATTCAGATGAAACATCTTAAAATGTGACCTTCAATAAGAAAAAGAACCTCAGTTACCGGGGGTAAAATTTTCTCGACGAAAAACTCTCATTGGCGTCTTAAAGAGTAAGCTAAGACAATCGAGGGGGTAAAGATGTATTAAAATCACGCGATTTGTATCACGACCCTGGGGATGTGCTGTGGCAAATCAGGATTTGAAATAGTTCATTCTCGAAACTTAAATTTTAAACGGCGAATTTCAACAGGGTTTCCCAATTTTTACCAAATATGAAAATTCCCTAGCTTTCAGGCCACCCAAGGATCATTTTCTCTGCGAAGCTTATGATAAGCTGATACGCTTATCATAACTCATGGGCTTGCGCAGTTATGCAATCGGGAAGATCTGCGATGTTTTTGGCAGGCCACGAACTATAGAAGGACCGAGCTTCATTAGATGAATAATTTTAAAGTTAACGAAGAAAACAATCGGGAAAAATCACGTGCCTCAAACGTTGAAATTGCCTAATTTTTATTTGACTCAGGAAAAGAAATACCTTTACTCTCTCTCGTTTTCCAAGTGAGAAGGAAACCTCTTCTAGAGAAGGAAATCTATTCTAGAAAACAAATAGAGGTGGTTCAACAAATTTTCCCTAACATTTTCGCCATTTTCCTTTAACAATTTCGTCATTTTCCCTGACATTCCCAACCTATTCTGGAAAGCAAATAAAGGTGATTCAACAACTTTTCCGTGACATTTTCGTCATTTTCCTTAACATTTTTGTGATTTTTTCTGACATGGAGATGTTGCATGTGTGAGGAATTCGCGATTTGACTGTTGATTCTTATGTGAAAGTTCGCGAGAAACACGATGGCGCCACAGGCTTCCTCTGAAATCAACTCCCAAGCTCAAAAAAAGCTCTCAAGTTGAGGCCAAAATAGAGGGGATATCCCACCCTACCCTGAGAGTCCACCTCTACATCAAGACAAACTCTCCATGCAAAGATAGGGTGCAAATACATTAGCAGTGATGCCGTGTTTTCAGTTTTAGAGTCCCCAAATGAGGTGGCAGCCCTGTCAATGTGTTTCTTCCCTATCTTTGCATGGAGAGTTTGTCTTGATGTAGACGTGGACTCTCTGGGCAGGGTGGGATATCCCCTCCATTTTGGCCTCAACTTGAGAGCTTTTTTTGAGCGTAGGAGTTAATGTCATACACTGTAAAAAAAGCGAAGTTGCTTTAACATTGTGGGTGTAGAAAAAGAGTGCGACAACTTACAAAATGCTGTAATAACTTCTACAGCGATTACTTTAGCAATTTCAAGATGTAAAACTAACTGCCGTATTGGGTAATTTGGCATTTGTATGAGTTCTCGCACACTTTTTTACATCCAGAATGTTAAATCAACTTCACTTTTTTTTCGGTGTAGAAAACTAGTGGCACCATCGTGCTTCTCGCGAACTTTTACATAAAAATCAACAGTCAAATCGCAAATTCCTCACACATGCAACATCTCCATTAAACCTTTTTAATTTTCTTGTCCCTTCAGAACCAGTTGGCCGACCAATGCACTGAAAACGCGAACCTGCACCTGGAGATCCGAAAGCTCAACAGGCTGCTCCGGTCGGCAGAGGAGGAACAAGAGAAAGAGCGCTCCCGGTGGCGACGGGCACTCGAGGAACGCGAGCGAACGATCACAACCCTCCGCGACAACATCTACTATTTCATTCGGAAGCTCAAGTTTAAGAGGAACCCAGGGGTCGGCCTCGGCGGAGTCATCAAACGGACGCGTTTCAAACGCAACATCAAGAACATCCTATCAAGCAACACGAGCAACATGTGCAACGTCAGGTTGTTCGCGGGGAAGCTGATAAGTCCGGATAGCAGTAACGTTAACTATCATTTTTACTATAAGAACAAGTTTGAGGGAAGCAACGCGGATTTCCAGAGTTCTCTCCAAGTCCCTTCCGAGAGCTCCCAGGCAACTCTCATGCCGCTGACTCTCCACGCTTCTTGTGATCAGGTAAAAATTCATGGTGTCTAGTTTTCTCGGCAAAGCTCATTCCCTGATTTTTCCCTGATTTTCAGGAGCTCATTCCCGGATGAGAAACCGAAGTTTTCTCCCATTTTCCCGGGGTTTTCTTGAGGAAAGGAAAATGATTTTCCAGAGTTTCAAATATGAATATAGATTTTAAGTAATCTTACAGCCATTTCTTGGCGCACATTCAAAATTTTCATTCAAAAAATGTTCCTGATGTTGATATTATCTGGTCAGTGAAAGCTTCTACATTATTCCCGGTTTCTGGAACAAATTCCCTGATTTTCCCGGTTTCTGGAACAAATTCCTTGATGTTCCCCTGATTTTCCCGGTAAATTTTCATTCCCTGATGAATCCCGGTTTTTAAAGAATTAGACACCACAAAAATTCGTATTGTAATGGGTCAGTTGCCCTGATCATGATCGCGTTTTATCGCTAAGCTTATAAATCAGCACAAAGCAATAAAATCTATCCAGACGCCAAGTTTCTACAGACAAATTGACGGATATTATGTGTTGTTGGGAGCTGATCTAGGCTGATCCAGGATCAGCAACCACCTTCTCGCGGAGGTGAGGGGAACTAAAAAGCAACACATGACAAAATGCTGAGCTAAAGATATTTTCAGAGAAACTACAGTGAGAGAGAAGTACAAAGTCATGAATGCTACAAGGATGAGGAGCACACACACTTGGCATCCGAGCGTCGCACAGTGGATCGAGTCAATTAGAAAGGTTGGACACGAAACTCCTTACTAAAACTGCGAATTTGTAAGTATATTTTGTCACGTTTTAAATTTCAAGGGATGCATTAAGAGGAAAATTTCACGCGAAAACCAATGAAACCACTTTTAGAACCTCAAGGTTTAGTATAAACGGAGTTATAAGCGTTTAAAGTTTCCAAATTTTGTCCGACCTCTCCTACTGACTCGATCCACCGTGCGTCGCACGCAAGTGGAATGGTACCGTGTACTTAAGGTAATCCGATGGACGCCATATTTTGTGTCAGAACGGCATGCGATATATCGCATCAATTGGTTCCATTTTTTCAGCTACTCGTCATTTAATCTCTAATTTTGAGATCGCAATTCTGTTGTCAGGAGACTAAAGCACTCACTTACCAATTTTAACAAAGAAATTCAACGTAATAAAGGCGGGTTTTTTTTAGAGAGAAAATATCGCATTCGAGTGCAGTTTCGATATCAGCATCGAATGCGATGTTTTCTCTCTAAAAAAAAACCACGCCTTTATTACGTTGAATTTCTTTGTTAAAATTGATAAGTGAGTGCTTTAGTCTCCTGACAACAGAATTGCGATCTCAAAATTGGAGATAAATGACGAGTAGCTGAAAAAATGGAACCAATTGATGCGATATATCGCATGCCGTTCTGACACAAAATATGGCGTCCATCGAATCACCTTAAGGAGCTTGCCGCGCAAGAGTAGAGACTCACCGTGTAAAAATGTAAGGGCCGGACGAGAGTTGACACACAACAGGTCAGATGGACCCACTGAGAGAAACTGATGGGGATGAGAGAAAAGTGCGAAGGGAGCCGTGCTTGATCGGTAGCGAGGGCGGGCCAAGGGTTGCTCTGCCCGCGCAGTGACAAAAGGGAGTCCACGACATGGGGGAGGAAGACATTGAATATTGAGCAGTGTTGACGCGAGCAGACAACTGTGCTTTGTGCCCTCTGATCGAGACAGCGAGATAGAGGGCGACGCGGGGAGCTCTCTATTGTGCTGGTTACACGCTCAAATTTCCATCGATTTCCGATCGAATGGTGACTGGTGCGCACCATCTACCATCAAATTTCTGCGGCCTACAAAAATTTGATGGTAGATGATGGAGCTGTGGGGCTCATCCTTCATCTGATTTCCGCACAACCGTGCTTATTTCAATCAACAGGCTGTTTTAATTAATTTTACTCATCAATCTAGATAACTCTCGACCGCCATCTTGGTCATCATTTTGATCGGAATTTGACGGAAATTTGAGCGTGTGACCAGGCCATATCACGCACAATATTCGCTCATTAAATAACATGATCCATGACGTCATCCTCTGCGGCTGTGCATACCATGGTTTCTTCCACCTGTTATATCCGTGTTTTACGTTGAGCAACCAGTGTAGTAAATGTGTGTCTTGCTGATGAATAAAACTAAGGTGGAAGAAACCATGGAATGTGCAATCGTGATACGCCATGTTTTACCCTAAGACCTATCCCTAAGTAGACCTTAAGACTCTAAGGACCTAGAAACTTGGCGTTTGATTAGACTCATGGTTTTTTGCTAATCTATAAGCTTAAACAATCAAAAAACAGTTCTGCAACTAGCGCAACTTACTAATCATTATCAAGGTCATTGACAACTATTCAAAAGCAGGACAGTTAGGGAGGTTCTCGATGGAAAACCACAGGACTTTGACTCAAGGTTCGAGGGTTTCTGCAAATTTGTCAAAGAATGTCTAAATTGAGTATACAGAAATGGTTAGCCAAAGATGCATATTTCATTTTTATCTATGGTAGCTAATGCATTTTAGGACTTACCCCATCTTCAGAGCATTATATTTGGTGGACATGATTCAAATATCTAGGTACAATTTCATGTTACAATTTTGAGAATAATGTTGATTCATAAAAAACAATAACAGAACAGTGAAGGCAGTGACAATAACTCGTCACCTTCCGAACGAAGTATCACAAGCGCCATGCGACGTTACATTTCCGCCGGCATTTTATATTTCACAGAGAAATTGTTAGTTGAATCTGTCTGGAAATTTCACTGAATTTTCTTTGTGCTGCCGGTAAAATTCAGTAAAATTTTCAAACAGATTCAACCAACAATTTCTCTGTGAAATATAAAATGGCGGCGGAAATTTTGAAACATAGCATGACGCTTGCGATACTTCGGTCGGAAGGAGAAGATTTTCCTGCCCGGAATTTTCGGTTTTTCCAGTTCCTAGACACCACGAACTACCGCCACCCCCTTGTTTTACTCTACGTGTATGTGTCGCAGGCAAATAGTAAAATTAGGCATTTTGTCAAATGCCTAGGCAAATAATCAAATATTCTAACTTAGATTGAAATTCTGCTTCTTTTCCTAATTTTTGACAAAATAATTAATTTCTCCTGTAAGACAAAATTCTCAGTGAAAATTTGCAGCGCACAATAGTATTTTAAACCGTTTTTAGCTCCTGCACAGACATCTGGAAATTTTCAGTATGTCATAAAATACAGAATTTTTAGGATTTCATCATTTAAAAATATGAGAGGCAAATAAAGAGGAAGAGACAAGAAGAATTCGTAGGTTTGATGAGTTATTTTTCCAAAAAACATCGAAAACTTGCGAGCTCTTCGCCATAAATTCAAAAAATTGTATAGACCGTCAAAATTTAACTATCTGCCTAGGCATTTGACAAAATGCCTGATTTCACTATTTGCCTGTGACATATGATGGTGCTCTGTTCGACAGGCATGCTCGCACCGGGCCATCCTCCAGGAGCGTGACATCTCCGAGTGTGCGAGTAGGACTCATTCGCTGCTGGGATCGCTGCCTCGCGCCTCGGACAACGACGAGGAGGAATCCTGTCACTGCGATGCCTCCGAAGTGAGCGCTCCCGAAACGACCGGCACAGACTTCTCACGCAACCGCGGTCTCCCGAGGAAGAAGCAGGATCGCACCAAGCACTCGATAGTCTTCCAGCGAGGCGGCCCGCTGTCCGGGGAGCCGCCGAGGGTAGGGAGTCTGTCCAAGGGAGACGCCGGGAACTTCGGCTGGAAGCGGAGGACGAAGCCCTGCGAGGCGTCTGATGAAGACAGTTCCTCTGCAGGGACGTCCATTTCGGAGGACTTTCTAGGCGGCAACAGTGAGTTGGACGGATTTCTACCAAACAGAACTATGTACAGGTGGGAAAGATGGGATGTGCTCTAGGGACTAGGGTGTCCCTTATTTTTGGAATTTGAGAACAGTTAAGCTCCCCAGGTCTCAAAACGTGCTATGAGGTGTGCAAATGAGGAATGTGTTTTGGAAACAATTTTAAGGGCGTCAGTCGAAAATGTTAATTTTTGGTAGAGTGGATAGTCAATTCTAGGTGAAATTGACGAATTAACGCCTGTAACACAAAAATTTGCTCCGTTTGGTCGTATCTTTGATCGTTCAGCCGAAAACCGACTTAAATGGGCGGGAAGTCGAGCCGCGGCCGCGCGCTGCGCCGGTGTGCTTGTTAGTCGAGGGCTGTAAGAATGAATGGGAATTATAAAGCGCCGATGACGTCAGCGACGACGATCCAAGGCATTAACTCATGAGCCCTGTCCACAACGCTCTAGAGACATGCCCACGGCTCATGAGTCCCGCATATGTACAGTTGACGCATAGTTCCGTTTGGCAGAATGTAAAATAATTCGGCAAACGGAACTACGTGCCAGCTGTATACGAACACATGAGCCGTGGGCATGTGTCTAGAACGTTGTGGACAGGGTTCATGAGTTAATGCCTCGGATCGTCGCCGCTGACGTCACCGGCGCTTTATAATTCCCATTCATTCTTACAGCCCTCGACTAACGAGCACACCCCATCTTTCCCGCCTACACATAGTTCTGTTTGGTAGAAACGCGTCCCGTTTTACTTGTACAAAATGGCGGTATCCAGAATGGAGCTCTTGCACGCGTCGGGGATTGAATACTATTCCGAAAGTAGACTTCCGAGAGGAAGGCTGCACTGGAAAAAAAAAAAAAACATATTGGATATAGAGTCCAGACTCTTAAAAACATCGACAAAAAAAAATACTCTTGATTCAATCGGATTTTTGCTTAAATCAAGAACCAAGCCTCTTAATTTGAGCGGATTACCCTTTGATTTAAGCTTAAATCTGATTGAATCAAGAGTATTTTTTCTTGTCAATGTTTAAGAGTCTGGACTCTAGATCCAATGTGTTTTTTTTTCCAGTGTGTAGTGCCACTCGTTTTCCCTGAAACGAACTCTCTCAAAAAAAAGTTCTCTACGTTGAGGCAATATTGGAAGGGTTCCCCCACGCTATATGCTACACTGGAAAAAAAACACATTGGATCAAGAGTCGAGACTTTTAAAAACATCGACAAGAAAAAATACTCTTGATTCAATCAGATTTAAGCTTAAATCAAGAACCAAACCTCTTAGTTCGAGCGGATTTCCTTTTGATTTAAGCTTAAATCTGATTGAATCAAGAATCCTTTTTCTTGTTAATGTTTTCAAGAGTCTGGACTCTAGATCCAATGTGTTTTTTTTTTTTTTTTCCCCCAGTGTAAACGTCAATGTCCAGTCAAACACTCCTTGCACATGAAGATCAAAATGGATTGCATTTTGCAAAAAGGAACCACTAGCATTGCAATGTTGCTAAGATTGTGCAACTTCTTATGTCTTTGAGGAAAAACCCGATTATCCATTAAGAGTTTCTATTTTACTCGCTGAAAACTGTGAATTTAAGACAAAAATTACCATCTAAATTTCATAGTTTTTCACGATTTCCGCAATTTTTTTTCAAAAGATGAAGTAGCACAATCTTAGCATCATTGAAATGCTAGTGGTTCCTTTTTGCAAGATGCAATCCAAATGTCCAGTAGCAGCGACTGACAATGAGCACCATGAGCCTGCAGCTGCACCCGGGATGGTGGATTAATCCCGGATGTGGTATCCAAATGTTAACGAAGGGGCGCTTGGCGCTCGCACGCGGGTTGCCAGATGTTCGATCTCATCAGTAGGGTTGCTTCGGTTCCAGCCTCGGAGTCCCCGCACAAAGTGGCAACACTGGTAATATATTTGATCCCTATCTTGACGAGGGTATTGACAGATCGTTCCAGGGAGGGTTTAGGGCCCAAAAGGGTAGCCAGCCCTCTGACACACAAATTTTACTATCAATCTTTAGATTCCAATTGAAACCAAGATGGCCAAGAATGTTCATGACGCAGCGTCCATACCGCAAAAATGAGTGAATTTATGCAAAAACTAAGTCAAATACTTTTTTCTGAGTTCTTTTCAGAGAGAAACTAGTGGTACCATCGAGTATCGTGTATGTTCCTAAAAAAAATTATGAAGAAGACCTTAATCGCAAATCCCTGACTCGAGCACGAGTTCTATTCGGGAAATGAAAGCAGGATCCTGTTCGAATATGGAGTTTTTTTCTTTAGATTTTGCCACTTTTTTGGTTTGAAATAATTCTTAAGGCTCATGCGTAGGGGCAATCGTTCGTTTGTTGGCTAAAAATTCAAAATCTGCCGGAATATCTGACTTAATCGATGCGATACGCATCGCACGCCAGGTCGACCATTTTTCTAACACTCGCGGAAATTCTGAAAGGCACCGTGCATATATTTTATTTCCACAAAAAAAAAAACCCAAATACGATATGCTTTATACTGTGCTCGTTACAAATATGGTTACTTACCCCATTCCGCGGAGATTTTTTATCCACAAGTCATGGTAATATAACTATTCAACGCACTGAAAAGGGAAGCAACCCCGAATCAACGCTTTCTGGGCCGCGGCCCGAACGCTACTGATGGACGGCAGGGACAGAACTCGTCCTTATCGACAGCGCCACCCTACCGTATGGAACTAGAAATTGATCTGTTGCTGCATCCTACTCGGTTCCGCTGCAAGGTCTCTCGCCGCGCGGTAGAGCCGGGGAAAACGGTTGATTTAGCATCAATCTCTGAATACAATTTAAAGTCTCCAGTGGTTTAACCGACCAATTTGAGAGAGATTCAAGACTTTCCACCTTTAAATTGTATGAAAAGGTTCTGTAAAAACTCGGAAAAATTCACAGACATGCAGTTTCGAGAAAAAACCCCTGATAACGCGTGATGCAAAAATTTCCTGAATCATTACCCTTCTCTTAGCTCACAAACCCTAGACAACATCTCCCAGATGTCCCTTAAAATTTCAGAGTGAAAAAAATCCAAAATTAACACAATTGGATAATGACATTGCGGGATTTTCCCCACGACGCACACTGAACCGGGTCAATAGGAGGAGTCGGGCAAAATCTGGAAACTTTGGAAGCTTTAAATTCCGAAAGTATTAGACAAAAATGTTTAAGAAAGGCTCGATTGTTTTTTTCGTGAAATTTCCTATCAGAGACACCCCGTGAAATTGAATTTGTGACGAAATAAACATCAAAATTTAAAATTTTACCAAAACATTTCAGTCACGACCTCTTCTAATAGCTCGACAAACTGTGCGACGTTCAAAATAAAAAATTCCCCTCACTTTAAAAGGACTTTTTCAATTTGTTTCATTCTTCGAACTCTAAGTTACCATTTTAATTTGAGGTTTTTTTTTTTTTTTTTTTTTTTAAAAAAAATTATAATGTCTGTTCCAGCTAATTATTCAAGCCAGCGACACGCATACCAATGTCAATATACAGACTCTGACAAAACCTTGACAGAGGATAGTGATCATGGAAGCGAAGAGAGAGGCGAAGAAGTATCAAAAAGGTTTTTGTTGAGGGATTCTTTCGAGCCCTTTGACATTGACGACATCCCTGAAATACTAGCTGCCGGCTTTCCGAACAGGGAACAACTAATAAGTCCTCAGGCAGCGAATGAAACCAATTTGCCGAGTGAGTTTTTTTCGAAACAGATGGAGAAACCTCAGTATGCAACAGTCCACTCACGACTTAGAGCATGTTTGTCAACGGTGCAAGAGATGTCAAATGAATCAGATTTGTCTCAGAGGGAGTTGACTCGATCGAGGGCTATCCAAAGGGTTTACCCATCTTTATCGAGCAGTAGAATGCCCCGAGAACTTGTAGGCGAGGAGACAGAAACAGAGGATGAAGAATCAGAAGAGTTAGAATCGATTTTGGGTTCGGAAGTCGATCAAACGGCGTTTAATAAGTTTCTCGATGGATTAATTAACATCGATAATTTTCCTCTGAGAACAGAATCAGCACCAGCTAAGTTGCAATCGGTGTCTCCCGACCTTTTTTTGTAAAAAAATGTTTACCTGTCAATTACACCCAGTTGGCGAAATTGTCCGGTTTGGAGACTGCGGGCTGATTGTTGAAATTGATAGACTTACGCCGCAATCACACGCTGAATGTGGCTTGAATGTGGAAGTCATCGACCCGATGCCTGAAATTGGCGGATGCCTGATAATGTGGGATTTGTCTAAACTGTTCGAACAGATTTGATACACATTTGGATGAAAATAACTCGAATTAGTGAAATTTTAGCTGTTGAGCGCTGAATGCTGACTGCCGCATTCAGCTTCCAAATTCAGCGTGTGATTGCAGCAAAAGAAGACATAGAGAGTATGGAGTGATCCTATTGGTTGAAATGGGTTCTTGTAGGCTGAGGGAGAAAATATTGGACTAACTATGGGGTCTCTCGTGGGTTGCCGTTAGTCTATTACCTACCTCCTTTGTTCATTGCAACCACTCACTTTCAACAACAGGATCCCTCCATAGCCTTTTTGTTATCTTTGTCTATCGCCTTGTCTAAAAATATCAACGATCAACCCGCCAGTCTAAAATTACGCCAACATCGCCAATCAACGTCGTGGTCGTTAATTTTAAATGCAATCCATACGCTAGGCGATGAATATGCCCTACTGACCGAGTTTTGACTAATTATTCGCGAGATTTTGAACGAAACTTTAAAGTGTCAAAACAATTTGCAATACTTTGTAAAAAATTTACGACTCATTTTTCTTATGTTTCACAAAAGTTCTTCATACAAATTTACGGGTTTTTTTTTAAAATTTTCAACAATTGTCAACATTTTAAAATGCATGTTTCAAATTTACAAATTGAAGGAGCTTCCACTTTACATAGTTAGAACTGACAACGAGTTGAAATCGGTCAATAGGGGGCATTCCTCGAATAGCGTATAAATTGCAGCTAAAGTTAAAATTAAAACTTCATTGGCGTAATTTTCAGACTTCAGACCGGCCACTCCGCACCCTGGCCGCCCAATTCATAGACAGCGGCAATGACATCGGCCGGTCCGCAGACTGAGAAACGAGGATGACCAATCCGAGGACGAGGTAAAAAAATTGTTGAGTCCGCGAACCGGGCAATTTTGCCAACAGGGCATATCATACCTACTGGTTAATTTAATGCGATAGTATTCACTTGGGTATTCGCCGAATTTTAAAGCAAAAGAAAGTAATTACATGTAATTTAGAATTTTAGAAAAACAATTTGTAAATAATGACAATGTGGAAAAAAATGCTCGATAACTTGGATGATCAGTTTCTACGCTCCATGTTTTTTACGTTTCTTCCTTAACAAAAGCCTGTCTCCTCGAAAATGTCGTTCGCTTAAAGACTCCCGGTAAATCTAGGATGCTAGTGATAAGTTTATTTACCGATTGAGGAATTGTCAAATCTATAGATTTTTGTAAGGATTTATTCTGTAAATATAGTGCAAACACATGAAGATACCTTTAAGTTAGAAGCTAATAAACCAATTACAATTTGACTGATTGATTCTTTTTTCATTGTATGTGATCTTCTTTTAATTTAAGAAGGAGGATGTCTTCCTCCCCTGCCATATTGCTACCGAAAAGTAAAAAACGACTGTATCACGACGACCTGGGAGAAAATCAAATCTACTAAAAGTCACAGGTCCAGAAAGTTCTGAGCCTTCTCCTATTTTTAACAAACATTTATAAGTTTGTAGATCCTCCGGGGGACCAAAAATAAAATAAATTTTCCCAAAAGATTAGATTTTACCACCCCTAAAACACTGTAGGTAGCTGTAAAAAGACCAAAAATATCTTCAGAGGTTCAAAAATTTAACCGGCCAAACATTCCACGCGATCCGGGATTTTTTCCTCGATCAACTCTAAAAAACGTCATTTCCCCAAATTTTAAAAAAAATGCCGCTTAGCCTTAAACTTGAGCTTGGAAATCTTCTTCTGGATAAAAAACGAAAAATCAACTTTCTTAGTGGGTGTCAGGAATGCTCAAAACGTCTTCTCAAAAGTCGAAAAGATCGAAGAACGTCTAAAAATTTTCGGAGTCGTTTAGGCAACAAATGTCCTCTTTTTCTCAAAAATTCCTCAGCCTTCGCATGATCGGGCGCAGATTCCGCACCTCTGAAATTTTCACCTCAATATCGCGGAAAATTTCAATGAGAGAGCGTAGATCATTAACAGCAATATTTTAAGACAAGCGAAAAACTAAGATTTTCCTTCATTTCCGCATGATACCACACACCTACACCGGAGTTCGAATAGTTGCGCTCTTGATTTCTTTCATCGTTCATGCAGCGATTTTGTGTAAAAGTGAGATATTAAGCGATTTTCATCACAATCACCGGAAAAAAAACACATTGGATCTAGAGTCCAGACTCTTGAAAACATTGACAAGAAAAAATACTCTTGATTCAATCAGATTTTTGCTTGAATCAAAACGAAATCCGCTTAAATTAAGAGGCTTGGTTCTTGATTTAAGCAAAAATCCGATTGAATCAAGAGTATTTTTCTTTGTCGATGTTTTTGAGAGTCTGGACTTTAGATCCAATGTGTTTTTTTCCAGTGATATCACGAATGGTACGCGAATTTAGCAGCGGATTTATTGCATCATAAGAAATCAGGCGATTTTCGTCTCAGTATCGCGGAAAATACGCAACCGTTTCAGCAATTTTTTAAAACGGTGCAAATTTACGCGATTATCACCTCAATATCGCGGCAAAGACGCGATATTTCCAGCGGTTTTGTAAAATCATAAAACAAATACGCGTTTTTCACTTCAATATCGCGAAGGATACGCGATTTTGATATCGATGCGAGCACAATATCCATACTCGTCAGTGATTTAAGACATGGAAAAGCTAAGATTTTCTTTTCCGGAGTTCAAATAAGTTGCGTGATCGATTTCCTTCTATAACAATATGCGAGCAAGAGAACAGTATACTACAGGGCCGGATTTACTTACTTGCTGCCCACGTGCCGCCTGTATTTTGTCGCCCCCTTCCCATTCGTTATGGAACATCAATAAACGCCATCAAGTGAAAGTGCCGGAGGGGGAGGGGAGGGGTGCATATGACGCGTTTACCCACTCGTGTTGGATACATTTTTTTGCGAAAACCCTGTCAACACGACTAGCAAAATTTCACGGAACTTGAAGCGAAAGTTAAGTTCCGTAAACCTATCTTTGTGTGGACAAGATCCTCCATTTATAAGAAATGAACCAAAAAGTATGAAAGAACAAACATAAATGAGGTTTAATAATTTTAACTTCCGCCGCTGCGCCGCGCCGCGCTGATCGCACTTTGGTGCAATGCGTGAAGTATTCCTGCAGTCTTGTAGGCGCTATGCGTTTCACGCCAACCGCTCCTGACCGCGTGACCGCACTGTGTTTGGCGCAATGATTGAAGTATTCATGCAGTCTTGTAGGCGCTGATAAAAGCTAGGTACATGCTGATCGCCGCGCCGAGGGCTTGTCTTTTTTATCTCAAGTCCTCGTCATCATTCCTCTCTGCGCTGAGCTCCAGGCAAAATTGCGTCTTTAGTTCCTCTCTTAACTCGACTAATTAAAGATGCTGTCTCTTGTATCACCGAAAAACGACAAAATTAGAAATTACTATACTCTCAGGAAAAAGAGATTTTGTTTCCTTTTCTTATTGATAATTTTTTTTTCTGAATCCGATTTCTTGTATACCTACATTTAAAAAAATGGCAAAATTTGCCGCCCCCTAAAAAAGTGAGCAATGGCGCGATATTCATCTTAGAATCGCAAGAAAGCCGCAAGACCTCCAGCGAATTCGTAAAATCATGAGAAATCACGCAATTTTCATCTCGGTCTCGCGAGAGACGCGCGATTTTTATCTCAAATCGACGGTGGAACACCCTGACCATGAATCTCGTTTGCGATGTTTAAAAATCTCTGCCCCTTTCATTTTTTCAGAGGAGACAAACCAAAATCTTCCTTGCAGTTTTCACAGAATTTTTTTGGCACAGAGAAGAAAAGTCATGGAAGTTCTTAAGAGCTGACATTGGGTATAGTATTCCATTTAAAGAATTAAGAACGGCAGGAAGTCTGCAACATCGCAAACCGAGATACATAGTTTGGGAGATTCACCATCGATATATTAAATCCCTCAGATAGTATACCTCATACGGCTCCCTAATTTTATTCAGCCCACAGAGGTTCCCTCATAGCTGTCAGTTTCGATCCCCTTGCTGACTAATAAATCCTGGAAGCAGCATACATTGAGGGAACTGCTCCAGACATTCGCGCTACCCTGAGGGTTTAACCTCAGAACATTGACACCTTCGTATAGATTCATTCCTATATTAAACAATGAAAAAAGCTAAGTGCTACGACTTAGAACAGCAGAAATTGTTGTGAATTCACACAGGGGAAAAGTCGCAGTAATTAAATACAACTTTAAAGTTAGTTCAATTACATGATTTTGCTACCCAGTCTTTTCACCCAGGCGATCTTACCGTACCCTCACAGAGCAAAGACTTGCCTCAGCACAAATCGAGAATCTAGGTATGTGTACGCAATAATCTCTTACACTCCTGGGAAAAAAGCATCAGAAAGTGACTTCAACTGGGCACCAGCTTAGATATAACTGTAACGTATTCAGTGACTGTATGCAATGACATCAAATCTAACAAGAAGATGTTTTTCCTATCCAGACCACAGTGGAACATGATGGAAACGATGCATCAAAGTGTTTCTAGTCATAGATCCCAAGCATGCTCCAATCGATCATATTCGATAGTGGTTCAATGTATCGTTCGGTCCAAAACAATAGAACATAACCTCAAACCAAAATGTTAGGATATTAGCCAGAAAAGCTGAAAATCAGAAATTTCGTAGCAATTTTACTACTTTTGGCCAATACAACTCATACCATAGAGTACAGTAGAGTTGCAATGTTCTGAAGCGCCGATGAAGTCACTTTATGAGGCTGCTTTGTCCAATACTTCTGAGACTGGTGTGCAGCGACTGGCGATGCCGTATGCGCGAGGTCCCAGCTCCGGTCTTTGCTCAGAAAATACAGGTATAAAATTACTTTCATAAAAACCAGGAGTGTTGTACATTCTTTATTTTGTTGTGACTTCAGTGAACACAATTTGCCGAAATACTCAGAAAGAATGATTGATTTAAATGAATAAATCCCGATTCTCGCAGGTTCCTGCGATTCTCCCATAAGCGCAGTGTTAAAAAATGCCGAACAGTTCCCACTTTCCAATGAACAGGAGGCTCGAAATGGCCTGTTTATAGATTGACTTCATCGGCACTCCAGTAGGTACATTGCGACTCAATTGTACTCTATGACTCATATGCATCAAAAGTCTATCATAAAAAACGCATCCGTCAGAGAACTCAATTGACTTTTGAGGCTATGTTTATATTTTGAACCAATCAATATCGATACAATCTTAACCGTTTGATGTATCAAATATGATCTGTTGAATGTTGGACCGCTATCCCGAAATGGTTATGGATCACAGTCCAAATTCTCGTTACTTTCCACTGGATCTGTCGTGGACCGAGGATTAAAGAAGCCCCTCATCATGAGGAAATCTTCTCTACATGCCACAACTGGTTTTAGTAACAAAAACTGAATTAAATGTAACTTACCGAGAACTGATGAGCTGATCAAATGCACTCTAGCAAAAGGATACTTCAGGAATTTGTGAGACAGAACTGAAGCACAATCAAAGGGAGAAAACCGGCCGTGGGGATTAGTACGGATTAGTGCAGCAGCAGCTGCACGATGCACTATGCACTTTGAATTTGAAGTGTGCTGAACAAAGACACAAAGATAACAAAGATTGCAAAGATCTGCCGATAAAGCGGTGTTGACGTTTGTGTGAGGAAAATGACTATTGTGGAGAAGTAAAATTACAAGCTTCGACGTGGCAACAATGTAAAAGCCTGCGTTATCAGTTGCAGTTATATTTTTGTAAACAATTGACACAGCTGTCTGTCTGCTGTCTGTCAAGTGAGTTTGCCATGGACGAATAATTGTGTGTTTTTTAGCTATAGTTTTGTTTAATTTCTTGAGTATTTCACGGGTATGATGAAAACCACCTGTCAATGGAATTTTAAATCTGTCCAGTCATATTTCAAGCTTTTTGCTCTAGTTCCCCAAGACTCGCTGCTATCCACTGTCTTTCTCATGAGCGATGAATGAACTTTGAGCTCCTACCTGTTAGTTGTTGATCAGTTTTGAAAAGTCAGGCAAATGTAAAGTCAACAATGTATTTTACGTATCTGCCGTCTTTTATAATGGGACTCATGTACGCGCTATTATAGCCTCATCTTTCAATCGACATGATTTCTCCTAATTTGGATCCAGTTTGATCTTGCTACTCTACCGTTTGATGGGTCGTCACACTCTCATTTAAGATGCCTTTGATTGATATTTTCAAAAGGGCATCTAAACTTGTGTTAAATTTACAACATGCTGATGCTGTAACATCCTATGAAGAAGGCGAAGTTGTATTCTGTGAGTATTCCAATCAAGCAACCTTACTCTTGATGATACCATTACCTCCTCTGCCATAATAGCAAAGAGAGTAAGAAGTGCATTTATGTAAGAGCCATAATTAGCACATGCTTTTATGTGTCTCGAAGTTCATCCTAGCATGCACTTACTGCTCTCTTCGCTATTACGGCAGGCCTGGCCAAAGTATCACTAGCACCATTTAGTCTGGACACTATGTTACGGGACATCTCAATGCTTTCTCTCTTTTTCATTTGAGATGCAATTTTACCAAAAGGATTCTGCACTATAGAAACTTGAGAGTTAAAATTGGGTCCCAGTAACATCGTAACCTTTAAGAAGAAAGGTTTTCCTCTGCTGATCGAAGAATTCATGGTCGAATTTTGTCGTAGAATATAGTTGCCTCTCAGATCTATCGGAAATCAAAGCTAGGCTAAAGTCCTTTATAATGTGGCATAAAATTGGGCAATCACTGATACCTTTGAGCATCATCTTGTTATGCGTTGAAACCATGAGCATTCGTAGGTCAAAATATACGAGCCCGTTTCAGATAACTTCTCTTCTACTTCATGCGCAGGATAGGGAATTACTACAAAAGAGGGAAAGTTATCTGAAATGCGCTCTAAACAGCTCTGCATTCAAAGGGAACTGATATGTGAAAACGAAACCTCTATTTCTACGCTGTTGCGTAAATGGATACCTATCAAATATATTTTACACAAAAATTTACCTATGAGTAGAGAGCTGCATAGTTGCAATCAGAGATAAGTTCGTATTTTTTCAAATTTAGCTGTTGACATATCATAGCCGATTGGTGTTTATTCTCATTTAATTCTTGTTTCAGGCAAAAACAATGTTTGTGTTCATCCACCAACTATCCTTCGTCAAGAGACCGAAATTATTCATCATCCTGGATACTTGACCATAAGTTGCCAACGTATCAATAAGTATTCTGAACTTGATAATTGCAATGATACAACTCTAATTTTAACATGGATTCCGAATGCTACTTTGCGAAAATGTCCATCATCTGTCGAGAAGCTGTCGGCCAAGGGAAGGTAAGTCAGATTATCTGTACAACCCGGGTAGATTCTGTATGAAACCCCATCTGTATTGAGCATTTCAAGAATGCAAATAACTTGATAGAAAAAAAAAAAGAAAAAATTCATACTTTTGGTTCAAAATGACAAATGTCATTCAGTAGAACCGGTTTTCTTGGCTTTCCCTATTTACATATCCAATCTTTTCAAACTTGGCTTTGGCAAAAGACAGTATTTATTTGTTGGTTCTTTACTTATTGCTTATTAAAAGCACTCCCGATATTATTACAAGTATTTATGAGATTAATACATGCAATATGAAAGGTCACACTTAAAAGACTTAAGAGGAAAGAAAGATCACTGAGATGAGTCTAACAAGAAAAGTGGTGTATATATCGATGGTGTAAGTCGGCAATCACATAACTCGTTTTGTGACGTCACAGAGTTCCTATCATACTTGATTTTTCAAATGGAAAACTACTCAACAGCAATTATTTAAAACTGCCATGATTTTTCCTCTCTGTGCAAAGAAAATTCTGCAAAAACTTCAAGGAATGATGTCAATTTGTTCTCCTTCATAAAAATACCTTAGAGGCGGAGATTTTCAGACACCGCAAACGAGATATGTGATTGCAAACTTATGCCTTGGATATGTTCCTTCTTCCTCTCTATGTTTTAATAGTGTGTTAATAATTTCTGTAAGATTCTATTTCAATAATATTTTTATTTTTGTTTTCAGGAAAGAGCAAGGTAGCAAGATCAGCGCTAGTCCAAAATTTGATTCCCTGTCTCCAAATCGTAAAAATTCAGTGCAGAGCGTGTCATCTTATGACAGCCATGAGTCAGCACTGTCCTATTCTCCATCCTTTGAGTGCAGAGATATTCTGAGAACCAAAAATTCAGTTACCAGCTCAAGAAGTCATTTATCTGAACATTATGATGGCGTTTCGGTCGGCAGTATTCAGGAATCACTCAAAAGTAACTTCAGTGATAAGTATAGTCTCCAAGTAGATCTCGTAGACAACGATGAAATTTGTAGAATCACCATGGAAGAGGCCAGTTTCACGCCTACGAATTGTAAAGAAAATCCTCAAACAGATGATATGTGCTCTAAGAAAATGTTTAGTACTTCATCTGCAAATGAAGATAGTAATCCAAAGGATTTTGATGAATCTGTAAGTAGATATTCAGGAGGCAAGGGAAACATTGCCTCCCAAATTATTTCATGTGCCAACCATTACAATGATAGTTGCAATGTACAAGAGAGTTCTTCTCTCAATGAAGTAGAAAACACTGCCAGCAAATTTAGAAAGAATTCATTAAAAAATTTCTCAGTAGCAGTTGACCAGAGTGAGTCAAGCACTAAAATGAACGCCATAAACAGCGGTATAACTACCCTTTCCATAGTCAAAGATGTCTCTTGTTGCACCAAAGCTAGCACTGATCTCGACCAAGAGTGTAAATGTGAAGGATCTCACGTATGTTCCACAAAAGAAGTAGCAGATAGTGCTCGAGAGGAACTCAGTACAATATCAGAGGACTCTTTATTAAATTTAGATTCTAGTCATAAAAAATTAGATAAACCTGAATTTTCAGGAGCTCCCCTGTGCAATAAAGATGGTGCCAAGGTTAGCTCTTCATTACTTTTGGAGAGTAACGTCTCCAGTGGAAATGATAAATCTGGGCTTATTTCATTAGATGACAGCAATAAAGATGTTACAAGCATAAAAAATTCTCCTTCGAAATCGAGTGCTTTCAGTTTTTCATCAAGCAGTGATTTTACCAATGCAACAAGCATCGACTCAACCAATGATTCAGCAGAGAAGGAAGTCAGTCCCCCAAAGTCACCCTCTGATTGCAGCGATTCGAACAGTTGTGAATCCAGCGCACCATTGTGGACTTACTCTTCTGAGTACTTGAACAGAAGACGTTACTTACCAGAGAGTAATTCGGCATCTCCTGCAACTATACGGCAAATTCAACGTAGTTGTCAAAAATTTTCCGTAGATTTAGGTAAGTCCTTACTGTTTGAATCACCCTATACTACGGCACAATACACTCTGTTGCTGTATCATAAAGGGTATTCAGGTCCTGAAAAAGTTGGGGCATTTTACAATAGGTATGGAAATATGTTTTTAAAATTTGCATCTTTCTACAAAGGCCCAGTGTTTTAAGCGGAGTGCTGGGTGAGTGCTTGTTAGCAAAATTCAAAAGAATCAATTAAAATCCAAGCTATCCTCCTTCTTCTTGATAAATGTTCAGAAATTAACAGCTGATCTTCACATTTGTTTATTTAAAGAACTGGTTTCTAAACAAGAACTCTCCAGGTTCATTGATTTTCATCAACATTTGAGAAATCTGTTCGCAGAACAGTGGCATTTTTTCAAGATATTAACCCGAGACTTCCTCTATTTTCATCCATATTTGATGAACAACTCCAGATAAGGCAGCTTGCTTTCCTACACATTGATTATTTTACTTACATTTAAATGGCTAAACTCATTAATGCCCACTTGCAAGAATTACCTCTGTCGTGTCGTAGTAAAATCAATTAAATTTTTAATCATAAAATGAAATACTTAGTTCAATGCTGACTGGTACCTTGACTGACTTTGCAATTTAACCTTGGTGGTCAGAAAGAAGTCCAGGAAAAAACAGGAAATGATTCAGAATTTGTAAAAAAAAAACTCCGGTACACTGATGAGACCCAACTTAGACTTTTTTCTAAAGGGCTCTATAAATGTTTTGAGAGAAGTGCACTGCATGCTACTCTGTCATTCTGAAGAGGTGTGAAAATAAAAAGGAATAGAAAAACCAAAAACGAAATTTATTTACATGAGCATCTACATGCATGAGCTCAGCAAAATAGTGCTGTTTGAAGTAGGTATTCATCCAGCTGCAAGTTTTTTTTTTTTTCTTTTCTTTTCTTTAGTCAGATGTTGACATTTGGAACTATGTTATAACTTATGGTCCAACAAACTGCCTATCTCTTAATCTACTTTTGTTACAGGTGAAATGCGATCTCTGAGGTTGTTCTTCAGCAACGGTGATACATCCTCTGGTCAGTTAGTAATTGCCTCAAGAGAAAGTCAGTACAAAATTCTGCATTTTCATCATGGAGGCTTGGATAGATTGGCTCAAATTCTGCAGGAATGGAACCGATTATCCAACTTTGATCCCAGCAGCGTTAACAGTTCAGAAGATGTCCCCTACCGTCATTTTATGATTTGTCGTCCTGAGGTAAACAAAGACGACCTCCATCCAGAAGAAGGTAAAGTTCCGATTTTAACAGAAGAGCTGTGGTGCAACTTACTCAATGAAGTCGGACAACTGGAAGATCCATTATTCCTGCGAAAGTCTGTTTTCTTCAATGGTCTCCCTCAAAATCTGCGACGAACGGTCTGGCCGTTTTTACTCCAGATCTACCCGTATAGCTCCACGTTCGCAGACCGAGAAACAATCGTGCAGATACGGAAATTAGAGTACCAAGAAATCATCCATCGTAGATCAAAGCTCAGCGGGGTCAACAAAGAGAACTTCATGCGGAATGTTCAGTCAGTCATTGAGAAAGATGTCGTTAGGACAGATCGTAACAACCCCTTTTATGCCGGGGATACTAATCCCAATTTGGAAACTATGAAGAATATTTTATTAAACTATGCAGTTTATGATTCATCTCTAGGTTACCTACAAGGGATGTCTGATTTATTGGCCCCTCTTTTGGCAGAAATACGAGATGAAAGCGAGTCATTTTGGTGCTTTTGTGGTTTGATGCAACGAAGACTTTTTGTTTGCACTCCAACAGATGCTGATATGGAGAAAAATTTGGTGAGTTTTGCATCTATTTAAGTTTTTTAAAAAAAATATGAATCAGGTTGAATTTAATGGAGGTTTTTCTCACCTTCCTTGAAAAAATTTACAGATTTGGGGAATGATTCAGCTTTTTTATTTCAGCTCCATAGGGGTTTTTTTTTTTTTGGGGGGGGGATGATATTGCTTTCTAATATGCACATATTTAAATTCAGAGCGAAAAAAAGGGTCACCATTATCTTACCTCGTACTGCTGGCCAAAAAGAGAGTTGAAAAAGACATCAAATACTACATCGTTTTCTTAAATTTGCAATGTGTCAAAACAAATTTTGTTTTGAGGGAGGATTCGTGGCGCATTTTTACTTCTCCTCTGTTTTGTTTGATGATGATTGTGGGTACGTAGTCTCTTTTTTCTTCTTCTTCTTTAAAAAAAGAAAGAAATTGTAAAGAAAGTTTTTTTAAGTGAGCTAAAGATCTCACTTTACTTTGCTATGCTCATTATTCTATTATTTTCTTGGCAGAAAATGAGCACTTAACATTGAAAATAAACATAGCTACATCGATTTGGTAGCCATGAGCAATGAGTTAATGGAATGAATGTATACAAATGTACTTATTGATAATTTCGAATTTTTTGGTTTTATCTCCAACAGCGACACCTTCGTGAGCTAATTCGGATAATGGTACCTGCCTTTTACTCTCACCTCTTAAAACATGAAGATGCCATGGAATTACTATTCTGTCATCGTTGGATACTGTTGTAAGTAGAAAACGTTGCATTCATTGAGTTGCAAACGAAATGAATAGAGTTGTCTCATTATAATTTAATTAATTCTGTATGTAATAATTGAATATTACTTAAATGTTCCAAAAAACTATGAACAACTTCTTTTGGATTTTATTTTCATATCCACTGCAGAGTTGTTTAAATTATTACCCTGTGATCTCCTCTATAAATACATTTGGCAATAAAGACACACTAAAATACAAAAAAACAAATGGGTATACAAGGCTAGAGGAGACATAAAACAACCGGGACGTTTCGGGCCAATTACACGCCCATTCTCAACTGGAACAGGAGCTAAAAAATGTAAAAATTAAAACGAGAAAATGAGCATGCAACTGACCGAGGTAGGAATCAGTGCAAACTTCCGAAACGTCCTGGTTGTTTTATGTCTCCTCTAGCCTTGTATACTCATTTGTTTTTTGTATTTTAGTGTGTTTTTATTGTTGTCTGCATTCGGGCTATTGTGTCTCTCTCTCTCTTAAATATATATGTAAATGACCTTTTGGTTCATTAAGAAATTGATTGGGGAACAAGGATAATATGTTTAAATAAAGGATAAACGGATTGAGGATACATCAAATAGGAGGCATCAAAATTAATTCTCTTTTATTTTTCACTCAATGAGAGTGTATTACACTTGACTCTGGATCATCTTCGGCTGGTTTAGATAACAGAAAGTTTAGATAACGCAAACGCTACTACTTAACAGCTTAATTTGACACTCGTATTCTTGAAACTTAATGAAGTAGAGGGAGAATTGAGGCACTGGATGCGAAAAGGGCACTTCTCGGTTGTAGTGTTTCAGAGTCTCCTCAACTATTTCATTCATTGCAAGGAAAGTGAACGCATCCATTTTATTAAAAATTTTACTGAATATTCCTTATGATTCTAAAATTCTCTGTGGAAAGAATTCTGGAAAAATCACTCATTAAATTACTTTCCAAGGGATTAATTGGCAACAGAGATTCTGAAACACCGCAATCGAGAAGTGCCCTTTTCGCATCCAGTGCCTCAATTGAAGGAGTAAAATGCTGTATTAATTTTTACAAATAAAATTAACAGTGAAACAAGAGTTCGAGCAAGTACATTTCGGGAAGGCAAACATTTGGGGAGTAGGAAGAAGTATTAGTTCGTTTTACTTCCGCCGAGAGAAAATACAAAAAAAAAAAAAAAAAAAAAAAAAAAAAAAAAAAAAAAAAAAAAAAAAAAAAAAATTATGCATTTCCCACAAAATTTATTCAGATAATCTGCTTGGAGTTTGTTGTACTTTCTTTTAATTTTTGCACTTGAACCAACTTTTACAGTTTCTTTCCTCTAATATCAATATGTTCTTTTCAGATGTTTCAAGCGTGAGTTTCCTGAATCCATTGTCTTTCAAATCTGGGAAGCATGTTGGTCGAACTACTTGATTGACTATTTCCATCTTTTTATCTGCCTGGCCATTGTTGCTGCCTACTCTCCAGATGTTATTGCTCAAGATCTCAGGACAGATGAGATGCTTCTTCATTTCAGCTCTCTTTCTATGTACATGGATGGTGTTCTCATCCTAAAAAAAGTAAGCATGTAACTTTCTACCCTTTGAAGGGAACACTCAGATTATGCAATTGTAGTTGCCAAGAGCCTATGGACTCCATAATTTCTTGCGTTTGTTTTTTTGGTGTCGCCCTGTGAACATAAACTTTTCAATGGAAAACGCCCAAAATTGCATCTTCAAAATCTTACTATTTTATCGAAAGCTCGATGCCACCAAACTGTATTGAACAGTTCTGAAAATGGATAGTACCAGGCAAACATTAAAAATGAACCATCACAAAGGGTTTGAACTCCGGTAAAATATCGCAGATTGCATCAAACTCCCTCCAAAATGAGGAGGCGCACCAAAAATATTTTGTAATTACTCTTATGCAAGACATAAATGCTTTTTTGTTCGCAAATCCAGCATTTCTACTCATCAAGAAAGTAAAAACTGTTTGAATCAAATGGAAAACAAAATTTCATGAACAACCCATGATACATAAAAAAATAGATTTCAATATAATAAAGTGGAACAAGGAACTTGAAGCAAAAAAAAATACACTCCAACTGAAACGTTTTTATCGACCACTGGTACACTCTGAATTGGGATAAAAATACAACTGATTATACAGTATGAAAATGAACCCAAAATCTGCATGACCTTGGATCAGAGAAATAAAAATTCTGATAAATCCTAGTTTTTCGTCAAATTGAATACTGGAGCAATGCTGACACTACTTAAAAACAATATGTTTTTCATTGTGTCAATTCTCTTACAAAAAATCTTGAGCATATCTCATGAAAAGAGAAGAAAAAGTGAAGGAAAATTTCTTGCAGGCCATTCACCTAACTTAAAAATCTATTCTCATCGGCCAATTCAATTTGTATAAATTTTGGCTCTTTTTGAGGGGACATCAGTTTTTTTCAAAATCAATATTAACTGAAACCTGAAAATCCTGTTTTGGAGTTGACACAGAAGTTCATACCTCAAGTATTTTTTTCTCTGTCTCTATTGTGAAAGTTTTGAGGAAATGTTAAAATTAATTTTTCATCTATTTTTTCATTTGGCTTCAAAAATAATTATTCATGCATTTTTCACGTATTTTTTTTCTTTTGCAGGCTCGATGGTTACTGTACAGATTTCGACAACTTCTAGTCATTCCTTGTTCCTTGGCCATGCTCTGTCAATATAGTGGTCCGGGAATGTGGGACAATTCACACACGCCCTCTGTTAAGTGTCTGGATGACCCCACGTACTGCCCTGAGACCCCATGTCCTTACAGGGGATGTTTTGGGCCAGACAGCTAGTCATTATCAAATCTCATTCATGCCATAAGCAAACTATTGTTCCAATGTTTCAATATTTTTAGAAACTCCTGTTACCTAAAAGCCTCTATCTATGAGTATATGAAATCCGATATATCCCAGCCGGAGAAGTGCTTATGCCAAATTAGCTGCTCAACTCCTGAAGCACAGCTGGAGATCCGCCGTCTTTTCTCGAAATGAATCTGTTGTGCCAGTCACATAATTGTAATTTGATGGTTAATGTACACTAATTAGGAGAGAACAATATGGACCGCATTAGCCAGAAAAGAACCAAGCCACATCAGCTATTGCCAAATTTAATTGGGCAATTTAATTTCTTACATGGAAACAGAGGTGCGGATTTTTGGGCAAAATTCAGTGAATTTTCTACATCGTACGAAGAGAATTCCCTATAATTTTCAAAGGAATCTGCGCAAACGCTCTCTTGTAAAAAATTAAATTGCCCAGTTAAATTTGGTAATAGCTGACGTGGCTTTGTTCCTTTCTGCTAAACACGGTCCATATAACCTTTTTGAATGCCAAGCTTATGGGTTCAGTATCAGCAGAGATGTGGTTTGAAACTCTGAGTAACATCATGCACAAAGATTTATCATGTGAAGGGTTTTTTTTCACCTTGGATTCTTTAAACAGTGGTGCTTATTCTAACAATAGTTACTCCCCGTTGCTTACTGGTCCATCAAAGTTTAGACAAAGCCTTTTTATCTTTGCCCATTCATAAGTTTCAATAGAGAACTTGTTTTAAGATTCAAAAAATTGACCCACTGAAGTTTCCATTTAAAACTGATGATGGTATATTCTTTGGTTTTCAGATTAAAAATGTAATTTCATTTCAAAGGTGCAAAATTTCTACTCGCAATTTTTACATTTATGTACCTAGAAACTGTATGAAAACTTTTATTGTTTTCTCTAAAGGTTGTTGCCGTTGTTGGTAAAAGCTAGCAAGGCTTATGGTGGATATTGTGCAGTCATATTTGTGGAAAAGGTGAATTGCTTCAGTAAATCTTGCAACACGGGAACGGCGTAATATTTTTTTTGCTTGGATATTGATTGAGTTTCTGTCCCATAGCATAAGTCATCCAACTAATTTGATGTGAACTCTGCCTCTTGTAAACTCATTTCAGAGGCAATTTTTGTACTTAAAAACTTTCTCTCCATCTCCTGTTTGCAGTTTTGTTTACACTGACTGACCACCTCTATCAATGTTTTTCTTTCTTTTTCTCTTTTTTTTACCGCTTTTATTTTACGCATAAGATAACTCATATTGTTGAGTATTTGTTCTTAGTTAATTGTCTTTGACCATCACTTCTCTGCCATTTACTTATTAAGTTCTCAAGCTCTAGTGTATCAAATATGTACAGTGCACAAAGTGCCTCTCAGATATTTGTAGTGGTTGAACCATTTTTATCGGTCAGTAGGCTCCAATTTGAAAGATAATCAACCAACCCATCAACTTGAAAGTTAACAGAGCAAAGAAGATTAAGGTCACCACTCTTCAAATTGGTGGGAAATTTTGTGGAGAGTCCGTATGATAACTGTAAAAGCCAATGGGAAGGAATGTGAAAGTATGAAAGCTCGAAAGATTCCGTACCCCGTGTGCAATCAAGGCAATTTTAGGTCCACTGAGTTTCAAACTTTTTAATTGACCCCTGCAATATTTTAGTTATCTCCAAGTTAAGTTTTAAGTCTGGGACAGGTGCTTCTGTGGCCAAATGTTGTTTTGCAGCTGTATTTTTCAGAGTCTTTAGTGAGTTATCTTTCTTAATGTTACCACAGTTTTACGTTAATTTTTAAACATGGAGAGTTATTATATACTTTATCCCTAAATAACATCAAGGTTTTCTTTTCTTTTCTTTTCGTTTTTTTTAAATATTATAGTATGGATCCATTCGATTCCTTTTCTGTGAAATCATCTGGAAATTGTAATTGTATCTTAAATTTTCTCGCATTCTCTCAGGTTCTTATATTAATGCCCTCAATTACAAATAGAAATTCCACATCTTTATCCGCTTGACTAGTAGATTTTAAATAGGTTGTGGTTTGCAGCTTGATGAACGCGTCGTTTAGAGAATGTTCGTCATTCTGCCAATGTACATTAAATTTCAGTATAAAACTGACATTATTATTCAAGAGAGAAGTAGCACCAAAGAGAGAACACATTTTCTATCCGAACTTGGAAACAAAAAATCAGAAGGCTACGCTGCACTGATGATGGGTCTAACTAGACCCAAAACGCATTTCTTTTTGAAAACATTAAATTTTTTCCTAATGTATTTCATTACAGTATACATTTACCATTACAATACTGACATTTTCGATTCATTTCAGATTGGATACCCACAATTTAATTAACCGAAGAAAAACGATGATGGTTCAGGGCTTAACCTTGGTCAGGGTGTCTAGAAAAATGTTCCTCTTATCTCCCTGACTTACAAGGTTTTCTGTGGCTCCCAAATTTTCTGGAGTTGCTTTACTGGTTAGCCGTAACTAGTGGGGCACCAAACAGCATAACTCTCTACAGAGAAAATTTGTGCTCTGCTTTGATTCATTTCGCTCTTAAATGAGAATGTCAGTTTACACTGAAATTTAACATATGTTGGCGGAATCACCAAACTTCTCTCCAGGTTTTCGATAATTTCCCACACTACAGTAATTCTAGTTGTAAACTTTTTTTAAAATTAAAATTACTGTTGAGGTAGATCTAATATTGCCTCCATCTAAATCATTACTCATGTTTTTGTTCATTTCTTTGAGGCCATTAGAATAATTTAATTTTCAATCCTTGTATTGATGGTTTAATAAGAAAAACACCCATCTCAATTGTATCGTTTCAAAACTTCTGCTCACATCAATTTTTTCTCGGAGAAAATCAAACCGACCCTGTTGCTTCAAGCTCTCATAAAATATTCATCACAAAAAAAAGTAACATCACAGGAGTCTTCAAAAAATTTCAGTGCTGAGTTTCCAGTTTAAATAATGAAGTTTGACAGTTGATTTAGAGCATTGCAAGCAGATATTGGTGTTTAGTCTGATTTACCATCAATTTGAATATTTGGCATTGTGAAGAAGGAGAGAAGATAAGTATGTTTTACCAAAATTTTCCATTTCATTTGTCGTAAAATCAATTAGCCAAGAGCTGTAGCAGGTGAAATACCTAATTAAACAACTTCATGCCCATCTAAACTTCTAATTATTTTGCAACTAGTTACGTAGCCAAAACGACTCTCATAGGAGCAAAGGCTTGGAAATAATTCTTTATTTTCATTTAGTGTAATCCGTTGAATAGCTGTGACAAAAATGAGAAAAATTTCACCTATTTCTAAATTTTCACCCTCTTCAATTGTAATTACTTTGCATCATAGGTATGAAAACAGCAGAAAGAATACTTTATGTGTAATTTCAATAGCTGATCAAGTGTCCATTTGGATCCATAGTACTTGAAGAAAATCTGATTAAATGTTAAACCAGCCCAGCTCAACCTGAATCAATTACTCCTGTTCAATTAGATATTTTGCTCCTTAATTTTACCTACTCTCTCAATTAATGCTAAAAAATTGGTAGCTTTTTTTTTCCATTATTCTGAGTATATAAAAATTATTTAATTCTCATCTCAGGTTTCTGGCAGCGCAGAATTAAGCCGTAACTATTTTGATATTTTGTTGCTTTTTTTTTATAAAGGTTAGTTTTCGAATCCTACCATTCACTCTTTCAGGGCTTATAATCTCCTCTCTTCTCTCTCAAAAAGTTTTTGATAAATCTAAGTAGCCATATTTTTGCATTTTACCTACAGACTAGTTAATAAGTATTTATATTATTTTCTTTCTTGTTTCATCTTATTTATTTGTTCTTGTTGTCCTGAATTTTATCACCAAAATACAACAAAATTACAAAATTATGTTTATTTTGTGTCCAACTGCCACAGAGCCAGTCCAAATTCCCGTAGGAATTTTATTTTTGGGTCCCTTTAACAGACCCACTCCAATAAGTATAAAAAACTAGGCATAAATTTCCACACTCGTACCACAGCCTACAGGAGTGTTTTACATTTTGGCACAAAATTTCCCGAAAATTTAGGGCCAAACCGAAGTTATCATGGTATTGCAGTTTGTAGGACTAAAAATGAAAATGAGCGAATAGATCCATCGAAACGTTTCAAAATTTTCGATTGCATTCTATTTATTTATTTTTATTTTTTTACAAGAACTAACCAAAATAACTCTTGACATTTTCGGTGAATTTTCTTGAATGAGAGAAAAAAATTCACCGAAAGATTCGAGTAAAATAATAACTGGCCAGTAGGTAATATTTTAGGAAAATAAAACATAAGCAGATCTCAGCGACGACAGGCGGATATACGTTTTTTCGTCGACTTTATCCATCGAAATATTTTGATGGCCAAAGTGCGTATCGTTGCGATGTTTCAAAATTGCCGCTCCTTTTTCATTTTTTGAAAAGAAATCAGCGAAAAATCCAAATATTCTGATAACAGAAAAACGAATCACGTAAAGGAATTTTTCAAAGAATTACTAGCGTTGACTTGTTCTCCGAAGAAAAGTAGAGTATATGTATAAAGAAAGACTACAACGTCACGACAAGAGATACGTGGTTTCGCTTTGCGGCCATCAAATCCAAATTTCAATTACTTAATCCATCGTGTTCTCGGCTCGAAACTAAAAAAAAATGGGGCCACAACTCATTACTTCGGATACAAAAAAACGGTTTCGGTCAAGAATTAAAGTTCCCACTTTTTTAAGCCAATTGAACCGAAAGGAACATCAGGAAGGGACCAATCCACATTTAGTTGAAACTGAGAAAAAGAGGCTTGAGGTTTTATTCCTGCATAAGGCTCAATGTAGAAAATAAACTTTAACTCCTCCTCTCACTACCTAGCTAATTTCTTTTTTTCGACTTCCAGCTGATTCCCAAGTAGCATGGATTGCAATTTCATTGCAATGGATTGTGAGTTGATTGCAATTTTTGCTTGTTGCCTATACGTTCATTTGAAGGCGCTTAAAAAGTTGCAATTTTATTGCAATAAGTTTGCAAGAAATGTAGATTATGCTTGTTGCCTAACCTTCTTTTTCAAGGTACTATAAAGACTGCAATTTCGGTGCAATCATGTTGTAACAAATTCACGCCATGTGCCTGGCATCCAATTCTCTAGTTGTTTTAAAGTTTTTTCGACTTAAATGTCTCACCTAACCCTTATAGCCCAACATATTTTGAAAATATTGTCACCTTTATCAAAATATTTTCATGGCAATATTGTAATTAAAATATTTTCAAAATATTTTTAAAACATTTTAAAGGAATATTTTGAAAATGATTACAAAAAATATTTTGAAAATGATTACAAAAAATATTTTTAAAATAATTCAAAAATATTGCCTGTAAACATGCATGTTAAAAATATTCCTTAAGAAAGTTTTGAAAATATTTTAAAAATATTTTTTGAAAATATTTTTAAGTTCTCAAGTTAGTATGTGGTGTAATTTACACCGGTGTAAATTTAGTGTGAGTACCTATTACGTGATATCGAAAAAAAAAATCAGACAAAAAAAATATGAAAAAAATAAATAACACGAAAAAAAATAAATAATAGGCAAAAGAAAGAAGCCTGAGAAAAACGGCGTTATTCAAATCTATGATGAATGTTGAGCCACGCACTGACGCAATGCATGCGATAACAGCCTTAAGAGGCGTGATTTCAACCCAACTCATCATCAGCTCCCTGTAGCTCAGTGGAAAAGTGCTCCGCTTAGAAATTCGCAGGTCGGGTTCAAGCCCACTCTGGGGCGTCCGGTATTTTATGCTGCTAAACGTCGTAGGACATTAGGTAAGCATGGGTTCGAATTATTATAATTTCCCCGGAAAATTTAGGGGTTGATATTTAAAGGTCGTCAATATTGAAATTTCTTTGCAAAAAAAAAATTGCAACTTTTTTACAATGAGGGGGTCAGATGTTGTAAAATAATTGCAATTTTCTTGCAAGAAAGTTGAAATCATCTGGAAATTTTATTGCATTTAAATTGCAATTTTTTCGTTGCAAAATGCTACTTGGGTTTTGGCAGGAGAAAATAAACGACTAGTGGAACTCAAAAACATTCCTAACTAATTTTTTCAAAAATGTGGGTTGGTTCCTTTCTGACAAACTTGGAATCTGCTTTGCACTAGGCAAAAAGTTTTTTTGAAATTTGCACAAAAAAACCGCACAGCCGTTTTCATGTAAACAATTAAACTGCCCAGTTAAATTTAGCAATAGCTAATGCGGCTTGGTTCCTTTCTGCTTAACGCGGTCCAATTGGACGTGCAAATAATAATTGAATCTCGCTCTTCTGAAAAAATTGTTACCCTGAACGAAGAACGAAGGTCCCTCTCCCCGTGGGCGATCTGTAATGAAATAAAAGTGAAAATTAAACACTGGTTCCGAAATGACCGAAAGTGTGAACAGTTGGAATGTATGAGAATTTTACTAATCAAATCTACTCGTGTTTAAGAGACTGAGAGTGAATTTTCTCAAGCGGAGGGTGGAAACGGTGCTCCCGTAAAAAGCGCCTTCATTACGGTAGGATGCAAAGCAACGGCCAGAGGTTCGAATAGTTGCCTATACCCAGACAGTGGATTTCGTCAGGCTTGTCGTGCGACGCGTTGTGTCGCAGCTCTGCAAATGGGTTAAGTAATGTCCAAGCTGTCAATTTTGACTTAAAAACCGATATTATTTACAAATTATGACTCATGGTAAAGGCCCACCTGGCACATTCCGCCCATGGACCTTGGTGAATTACTAAAGGATGCTCGTTATCTAGGAGCCATTTAATGTCACGTGACCGATTCAACCGTTGCAGTTTAAGTTACCTGCGGATCGACTGTTCAATCGATATCGAATGATCTTGATCGATAGAAAGCATTGCTATAGGGATTTATCGATCAAGGCCATTCAATAACGATTCAACAATCGATCGATCGTTCAATCGATATCGAATGATCTTGATCGATAGAAAGCATTGCTAAGATAGGGATTTATCGATCAAGGTCATTCAATAACGATTCAACAATCGACCCGATTCACAAATCGAGGCCGGGGACCTCTCCGTCACAATGCGTGAAATACATTTTTAAAGAAAAACGATTTTTAATGTTTTTTTTTACAATATCGTTCACTACTAAAACACGTATAAAAACCGTCAACTTAAGACAACTAGGTACATAAAAACTATCGAACTACGAGGACAGGATGGAAAAAGACTAGTGATCCGGGAATTTCGCCGTCCTCGGGAGTGGAAATATTTGCAGTAATCGGACGTAACATTTACACCAATAAACATGGTAGTTTTACCAAGATAGTGGAAATTTCACTGAAATGCGGTAAAATATCCGATGGACTGCAATATTGATTAGCGGAGGAAGTGGCGTTCGAAGGGGTTGGAAGCAAGGTAGGTATTTAATTACATTTCAACGTTGTAGGATTCCACTTCGAGACTCATTTTTTCATCCATCAATGCAATGGGCATAGGTACCCTATTTTGAAACTCTTCATCAAAATATATGAATATTTTCAAATTATTATTATTATTTTTTTTTTTTTTTTTTTTCAAATTAAGACAAATAATAGACGAATGAATTGGCAGTCGAAATTTCACACCATTTTGATCAAATCATGTTTATTCATCTCAAAGCTTTTCATTTAGCAGCTGCAACGTCAAAAAATGACAGATAAGATGGTAAAATTATCGAGAGTTCCAAAGAGATGTTCATCATCGGGATTACCTATACTGGTAATATTACGGGCGTATTTTTTGTGTGCTATTCAGAGAACGCGGACGGTAAGAAAATGCTAAAGACAGCGACTATTTAGAAACATGTTTCGAAACGTCTTATAAAGACTATTGACTTTTGCAAGACAAAAGAACCTTTTTTATTAGATTTGTTTGAGTAAAACTCAGGAATAATGAATTAACGTTGAAAAGTCTTAACAAATTACGAAAGAAATCTTCATGCATTAATTTTTTCATCAATTGCGTTTGTTTTACTAAACATTTTAAATGAAGGTCAAAAGATACAATCTATCTTTAAAACGTTTTAAAACTTTCTAGGGCCTAAATTTTACTTAAAATACACAACAAAAGGGCTTTCCTCCTTGTAAATTATTGCATTTTTTTTCCCAGAGATTGTTCTCTTGTTAAGCTTCCAAAAATTCTACTGATACTCGCTGCTTTTAGTGCTTTTAGAGTATTGATCATCGGTAGAACCGCAAATCCTAGTATCGCTCTTCCAACGGGCAAGTTGTTGAAATTGATAGACAAATCGATCGACAAAGAAGACATAGACGGTGTGGAGCGATCTCATTGGTTGAAGCTGGTGGTTCCTATAGACAAAGGGAGAAAATGATGGACTAACTATAGAGTATTTAATGGGCTGTCGTTAGTTAGTCTATTGCCTTCCTCCTTTGTCCATTGAAACCATCCGCCTCCACCAATAAGATCCCTCCTTCCTTTTGTCTTCTTTGTCTACGGTTTTGTCATCCAATTTCAACAATCACTGGAAAAAAAAAAACACATTGGATCTGGAGTCCAGACTCTTAAAAACATCGACAAGAAAAAATACTTTTGATTCTATCGGATTTTTGCTTAAATCAAAAACCAAGCCTTTTAATTTGAGCGGATTTTCTTTTGATTTAAGGAAAAATCTGATTGAATCAAGAGTATTTTTTCCTGTCAATGTTTTCAAGAGTCTGGACTCTAGATCCAATGTGTGTTTTTTTTTTGTTTTTTTTTCCAGTGATGAGTCCGCAGTCTGAACTTCAGTGGGCGGATACGGAACAGAAGAAGAAAACGTGTTTTGTGCTTCTCAGAGGGTGTTCACGAAAAAGAACAAAGAACTCGCCATCGCGACCAGGAGCACGGGGGTCGCGGAGACAACGGCCTGTCCGGCCTCGGCATTGAGCAACCGGTAGCACTCTTCGGGCTGATGGGGGACGCCAGGGACGTGGCGGTTGAGCCAGTCGAGGAAGATGCAGGTGTTGATGTACATGGCGTACTTGGAGGCGTCGTCGCAGTCCTCGTCCTCGAGGATGTAGGCGCGGTCACAGCGGGCACTCCGGATCCCTTGCGCGACACCGATGAGCTGGCGCCGGTAGACGAGCGGGCCCCCGAAGTCCCCGTGGCAGATCGTCTCCCCAGGACGCCGGAACGTGCAGAAAAGCCCCCTCGACAGCCGCCTGCAATGAGAAAGCCAGACTCGCTCAGCGGGTCGATTATTGAAATTGATAGACAAAGCTGTAGACAAAGAAGACAAAAGGGATTTGGAGGGATCCTATTGGTGGAAGCGGGTGGTTGCAATGGACAAAGGACGTGGGTGATAGGCAACCCACGAGAGACCCGATAGTTAGTCCATCATTTTCTCCCTTAGTCTATAAGAGCCGCACCCGTTACCACCCATAGGATCGCTTCTTACTCTCTATGTCTTCTTTGTCTATCGCTTTGTCTATCAATGTCAATAATCAGTCCGCTGGGGCACTCACAAAATTCAACTTCATATCGATGGCCAAAGTGCGGAACCACTGGATAATCGCACCCCCGAATGGATTGTTCACCCCTAAAATGGTAGCCTTGCAAAATTTTAGACGAATAGGAACATTTTTAGCTGTTGCGCAACTTGCTTATAATTAAGTCATAAGATTCGATATTTTCAGGACATTTTGCGGAATCTTCCATCCAATCTTTTGCGAAAAATCAGAGGATAATATGTTTGACCATTACATGCACCCCATAAATTAGTTTAAAATACTTTAAGTACCAATATAAACCAGAAGTAACTGTAAAACGGGAGGTTGGAGTTTTTTAGCCAACGTGCGTAAAAAGTTCAGCTTAAAGTTGATATCTCATTACAGAGGGAATAAGCTCGCACACAAGCACAATTTTCCCCTCAAAGAGGCTACACTGCACTGAGGATTGGCCCAACAAGGCCGAAACGCGTCTGCAGTTGCCCTTCTGAATGGACGTAACAAGAGTTGCTCCAAACAACGTATCTCTTTGAAGGAAAATTGTGCTTGTGTGTGAGCTTTTTCCCTCTGTAATGAGATATCAGCTTTAAGCTGAACTTTTTACGCACGTTGGCTTAAAAACTTCAACATCCGTCTTACGACCCGTGCGTTTACCGCAATCAGTTTGTGGGAAGTAACTGTGGTGGAATGGGATGATTGAAATGTCTAACCAGTTTATGCAGGGGCAGGGGTCAACGTCGCCCCTGCGAAGGGTCACATTGATGGCTTCAAGTTCACGAGTCTTCGAGTTCCAATTAAAGGACTGGGTCAGCAGAGGGATCAACGTGTCTGTGTCCGGGTCCGTCAGATAGGGCAAAGGCAAAGCCCTGATCGGAATCATCTGCACGAAATCGTTGAATTTGAACGGCCGCCGCACCTGCAATCACAAATCAGTTTACTCTCTGGGAGAGAATGCAGAAGGTGGTGGCGCGCGGAAGTCGGGGGAATGTATATTTCTACACTGAAAAAATAATCTCGGTGTATTTACTAAGAAAAGGGTAAAATTACCAAGAATTCCGGGTTCTATTTGATCCCAGTTTTTTCTTGGTAAAATTACCATTTATGGAATTGGTAATTTTACCGAGAAATCTCGGTAAAATCATTGCACTTTTTCGGTAATCTTACTGAACCTTGGTAAAAACGCCAATATTTTTTATCGACTGTGGTAGAATTATCGAGAAAAAATGGCAAAGTTACCGGGAATTGATTACCAATAAAAAAGGTATTCTTACCTGAAAAAAACAGTAAAAATACCGGTTTTTAGGTAAGCTCACCAGTCTGTCTTGGTAAAATTACCAATAATTGGTAAAAAAAGTGAGATGGTAAAGGTACCAACGGACCTTGGTAAAAACGCCGAGAATTTTTTTCAGTATACGTCACATCAATGGGGGTCAGAACTGAGTTGACACTGGAGACACAAAGAGTTTCCGTCCAAATTTCAAAATCCGATCTCCCGACTCAACTCGAAAAAATCTCTCTGTGGCAACCGCAATCCATTCACATTGGCATTGACTATTTTAATGGAAAATGATCGAGATCTGACTCAATTCTTCAATGCCAAAAATCCTATGTCCTTGCTTCTCGGAGCGATGCGGAAAAATGCATGCATTTTATACTTTTCACAACAACACTGAAACTCACTTGCGCGTAAAATTTAATAACTAGCTCTAGTTATCAAATTTCACGCGCAAGTGAGTTTAAGTGTTTTTCGAGATCTGTTTGTCGTGCGGGTCTCCCCCTCCCCCCCCCCAAAAAAAAAAAAAAAAATACATTGATTTCTTACTTACTCTCACAAGGCCGAGATCATGCGTGATGCTCTCAAATGATTTCTCCGCGTACATAGGGTGAATGTGGATTTCCTTCGCTACATATATCGCAGCATTTGGGCTTAAATTACTGAGATCCAACGATGTTTGCCCGGTCACGACCTGGAAAATAAATTCAAAATTTTACTGTCAAAATTCTTACTACTTTCAAAATACTTTCAAAATTTTTACTTTAAAAATGAAACTGCCTATTATATTTAGTAAAAGCTGATGTGGCTTTGTTCCTTTATGCTTATTGCGGTCCAGTTAGAGGGCTACAAATACACCTTTAAAAAAACCGGGCGTTAAATTGAACAAAAAAAGAAAAAAGAAAACAATCGAGTTTTGACACAGCGAAGATAGGACAGAGTTATTCGGGCCTCGTTTTTTAACTTCCCTCCCGAATCCCGAATCTGAGTGACACTTCATTGGTAGCGTAGAAGCGGATCATTGCGAGTTCACGCCTTTCGCCATCGCGCCTTCAATTTTAAAGATGCAACACGGACAGCCATCAAGCACGAACAGTTGTATCTCTGCGCCGTCATCAACGCGCGTCCTTTCCTTTGCTCTATTTCATGTTGTGTTGGTTCCGTTTGTATTATGTGTGGTAGTGCTTCAAAGGCTACGTGAGTAACGCAGCCGAAGATTAGATAGACGTAATCTGGCCTCATTTTTAACTTTTCTGAAGAATCTGAGGGATTGGGCGATGAAAAAATGTCCTTGTTTATACTTACTTTGAGTTACTTTCAAACCACGTTAGATCCTGGCCTCTCGCGCCTGATTTTTAATGGGTTTACAAATTTCAAACCCAAAGATTTGGCCAGTGGAAAAAAAATAATAATAATTACCAACCGCGCATTCAGGTTACTTCGTGTTCTATTCCCCACATTAACACGCAACGGCGGCGGTTACTTTTTCTCATGCCGCAATCACACGCTGAATGTGGGAGCTGAATATGGCTTGAATGTGGAAGTCATCGGCCCGATGCCTGAATTTTGCGCGTGACGCGCAAAATTCAGCAACGATTCTCAGCAACCATCTGACTAATGTTTGATTTGTTTGAACTATTCGAGTAGATTTGATACAAATCTGGATGAAAATAACTCGAATTTGCGAAAATTCAGCCGTTGGGCGATGACTATTGACTTCCACATTCAGCTGCTAAATTCAGCGTGTGATTGCGGCATCACTGTGTACCATGCACCAACATAGCGCCAACTTGGTTTCAACATTATTCAATGTTGATCACTGTTAGTCAATTGGGTTGTATTTCGCAAAAAGGAATCAAGAGTAGTCCAATGTTGCAAAGATTGTGTAATTTACATTCTTTGTAATAAAATTACTGAAATAATACAAAAAATTAAATTTATAAAGGTAATTATCGTCTTGAATTAAGAGTTCATCCGCAATAAAGATTAAACTTGGTTATGTGATCAGTTTATATTTGCAAGGTAAAAAAAAGTTGCACAATCTTTGCGCCATTGGAATGCTCTTGGTTCCTTTTTGCAAAATGCAATCCAATAGATCAATTTGGGACCATGTTTCAGAGGCGGATCCAACAATTTGGCAACTCACTTCCATTTAAACCTGTGTTTCATAATCGATTCTTGTCGGAGCACCTGGCCCCTCTTATATTCGATACATTTCCATAGGTTCAAATGGAGAAAAAACAATGTTACCAGATTGCTGGGACCGCCAATGCCATGTTGATATATTGAACCGACCAATTTGGTCGTTTATACTGCCGTGCTAAGTAAGAATGCCGTATGAACATTCGAGAGTTGCCAAATTTCCCCGAATAAAACATGCACTAAAGAAGAAAGTTATGCGTATTTTCCCTTAAAATTTTTCGATATTTTAGATTTTAAATTACTAATAAAATTCTCTGAAAAATTGGCAGAAAACTGTTGAGAATTTTTCCGGCAAATTCGTTGCTTATTATCGGAAGTATGACAATGCCTGAAGGCTCATACGGCGTTTTGCCTTAACAAGGCAGTGTAGCAGGGCAGTTTCATCGAGCTGCGGGCTGATTGTTGAAATTGATAGACAAACCTATAGACATAGAAGACATAGGGAGTATGGAGCTACCCTGTTGGCTGAAATGAATGGTCCTTACATACTAAGGGGGTTAATGATGGACTAAATATAGGGTCTCTCGTTGCTTGCCATCAGTTAGTCTATTTATTACCTTCTTTGTCTATTGCAACCACCCGCTCCCTCCAATAAGATCCCTCCATATCCCTTTTGTATTCTTTGTCCATAGCTTTGTCTATAAATTTCAACAATCAGCCTGCTGAACTTACTTACCACCAGTCGATTGATGACCAGTTCCTCGCCGTCGACGAAGAAGCAGTGGGCGCAGGAGAGCGCCCAGGTTTCCGAGAGGATGGTGGTGGTGCAGAGGAAGACGAGGCGGGTCTCGAGTTTCCCGGCCAGGACGGCCACGTACGGATGCTGCGTCAGGTCCAGGAAACTCGCACCCAAGATCTTCGGCTCCCGCTGGAGGTTCGCTTTCCTGGCCGTCACTCTGAAACTCGGCAGTCGGGACTTGGGTGCTTCCGCTGGAGCTGCCTCCGTCGCTCGCGGTATCGCTGAGCTTTTTTTCATATTTTTCGGGGGTGAACTTGGTTTTCTTTGATCTGGTTTTTGGATTTTAGGGGGTATCGGCTGCCTTTAATAAAAATACAAGTGATATAACAGAGTTTTCTTTTTAACTAAGCAAGGATCTTAGATAGGGTATTTCAAATGGGGGGAGGGGGGACTTATCGCGTATTTTCAGCGCTAAATTAAAAAATGTTATCTTTTTCTCTCGCACCACTCAATGATTTTCCAGACCCTCTGCGTTGTCCCAAAAAAAAGAGCTTTTCCGGAAAATTCCTCCCTGATGGAAAAAACGAATAATGATTTCTGATTCAGCGGTGAAACCTCCTCGGAAATAATCATCTGAAAGATTTTCATTGCTTCGATTTGCAAATATTTTTTTAAAAAAATTGCAAATAGGTGCATTAGAGTATGATATATACGTGAGAATCTGATTCAGCAGAACGAAATTTCTACGGGGGTTAGGTGATTTTAGATAGCAACAACAGAGCATCGTGTAATTTTTGCCATTGCTCTCTATCTAGGGCCCTTGTCCTACTTCACTTATGACATTGTTTTATAGAATTTCAGGCGGGCTGATTGTAGAAATTAATAGACAAAAGCTGTATACAAAAAAGGACAAAAATTATATGGAGGGATCCTATTGGTGAAAGCGAGTGGTTGCAATGGACAAAGTTGGTAGGCAATAGACTAACTAACGGCAACCCACGAGGGACCCGATCGTTAGTCCATCATTTATACCCCCAACCAATAGGATCGCGCGATACTCCTTATGTCTTCTTTGCCTATCGCTTTGTCTATTAATTTCAACAATCAACCCGCAGTACATCGAATCTAATAGACGTCTGGTTACAACTGCCGCGAATCTAGCACTGGATACTAAATAACTGGGGAACTTGTTTTGCTAGACAGTCTAGTGCCCACTACCAATCATTTTCATCGTGAGCCACATATATATGAATGCAATACATGGTAAATCTGACCTTTGCTCGAGTTTTTGAGAGATCGGATGCCTTTGCTGAGCGTTTCTCCAAGGAACAAGTCGCCTGGCAGCCGAGGTCGAGTCCAACTCAACACCCTCCTGTAAACTGAGCTCCCAAGCTGTGGCAACGTCCGTCCAATTCAGTTTGGGCACCGCTGCACCGGTTATTTTGGGGGATGTCATGCCGTTATTCGATGTCACAACTTGGCGCTGAGGGAGAGGTGACAAAGAGGTCGGTGGTGGCTTCTCTGCCTTGGGTGGTGGCTTCTCTATCTTGGTTGGTGGCTTCTCTACCTTGAGTGCTGGCTTCTCTGCCTTGGGTGCTGGCTTCTCTACCATGGGTGGTGGCATCTCTGCCTTGGGTGGTGGCATCTCTGCCTTGGGTGGTGGCTTCTCTGCCATGGGTGCTGGCTTCTCTGCCTTGGGTGGTGGCATCTCTGCCTTGGGTGCTGGCTTCTCTATCTTCGGTGGTGGCATCTCTGCCTTGGGTTCTGGCTTCTCTGTCTTCGGTGACGGCTTCTCGGTCTTGGGTAGTGGCTTCTCTGTCTTCGGTGGTGGCTCCTCGGCCTTCAGTGGCATCTCTGCCTTCGGTGATGGCTTCTCGGTCTTGGGTGGTGGCATCTCTGTCTTCGATGGTGGCTTCTCTGTCTTCGATGGTGGCTTCTCTGTCTTCGATGGTGGCTTTTCTGTCTTTGGTGGTGGCTTCTCTGTCTTCGGTGGTGGCTTCTTTGTCGTCGGTGGTGGCTTCTCCGTCTTCGGCTTTGGCTCCTCGACCGGCACAGAAGTCATTTGTAAGGGCTCCTCTACTAATGGTGTTTCGACCTAATTTACCAAAAATTATGGAAAATGCATTAGTTGAGCAGAGTTCAGCAAAATTGCTATGTCAACTCTTATGGTAGTCAGGGGGATTCCTCATCGGAATTCGGCAAGATTTCACATTAAAGGTTGCTTTGAAAATAAATTTTCGTGCACATTCTTTTGATTTCAATCGGATGTAAAAGATTTTGATCTGAATGTAGGTACGTACTTTTGAAGAGAAAAGGAGATTTGTTCAGTATTTTTGACTGAGAACATGCAGAACATGCAGTGCACAGAATTTCCAATTTGATTTATTGAAACCAGAGCAAAGAAGAATGCTCCTCGAAAATTTCGGGACAAAAATCGCCCAAAAATGCACAGCTCAAACGGGATAATGGTGGATTGAAGTTCTCAGTTCAAAAAATGTGGCATCGTTCATGAAAAGGCAACCGTTAGCAACTTATTTTTTCAGAAGTTACAGAAATTATCTCTCGAGGTCTCAAACTCAAATGTTTTCAGGACAAAGGCGATTCCTGAGAGAGAAGTTTTCTCAGGAGAGGTTTCCGTCAAACTTTTAAAAAAACCCGAGTTTTCGGTCTAAATGGTTATCAGTCACCGTACTGATAGCTTAACTTCCGTGGGCCAAGATCTCTATTTCCATGGACGATCACAAATATCTTAACCGTAATATTTTCATAGCATATTTAGTCCCACTAGAACAGTGAGAGTTTCTCTCTCAACACTAAAAAAAAGTTTACGGGCTGTATAGACTTATTGTTCGTTCCGGGCTCAGAGGCCGAAAGTTCCGGGTGCTGGTTCCGGTAGTTTCGACTGCTCCGGGTACTAAGCCCGAAACGCGGACGATATGTCTATATCTGCCTTGATATCGAAGAGAGCAGTAAGTGCATGGTGGGATGAACCTCGATGTGCCAACCGTGGCTCATACAGAAATGCACTTACTGCTCTCTTCGCCATCACGGCAGATATTGGCCGTAAGAACGGCTTTCACGGTCGGAGTATTTTTTCTGTGAATGTGGATTTACCGGAGGCGGTATGACGGACGGCGGCGTAAGAAGAAGGTGGAGATCGTCTTCTTCGTCAGGCTGAGGTTCGGTCGTCTGGACGTCTTCGTCTTCGCGTTCGATCGACGACAACGCCCACGACACCGTGTTCGACGTCGGCGGCAGTTCCGCCCAGGACTTCTCTTCTTCAGGAGGTGGCTCTTGGTTCTCCTCCGCCTTCATATTGACCCCTGGAGGCGGTTCCGGGAAGGCCGGCGACAGACCTCCCCTGTCCGCGACCTCCTCTGGCTCTGGGTCGCGCATGTTCTCGTCCTTCTCCAAGACGAGCGTGTCTTCTCGGCTTTTGGGCCGTCCGCCGTCGATTCGGTTCCGCAGATAGCTGCGCAGGTCGTCGTCGCCTGCGGTCGGCACTTCACCTGGCAGCAGATTGAAGGAAAAGTTACTCGTTAACGTTATCGTCAAAGATGATGGTCATTTCAAGTTATAACTATCCTGTTGCATCGAAGTAACCATAACGATAACGATAACGACATGATCCAGAACAGCAGTCTCCAATATGCGAAAGTCCACCCATTGAAAAGAAAGTTACGGGCTATGCTATATAGACACGCCGTCCATTCCAAGCTCAGAGGCGGAAAGTGCCAGGTGCTGGAGCCGTGGTTTCGATAGCTCCGGGTGCTATGCCTGGAACTTTCAGCCTCTGAGCCCGGAACGCGGACGGTATGTCTATATACCCCGTATTCCCCGGCTTCCACGGCCAGAGTTTTTTTTTTTTTTTTTCCAGCAAATCAGTTTGACGTCTGTCTAAAATTAGTTCAATATCACTGCAATATGAATTTGAAGTCAAAAGGATATACTGACGCACTGAAATCACACGAATTTATGTTAGACGGGCCCATTTATATGAATGAAATGAAAGGAGAATGTCGGTATAGATCTTGCTATTTAAAATCTAAAAGATCCAGAGGGATCGATGCTACAGATCTTGGGCGTAGCTGTTATAAGGCCGGGTGGGGGGGGGCGGAGAGCCTGCTCCCAGAATTTGAAATAGTATCACCTCTTCCCCCCCCCCCTCAAAAATTAGAACTTTAAATATAAATACCTAAATTTCCTTGCTACACAATGCGAAGTGCGAAGAAAAGGAGCGAAACGATTTAATAAAATCAAAATGTGTAATGACATCATATGATGTCGGGGTGCCCTTAGACGGCATCTGAAATGCAGTAAAATTTTCAAATTTTTCTAGGAATGTCACCACGGAACCCCCTTTACACAGAGGGGTATTCCATATCTCCCAGACACCCCCCTCCCGGTTAGTGGGGTCGGGGCTAATGATCATTTTTTAGAGAAACCAAGCAAACCCCCACCGCCCTCCCCCCCTTCGGCAAATGATCTAGCTACGCCTATACTTGAAATTTGAAATATATAGTGATGACTTCAGCTACCACTTACCCTCTCGGCTATTGTCAGCCGCGAACCCAAGTAGCTTGGTATTCTGACTCATTTTATTAGGTTCCCTACTCCTTTCAAGCTTTTCTAGGAGTCGATCCGTGGTATTCTGAGCTTTAATCAGTTTGTCCCAAAGCTGTCTATCAGAGGGATCCGAAAGCGCCCATCCGATGTTCGGAAAACCCGAGGCGGGCTCCTGCTGCCGCCTTTCCTCTTCGATTTTGGGCAGCTCAGAATACAGATCATCGAGGCTCTCACCGTGCCCCTCGTCACTGTTTTCAGTGGTTTCACCATCCGTGGCGTCGGGATCTGTGAGCACACTGATTTCCGTTTTCTCCTTCGATTTACGCGTCTTGGCACGGTTTGTGCGGTCATCTGTCGTTTCAATCTTTTTATCGGGTTCTTTAACGTCAGTTTTTCCGTCTCCACGAATCTCTTTATCGGGTTCTTTAACGTCAGTTTTTCCATCTCCACGAATCTCTTTATCGGGTTCTTTAACGTCAGTTTTTCCGTCTCCGCGTAACTTTGCTGAGGTTTTTGTGATATTTTTCGTCGCACCCATGGTGAAGTTTCTTTCCTTGGAAGTAGTTGTACTCCCGGATAAGTTGATCCCTGCCTTTGTGGTGATTCTTCCATCGCTTTTGGTTTTCGCTTCGTTGGAAGGTGTCTCGGTCGTGTTCTCATCGAAGTCGTCGGAAATATCATCCGGCAGTGGATCATCCATATCCTCGGTCAGATCCTCGATTTCTATTGGATTTTTGTCGATTTCTTTTATTTTGGGACGATCAGATTTTTTCCCCTCAAAGATGAAGATTCCTTCTTCGAGAGGATGGATGGTCGGAACTTCGCTTGGTTGCTGTTTGTAGGGCTCGACACTGGATGGAAAACCAGGCGCCTTTTCGGGGAAATTTTTAGAAACTGAAATTATTGGCTTTGGTACAGGTTCGTGAACTTCAAGTCTCATATCTTTGGATTGTGAAGGATGTTTAAAAGCAGGCGTCATATCATACTCTTTTTCAGTTCGTGCTAGTTGTCCGTAGTCATTAAATTTTGACACCGATTTTCCCTCAGACTCTATGATTTTGAAGAGTTTTTCAGTGCTCATAGTTGTTACAGTCCTTTCATCGTACTCATCCTTCCTCTGTTTTTCACCTTTTTCTTCCTCCTCTTCTGCATCACCAAAAATTTCATAGGTTTTTTCAGGGGGTGTCGTCATAGCCTCCCTCTCTGTTTCCACTTTTTCATCCTCTGCTCTTGCATCTTCTTTTCCCAAATCATCGAAGACCAGATTAGTTTTTTCAGTGATGGTCTCTGTGTATTTCCTCTCCTCGTTCCCTTTTGCATTCTCTCCTCGTTTTTCTTCTTTATTTTCATCGTCGTCGTCCTTACCATCATTGTAATCCTTCTCATCCTTTTCATCCTTGTCGTCATCATCGTCATCTCCCGTACCCCTTCTACCTATGTCCGCTTCTCTCACGTTACGCATCGAAAATTCTCTCTTTTTAGACCCTTCGGTATTATCATTATTTTCTGAATGAAGGCTACCATTTTTGGTTGTAACGTAATTTTTTCTATCAATGAAGTTATTCCACCCACCTTCACTTCTAAAACTGGTGCTGGGAAATTCGTTCCTCTCTTTTTCATCGCTGCCAATGTGATAGGCTGAGCTGCTTTTATGGTCTGTGTTCGATATTGTCCCCGGCGTTCTTCTTGCTCGTATGGAATTTGCCTGAATTTTTTCCTGATCACCCATGATATCCGCAGGGACCCTGAAAATGTTCAAATATTCAAATCAGTGTCTATTTCAATACACCTCTCCTAGGAGGAGAGATCGAATACGCTATCTTTTCTATACATATAAAAACACTTTAAGGGGCGGGAAAGGATTATGAAAATATCTTGCAGGTCTCCCTTGCAAGAAGCCATCAAGGCACTGTGTTCCTTTTACACGAAATGATAAAACACCTTTTTCTACAAATCTATCAGCTGCTAATGTGCTGTAAGAAACCCGCTACAACAATGACAACGCCTGGATGCAATTATACGTGCTTTTCGGATGACCATAATGCATAACCAATTATTTGAAGGCGTTTATGTACGCCCCCAGCAGCGAGGCGCTTGACGTCAGTTTTGGGTCTCTGATAAACGATTGTTCCGCTAAGAAAATGAGGCCATGAGAAGACATTCTGGTGACATCCTCCTTCAATCAAACTACCCTCATGATAACGCACGCCTTTCAATTTTTTTTCTCTCTCTCTTTTTTTGGTCTGAAAAGACTGGAACTGCGTTTAGTGCTGGTAAATTTTGTAAGAAAAAATCTGCCTCCCCCGATGAAAACTTCGATCATTTACTATGCAAACATGTTCGAGTTTCAATAGAGTCATTTCAATTAAGAACTATAACAATGAAATAACGCAGTTACACTGACAGAATAGCTCAATGTATGTTGGTGCGTTCATTTTAGTGTATTCCTGGTGTTTAAGACAATTTAAAATTGACTATCAATAATATCAATTTTGAAAAGAGGTTAAATTTAATTTTGGGGATAATTAAGAAAAAAAATTAAAAACTAAATTAAAAACATAATGAAACACCCAGCTATCAATTTACATTTTAAAAAATATATTAAAAAAGTAGTGTTTCTTTTCAATTCTTTTTTTTTTAAATTTGAACTTATTACTTGTTTCATCCTTTTTTTCAAATTGGTTTTAACCTTATATATTTTTTACTTTTCCAATTATTTGTATTTTTTCTGTAAAAAAGCAGTATGGATAATTGTTTCGTGAGTATTATGTTGATTCTAGAGATCAAACTCTTCCATCATTCGATTACATTAATTCAATTGTGATTCTTGTATTTTGGCAAAATTGATCGAAGGGGAAGGGGCAGTGATACCAACTTGCTCGAATCCCCACTGCGCATTTATTAGGTCGCCAGCACGGGATTATTATAATTTACCGTCTTCAGTGGACAGTATTTTCCAGGACTTATTACTAAGATGCTAGATGGAAGGGGGAAAAATACCTCTTTCGATGTTGGATCGCTTGGCGCTTGACATATCGAGCACCTGTTGCATTGCCGCCGAACAAGTCGAGATCCTGGGCAGCACATATGAGCTGCGTCGAACTTGCATCACCACGGAAACGCGTGCTCTCGGAGATGGCCTCGCCGCAGAGCAGCAGGAAACAGAGAGTTTTGAGGAGAGCTGTCACGACGAATTTCGATCTCATTTCGGGAAGCCTCCCGGTTTGGAAGAAAAGACGCTACGAGAATTTTGAACCATTTCGAAGGGTCACGCGCTAAACTTTGAAAGGTGCGGGGAAATCCCTTCGAGGGCAGGAGGGAGATTTTGAGAAAAGTCCGCGAACATAATTTTCCGAATCAGCTGTTCGCAAAAAATGTTTGCTTTGCAACAGCGCGCATCTCGCCTCGCTTGTAACCCAAGAAAACTTATCAAAGTTATGAAGTCTTCTAATTTGTTTGTGTTCATAGTTTCTTAATTACTTACTCAAGAGTAGGAAAGGTACAATTAATTCTTGCTTTGAGGCCTTTAAGAATTTCAGCTGGCATTTTATTTTTTTTCATTTTGATTACATTTTATTTATTTTTTATTATATTTTTACTAAGAAGGGGTGGAGAGAAGAACATTTTAAGTGAAGTCTTTAAATGTAGAGGAGAGGGTTTAAAGATGCCCAATTTACTTGGTCTTCATTCAGTTCCAATTTTTTCCCCCTAAGGATAGACGTAATAGCCTTATGTTTCAGTCGATGTTATAACTAGATAGGCTCTATTCCTGATGGACCCAGATCTACTGAAGAATGCTCAGATTCATTAGATTCTGGACATGTTGAGTTTCATCATCGACCGATTTTGATAGGATAATCGCAAAAATTCGCCCTTGTAGTGACTCCATTTTTTTTTCTTTCTTTTTTTTTTTTTAGAAAAACTGCTTATTCTCTAGAAAACGCGAGTCTGTTGTTTTACTTGAAGCCTCCGGGTATAGCACTGCTTGAGGCTACCATTTATCCAAACCTATCAAAACATTTTACCTTCCAAATCAAACCCACCTTCAAAATAGGTAGGTTTTCGATAGCAGGAGTGCGATCGCATTTAGGGAGCTGATATTAAATGGACCACATTTTGCAATTTGGACCTATAAAGTCCGGCCCAGTTTTAAAACAACATATGAGCCATTAGTTTCCCTATGCACATAAGTGTTTTTTCAGATGAGCCAGAATTTATAGGTCCAAATTGCAAAATGCAGTCCAAATGGTCCCCTCATCAAGTACTCTCTCACCAGAGCCATTTTTTCACCCCAAGAAAAAAACCGAATGAGCATTCTAGTATTCTCAAATGTCCTCCGATTAAATATTTATTTTGAAGATAATAAATGAGTATCTCACTTACCAGTTTCAGAACCTCTGGATTAAATTGCAACAGAATTTTCACGAGAAATTTTCAAAATTGTGTACGCTATTGAATACAGTTGACAACGTTGAATGTTCGTGCGGCGTTGTTACCTGGCATGATACAACTGTTTGTTGGTGTTTGCGAAAAAGAAAGGGCCCACATTGGCTGTGCGCCGCGCCATTTGCCCACGCACGCATATTTTCCGTGAGAGAGGAAAACGCCTTCAATTTTTTGGTTATGCAACATGGACATCCGTAAAGAACGAATAGTTGTATCAAGGCGTTGACCTAACGTCGTAGTCGCTCTCGTACTTGTTGATAATGTTGAAAGGTGTTTTTGGTCTAGTGCCATCACCATAGCGTGAATGGACATCAATTGGTGACAAATTTTAGGACTTTCTTTTTCATTTCTATAAAACCAAAGTTTCATTTTTTCTTTTATTATTATCTCTTTATGATTCCCAAAATACGGTTTGGTCTTCAGCAACAGTTATTAGAATCGGATGTTTTTATTTTTCCTCTCTTAAGACAAAGAGGTTTTGAAGCCTTACCTGGGTATGAAAAATAGAATTGCAGACGATTACTGCACTTAAGATTTTATTTTTTTCTTCGTAATCTTCACACAAATTTAAAGGTTATTGTACTATAGACGGCATATCACATAACTTTTTCAAAAAAATTTAAGACGTAGGAGATACAGGAAAGCTCATACTAAGATCGTGTTTTACTATTTTTTTTAGGTATTTCTAATATTGATTGTTGTTTAAAATTTGAATATTTTGAGTTTAATTTGGTGATGATTTGAGCAAAAATGGCAAGTCATTTAGTAAAAATTCTCTTACGTCGCGTAAATAAAATTAAGGGAATGTTTCAATTACATTCATTTCATTGCAATGTTTTTCTGTTTTGAAGGAGACAAAATCAATTAGGGATTAACAAAAAAATTTAAAAAAAGCACAGGTACCGAATGATTCTTTAATTTTGATAAAGTATGAATCAAGTCACATCAAAACACAGGTACATAACTTTTCAATAAAAAACAACAAGATATTCAACTAGGAACAAATCAATTTTTTTAAAAAAAAAAAAATCACAAAATTGAGTACACACAATTGGCTCGAGAGAATAGAGGAGAATTATAAAAGAAGAAGTGAACCAAAAATAAGACTTCTTAGGACACAGAACATAGTTCCAGTCTTCCATGTTCAAAATAAAGGGGTCGGATAAAATTAGCCAATTGCGATACTTTCAGAGGTTCAAATGATCAAAGTTTCCGAGTTTTAAGAAAGTACTTTAGCATGTCTACACAAAATTCGGCCTATCTGAACCGATGTAAAGTCTCGGCAACCAGAGAGTTCGGTGGGTCATGATAGGCGACTTTTTTTTCTTGTGTACGCTAATGCTGGAATATGAACAGAGTCTTTCGGACGAAATATTTAATTTCAGGAAAGTTACGATTATTTTTATAATTTTTTTTTAGAAACACTGGGTCAATTTACAAGTAAAGTTAACAAAAAAAACCAAATGCAAAAATTAAAATGTTAACAAAAAATTATTGTTGATCACTATGACAATGACAACGTCTGAATGTTCATACAAGGAGAATAAACCTCGACCATACGGTCGGACAAGTCCAGTAGACACTCTTCGGCTTAGAGGTCTGAAAATTCTGCAGTACAAACCAACCCTTTTGATTACAGGACCGAACGTCAGTTCGATGAACCAAGACTCAGCATCACGAACTGGAGGTTAAGCTCTACGAACCGAAAATCTCATCTCGTTCATAAAACAGTTCAGACTTCGGTTTCCTGCGATAAAGGGTTTGACCCTCTGAAAAGCGTCTTTGCGTAACGCATCACTTCGTAACCGAGGTTTTCCTCTCCGTTTACGACGTTCTTTTTTCCCTGAAACATCATCATGATTCTCAAATGATCTTCAGAAGTTCAACAAATACTTCAATAACCATCACAACAGTCTCATCGGATTGTACATAGAGGAACTCGCCTTTTCAGACCCGTGAATTCCAGAAATAGAAACAAGGACGGACTACACAATCAGGAAACACCGTAGTGATGATCCTTGAAGATCTTTTTTTACCTTTTATGATCATTTGGACATTATCATGATGTTTCATTCCTACTGAGGCCGGCACAATAGTATTCGACTTTGGAAGGTCAGCGGCCGTTAAAATTCTGTGTTTGTCAACCGGAGAAGACAAGATTATTCAGGAGAATAGAGCTATCCGATTGGTCAGCTTCATCCTTCGTCCTCTTTGTCGTGCCAGTAAAGGATGTAGGTAACGAGAAGCTGAAAGGCAATTGTATAAGGGCGAAGAATAAAGCTGACCAATCATATAACTTGACTCTCCTTCATCTTGTCTTATCCGGTCGACAAACACAAAATTTCAACAATCAGACAGCAGCGGGCCGATTATTGAAATTGATAGACAAAGCTATTTATAAACATGGAATTCACGAGGAATATGGAGGGATCCTGTTGGTGGAAGCGGGTGGTTACAATGAAGAAATGATGTAGGTAATAGACTAGCGAGAAATCCGATGGCTAGTCCATCATTTACCTCCTTAGTCTGTAAGAACCATGCACCCATCTAATCAAAAGGATTGCTCCATATTCCTTATGTCTTCTTTGTCTAAAATTGTGTCTATCCATTTTAATAATCAGCCCGCAGGTCTGTTACATCGATTGACTAGTTTCAGGCGCACTGCAAAAAAATGTATCGCTATCTCAACTATATTTCTAGCGGATTCTGGCGCCAGCCGTAAGAGTAGTTGCATTAGCTAGAAGTGTAAAGGCACCAGCCAGCGGTATAGTTAATTCAACCACAATTATGCTGACTGTGAGGGCACCGGCTAAAGGTATGGTTGATCCAACCACACTCTCAGCTGACTTATCCATACTTCTGGCTCTTGCAACTACTCTAATATCTGGCGCTAAAGTCAATAGTTGGGATTGTGATTAGGGATGGACGAATATCGAATTCGAATGCGAATATTCGAATATTCGAAACTTTTCGAATGCGATTATTGCGAATATTTGAGAATTCAAATCTTGCGATTGCGAATAGTTCGGATGCGAATATTCGAATATTTTCGATTATTCCTTCGATTTTTGATTTTTTATGAACCGTGAGAGATAAAATGACACTTTTGACACTTTCGAATGCGATTATTCGAATATTCGAATTATTCGAATTTGCGATTTCGAATACTTCGGAAGCTAATATTCGAATGTGATGCGATTATCTCGGTACCGATGATTCGAATATCTAAATATTCGACCATCCCTAATTGTGATACTCTTTTTTCCGTGCGTCTCAGTGACAGCTCAGTTGAGTTTGAGAAGGGCCCAAACGATTAGCGGCAATACGAGGGCGTGTGCGGTATGAAGGGGGGCGGTGTCCTCGAGGGGGTCGCCGCAGGGGAGGTCATCGAGCTCCTGGAGCTCGGGGACGTAGCCGGCGAGCCAGCCGAGGTAGGGGCACAGGTAGACGTAGACGGTGAGCTTGCGTTGGCGCCCGCACTGGCCCTCGTTCATCGGGACCGGGGTCTCGGAGCAGTTGCTGCTGGCCAGGCCGTGGGCCAGCGCCACCAGCTTCCCGCTGCACACCAGCGGCCCGCCCATGTCCTCGTCGCAAAGCGAGTACGCCGTGTCCTGCATCGAGCACATCAAACCCTCCGGGTGAACCCTGCAATCAAGTGAAACAGAAATATAATGATACTCGCGCACCGAGAAAAAAACTTGGTGCGTGGGACCCGAAATTGAGGTCATATGGATCTCTGAAGTTTTCTGATCACGCATCCGAAAACTTGAGGTCGAGCTGCGCAAGTTTGGGTCCGACATCTGAAGTACTTTGATATATACCGAAGGGATCGGGTCTGGGATACATTGATTTCAAAAAATGTAAAATGACGTTTACGGCGTTTTTGCGTTGCACGGCAGAGTGAGCACTTACCAGTTGGTATTTGGAGTGTAACCGAGTGCTAGAAATAATGTAAAATTGTCTTTAAAAAACTTACATTGTATTAACAAACTTGGTTGGTCAAAGTTTGTTAATAAAATGTAAGTTTTTTAAAGAAAATGTTGCATTATTTCTAGCACTCGGCTACACTCCGAATATACCAATATATTCAGTGCTACTACCTTTCAAACATTGTATTACAATGTTCGCTGATCTTGACTTACCAGTTCAAGCAAGGACAGGTATTGCCGAGTCCGACGGTGAGCTTCATGCGAGCCAGGTGGTGCCCGAAGAAGGGCTGACTGGCGGAGTCGACGAAGGTCCAGCCGGGCGCCAGGCACGTTAGAGCTTCCCTCTCCGGAACCCGGGTCGTACGCAACGATATCGGCTGGCACAGCTCGTTGAACACGAACGGCTTTCGCACCTGAAGACAAAAATTCAAAAGAAGACCCAGCAAACAAAAAAATTCGAGCCCTACAATCAATGCGAGAAGGAGATAATGGAGATGTTGCATGTGTGAGGAATTTGTGATTTGACTGTTATTCCTTATGTAAAAGTTCACAAGAAACACGATGTGGCCACTGGTTTTCTACGAAATTAACTCCCAAGCTCAAAAAAAGCTCTCAAGTTGAGGCCAAAATGGAGGGGACATCCCACGCTATCCTGAGAGTCCACCTCTACGTCAAAACAAACTCTCCATGCAAAGATAGAGAGCAAATACATTGACAGGGATGCCACTTCATTTGGGGACTCCAAAACTGAAAACACGGCAACCCTGCTAATGTATTTACTCCCTATCTTTGCATGGAGAGTTTATCTTGATGTAGAGGTGGACTCTCAGGATAGCGTTGGATATCCCCTCCATCTTGGCTTCAACTTGAGAGCTTTTTTTGAGCTTAGGAGTTGATTTCAGAGAAAACCAGTGGCACCATCGTGTTTCTCGCGAACTTTTACATAAGAGTCAATAGTCAAATCGCAAATTCCTCACACATGCAACATCTCCATTCCAAAACGCCTTCAATTGTTTGCATATGTAACATGCACGTCCCTGGAGCACGAATAGTTGTATCTCAGGACCGTACTTATAATATGGTTTCTTAAACGGCCTTTTTTCCTTCGTAAAGTGGTATGATTTGCATTTTCATTAAGAGTGCCTTTTTCATGAGTCGTTTTCCTCGTAAAAGAACGTAACTAACTTTATTTTTGCCAAATTTCCTCTCTCAAATAACATTTTTACCAGGAGAATTTTGGAAATCTCTACCAGAAAATTTCACTGATTTTTTCTCTAAGTTCATACCGAAATCAGAAAAAAATTTGGGGGAAAATTGCGCAGGTCCATTCTTCTAAAAAATTCAGTTGTTTTAGTCGATTTTGCGATCATGAAATGGAGTCAAGTTATTATCATCTAAATGACAATTTGTACAAACCTCAAGTAAAATTCATCCATTCAACTTTGGAAGTAGATTTCCACGAGGGATTGCAATGATATGGTTACAAAAAATGAAATAAGAATGAAAGAATACGGCGCGTTTTAAGGTAAATAAGGTAGGTCCTTACCTACCTCAGAGCCGGCCAAAATATTAAGAAAAGTGTGTAATTTTAAATCATTTTAATCCCTTGTATGGATCTATCTTCAAAGTTATTATGTTAAATTTTAACCTGAGGCTTGAAAAATTTGCCCTTTTGATAATGCTACTTCAAAAGCTTTCTTTATGACAACATAAACTACCCAATGTCTTTACTTCCTGAGGAAAGGCGTTGTGTGAGGAAGGACTATGAAAACGGCTCTAAGGGCTGTTTCATTCAAGAGAGGCAAAGGGGGTAAGTTGGCTAAGCCTTCCGTGTCATCGATTTTTCCGGAAATGATGTCGAAGGAAAAAAGTCATACCTAAAAAAGTAAATAAAATTATACTGTGTTAAATTGCGCCGTAACAAACTACGTTACGGTTTGCTTTTCATACATACAGGGTTATTCAAAAAGTCACGACCATGAAGCCATGAGCGGGGTGACCATTTGAAATGTTTGAGTTGCCCCTCGCTCCCCTCCCCTTGAGGGAATCAAAAACTGGAAAGTACCTCAAAAAGTTTCCTCCTCGATATAAGGATGAAAAACGTCATAAATCGCGAGTCCATACCTTCAGTATATCCACTGGTAAAAAAAAACCTCTTGGTTCAAGAGTGCAGTTTCTTGTCGCCGGATTTAAGAGTCTGGACTCTTGTTTCAATGCACAATCCGCTTGATTCAATGCAAAATCCGCTTGAAACAAGAGTTCAAGACTCTTAAATCCGGCGACAAGAAACTGCACTCTTAAGTCAATGCAATGCGGCATTGGTCCAAGAGGTTTTTTTTACCAGTGTATAACTAAAGTTATGGCCGGTGGCGCGTGACTTTTGAATAACCCTGTGTAAATCTCAGATTTTTTAGACTAATCGATGTCATATTGTACCCACTCCCGCCACGGTGTGTCCAAATCAAACACTACTACACCTTTTTCCCCTCCTTTATCGACACAGCTAACCTATTATATTTTTATGGGTAAAACTATACAAGATTTGCCACGTGGGACTTCATTGCAGCAGTTTAAATGAATGAAAAAATTCTTTCATACGAGGATGTTTGTCACGCGGTGTGAACAAATCAAACACTGCTACACCTTTTTTCCCTCCTTTATCGACACAGCTAACCTATTATATTTTTACGGGTAAAACTATACAAGATTTGCCACGTGGGACTTCATTGCAGCAGTTTAAATGAATGAAAAAATTCTTTCATACGAGGATGTTTGTCATTTCTGGAATGAAACGTCAATGCTGATATAAATGCTGAAAATGTAGGAAATGTTAAGGTTGAATTAGACGTATTTCTATCAAACAGAACTATGTGCATTAAGACATGAGCCCTGAGACCCATAAGAATATATACATAACAGGGCTCATGTCATATTGCACATAGCTCCGTTTGACAGAAATACGTCCAATTTGAGGTGTATTTACCTTAATGACAGCGAGATCGGTGGTCACCGTGTCGTAGCCGGGCGACGCATTAGGCGTGTAGCCTGGATACACGCTGATGTCCTCCGCTACCCTCGTTTGTGCGTGGGCGTCCAGTTGGTGAACATCCGACCCCGTCTGGGCAGTTACTATCTAGGCAAATAAACGTCTTGTTCTCACTATTACTTCATTCGAATCTCTTACATGAAAGGAAGAGATATTGTACACTGTTAAAAATCGTTGATTCCGTCCGACGGAAAATCCGGAGTGAGAATGAACACGGGAGTGCGGTTCAGCGCATAGGTGCTGAGACGGGCTGCATGTGTAGTCAAAGCACTCCGCACCGGAGCTGCAGTACGGCCCGGGCCCGGAGTCACGCGCACCCTCTCTCCCTCGCACTAGCGCTATATACTGTCTCTTCTCCCCTTTAAGCCTACCACTCTCAGAATGAAAATGAAAAATTTAAAGAGAAAAAAGTAGAAAAAATAATAGAATAACGGAAATAATAGAATAGTCGAAATTATGGTATATAACAGAGACAATAGAAAAGAAATAAAATAAAGTAAATCAAATATATGATAAAATGAAGTCAAAGACTAAATTGAAGCAAAAAATTAGAGGGAGCAAGGAGATGAAGAAAAAAATAAAATAAGGGAAACAACTAAATGATGTTAAAGAATAGAATGCATTTTAAGAGTAAAGTGAAGTCCAAAAATTATGATGAAGTATTAAAAGAAATCACAGTAAATATAAAACAAAGTAAAGGAATGAGAAGTAAATAATTAAAGAAAAAAAAATGAAGTGCTTGAAAAAATAAAATAGAATGAAGAAAAAATAGAGACAACAAGGAAATAAAACAAAGTAAAACGATAAAATATAGTTAAAAATAAAGTAAAGTAAACTAAATACACGGACAAATCCAGGTAGATTGAAAATATCTTAGCGGCCCGTTCAAATCGACGTTAAATACCGTTTTTGCGTCACTATCATGCATCGTTCGCTATAGCTCAATCGGTAGGACCATCGGTTAGTGTTAGGTAGGTCCCGGGTTCAATTCCCAAGGTAGGTAGAAAATTTCTAACCTTCAAAATCGGTTAAATCACGTACCAATGGTTTCATTGTTTTCATTTTTCATGGTTTCAAAAATTATTTCCACAATTAACCCCTTTCCACCATCCCCTAGCTGCGAACCCCTAAATTTGCGGCTCCCGCGAATCCGTCCGGCGTCGGAGTGATTTCTATGCGTACGGCACCCAAAATCCGTCCAGCCGATTCTCCGTCGGAGTGACTCCTCGGTCCGGCGAAGTGAGGGCCCGTTCTTACTCGCGCTTGTGCTGAGTCTCACTCCGTTTTTTTTAACAGTGTATGCTGCAGTGCTAAGCAGGAAGAACGCCGCATGAACATTCGAGATTTGGCAAATTTCCCTCTATAAAACATGTATTGTTGGCGACACCTATGCATATTTTTCTTTGAAATTTTCAGTTATTTTAGATTAAATTGCGTAAAAATTGTCTGGACATGTTGGAAAATAATGTCCACAAGTTTCCCGGTAAATTTGGTTTTTTATCGGAGGAAACTTGGCAACGTCTGAAGGCTCATACGGCGTTCTTTCTTAGCACGGCAGTATGGTCGGACGTTGAAATCAAATTCCTCGTGCAAAACGGAGGTTCTGTCTTTGAACTCCTCTTCCGCTTATTTACATCCGTCGAGAGGAAAGTTGTGAGATATGATTAAAAACAATTTGTAATCCCGGAAAAACCTGCTGCCGTGTCCACTCTCCCAAAAAATGACCCGGAAAAAAGGAGTGATCGTCTTTACGATACCGTAGACAATCCAAAATCTTTCAAGTTGTCTTGAAGATATAGCGGGCCGCGCTAATTTTGCTTACAACAAAATGAAAGAGACAAAAAGCTCTTACCAACGAGAATATTGGTTTCAAATTATATTTTGCTGCATGCATAAGTCGAAAGAGACCTGTTTTATTCAATGCAAACCAGGCTTATGACAAGCTGTATTCCTCCGAAAAGAGAAAAAAAAAGGAAAAGGGAATTTATGAGGGAAAAATATTTTGACAGCCATTGTCGTATAAGTCGAATGCACCCTGATCCGATATATGTTATCAATTCCTTAACTATTGCTCATGAGTATAATTTCAAAATTATCCATTCTAATCCAAAACTCAGTTTTGAACTGGTATGCTCATTAGAACTCAAACTTTTTGACTCTAATTGAAATTTTTTGACTTTTTGGCTTTGATTCCCCCGCAAAATAGTGTAGACCAGCACTATTTTACCACTTTGTTACTTGTAATTTATGTACGTTTCTTGGGGGTTTTCCTTGTTTACACCTGTTCATACCCTGACTTAAAGTCGATTCTAAGAATGTAGTGTTCCTTCTTTACATGTTTATTTCTGAAAATTAAACAAATATGAAGAACAAGAGCATTTTTGAAGAAAGTTTTATACCTATTAGTACTTTTTCAATTTAAAATCGCATGACTACTTCATGCCCTCTTTCTTGAGACCAATTTGAAACGCAAGAATCTAGGGCACCAAAACGAGTATTTTCTTTTGCCGGCATGAATAAGTAAACCATTGGAGGAAAGAATGACCGAATTTACGGACGAGTTTTCTGATACGGCGGTAGTCATTTGTACTTCGAACTGACACCTTCATCAGAGATTGTCTTAAATTTGGTTTTATCCAAAATTACTTTGAGGTAAATACTAATATTGTGATCAAGTGGTTGTGGCATGTTGGTCCGCAAATGGAAATTATATTTTCTGATGTCAATTTCATTATTTATTTCTTCTGGAGAAGCAGCCATTCATTCGCAACCACCCGCACCTGAGAAAAATTATACCACCCTAGTAACTAAGGTATGTTCCCGTATGTTAGAAAGTTCTCAGCACAGACTGATACAAATCATGGAACTGAACTCAGAATTTGACACCACGGCCCTCATTCACAATCTGCACGACATTCTCATGCCAGCCTCTCAGGCTAATGATGTTCGAGCCTTGAGGCCAAAGTTTTCCGACGCTGAACCGAAAACAATACTTTTTGTCCTGGATAATATCGGCAACATCATTAACCTCATTTTAGGAACTCAAAATTTTGGAAAAAAGGTGACTCCACTGGAAATGCTGGGAGAATATTCACCACTGATTTCAAAAACCAAGCAGCAGCCATTCACGTTACCAAATTTTTGTGTTCAACACGGAGAAGAGTTGAAATTTACCTTGAAGGATTCGAAAAGACCATGCGAGAGGAACCTAACGATTCTGGATACTCACTTGCAAGAGGACTCTGTATTACCAGACGATATTTTTGACCAAGTTAGTGGTCTGTACGCGAACAATGTGTGGAACTCTAGAAATTATTTGATATTTTATGTATCAAGTAGGTTCCGGGTTTCCGAATTCTCAGGGGAAGATTGGATCCCCTCGGTTCGACTCTTATTCAGATTCATGTGGCGCACGTTCAGAGGTCATAAAACTCTCATCTGTTTCGGAGCGTCATGTCACCGATACGATCCATTTTTTGAGGAACTCCGAGAGTATGAGATAGAAACCGAGGAGGAATTTACCGATTTTTCGTGGTATTCAATGGAAGGCAAAACACTGACTGTTCTCTTTCAAAACATCCATGCTACCAACCTTGACGCGGTGTTCGACGGTTGCACGGATGGCAGCATAGTCATCTTTGCCGGCCTTCTTATAGATTCGCTGGTTCGCCGAAACGGTTCACTCAAAGCTGTCTCCCACGACTCACTTGGCGTTGATAAGTTTTTTCAAATCCCACCAGACATATATAAACGCCATGAACTTGGACTGAAGTATGGTGTAGATATACATGTTCTCGGAAGCGCGGTTGCAAATCGAGCGAACCTACCGGCGGCCTGTGGTATCACACCGACTCTAGAATCATGCCAGCTTATGGTAAGAGTCCCCAGAGCGGGATACATCCCACAGTATGTGACTCCTTTCTACTGCTTCTCTCCAACACTGTGGATTTTCTTCGTTGTAACAATTTTCATATTCACGCTGGTTCATTACAAGCTTGTCCGCACCTACGGAGAAATTTCCCGTTTCTCCAGCATTGAAGAGACACCGACGGATGAGCTGTATCCAACCTTGATGACGATCTACAGATATGTTTTGGGAATCGGCCAACCCCGCTTGATCATGATCGAATTGATGACGGGCAAAATTGTATTCTCCGTTATTGTCTTCTCTATGATGATCCTCATCACTCTTTTTCAGAGCAGAATGTTCAGTCTTTTGCGATCGCGGGTTCGCTATGGAGACATCGACACGCTGAGAGATATCGAGAAATCCGACTTGATGATACAATCGACCGATATTCAAATGGACACACGGTTTCTAGGCGATGAGCCTCAATTCGAGTGGCTTCGACGTAAGCTAACAGACGGTTATAAGTTTAAATGTTCTCAAGTTGAATGTGGCTTGAGAAGGGTGGACGGTGATCACTTCAATTTGGCTGATATTCAAGCGAATATAAGCGATGCGCGTCTAGCCAAAAGAGAACTTTACACCATGTTAAGACAAGATGCATTTCTTTACAGGATGAGCACAAAGTATGACCGGTTGAGCGACCTAATTTACTCTGATAATGAGACGGGCAGCGATTACGAATTTCACATCGCTCAAGAGCGCGTAATGAGCTACTCTCTCATGTTTTTCATGCTCGGAAACTCCTTTTACCACGACGTTATCAACGAGCAAATACTCCGATTTGCGGAGGGTGATCTCGATTCTCGGAGCTTGGGAGAATATATTGATTATGACCTCAAACAGTTTCAAAAGAGGGACAACGACAATGAGAAATTGAGACCGTTTATTTTAAATGATCTCAAGCTCGCTTTTATAGCTCTGGCAGCTGGATGGGTCTTGAGTATCTTTTGTTTCGTCCTGGAACTCCTGGCTCAATTTTAGGTTCGTCATGGACCCACTGGCAGAGCTTCATCAAAACTTGTTACGACTATGATATTAAATAATATGCGTATGCAAAAAAATTATACCAAAAAGTGGAAGAAAAAAATCTGGTCTTGTAATTTAATATGCTTAACCCTTAAGTGCTCATGCCGGGAGAAAGTGACCCAAGGCTGGCTAAAACACAAGCCCCACGTCCGTGGGTTGTATGGGGCCGATGCCGCACGATGGATCGAGTCAATAGGAGAGGTCGGACAAAATTTGGAAACTTTAAACGCTTATAACTCCGTTTCTACAAAACTTTGAGGTTCTGAAAGTAGTTCCATTGGGTTTCTCGAGAAATTTTCTTCAAAAAGCACCCCTCACAGTTGAAAATATGACAAAATAAACATCAAAATTTGAAGCTTTCGTCAATAATTTCATGTCCGACCTCTCTAATTGACTCAATTCACTGTGTGCCGGTATAAGCGAGCTGCAAATTTAGGTCTAAAAATACACCGTAAAAAGAGAATCGGACATAAACACTTGGGAGTCGCTCTCACAACGCTCTCTGGCGCTCTGCGACGCCTCACCGCCACAAAACTCGGTCCTCCCACAACCCACCAGGGAGTTGGCATTCCCTCGTCTCCTCTAAAACCCCCTGTCACCACCCGAGAAATCGGATCTTAGAATCGGACATCAAATTGAAAAAGATCGAGTGTCAACACAGCCGAAAATAGGAGAGATGTATTCGGGCCCCGTTTTATAATCTTTCTTCGAATCTGAGCGACACCTCATAGAGCAGAGCGTTCACGCCTCGAGCCGTTGCGCCTTCAATTTTGCCGATGCAACACGGACATCCGCCATGCACGAATAGTTGCATCTCTGCGAGGAGCGAACTCCAGTAGTAGCCTGATTGTTGAAATTTTGTATGTTCGTAGACCCAATAAGACAAAACAAAACAGGAATGGAGTCAGGTGATAAGTTAGCTTTATCAATCGTCTTCTTTCCCGTGTCGACAAACGACGGATTTAACCAGCATTTGACGACCGAAAGTCGGCAACTCAAGATAGCTTCTCGATTATTACATCCATTACCGGCACGGCAACGAGGCCGACTCACAAAACCGACCAATCACGTGACTACATTTTAGTTACTCTTGTCTTATCCGGTCGGCAAACACAGATTTTCAACAATCCGGCCGCTGACGTTGTTCAAGTTCAAAATGAAAGAACTGAGAGCGTCAAAAGTTCAAGGATTCGGAACTTTTTTGTTCCAATTCGTCCCACTACTTAACTGTCAAAAGTTCCGGGATTCCTTTTAGACTTTTTCACAAGTTCCGAGAGATTTCCGGAAAATGCAAAAGATCTGGAACATTTCGGAAAGTTTAAAAGTTCCGGGAAAAATTCAGGAAAATCTCAAAAGTTCTGGAATTCGGAACTCACTGAAAAAAAAGTAGCTTGGAGCAAGCATGATAATTCTTGAATTTGCCGCCAAGAATTTTCTTTATCCTGCTTTAAGCTGACTTTTTCTTGATTCAAGAAAAATAATGCTTGAGTTAAGCAAAAAAGTAGCTTATATTAACCAGCAAAATTCTTGATTTAAGAAGAAATACTTCTTGGCGGCAAATTTAAGATTCTTTTTTTCCCAGTGTAGTTCCGGGAAATAGGAGCACTGCGGAGGGCATACGTGGATACTAGCAAGATTTTTAGGTTTCCGGATACTCATAATGCGATAAAGAAGGCTGAGCTAGTAGCCGACTTAACAAATATAATATGCAATAATTGCCACTCAGGCCATGCTTTGGTGCTTATTGCTGTTTTACCTCGCCTCTTGTCTCGCTCTCTTTGTTCTGTAGACCTTTTTCTTTTTTTTTCCATTCACCATGTAGCAATTTTGTGGTGCTTTTCCCTTTATCTCTGTTATTATGCATCTTGGCAGTGTTTTTTTTCTTCTCTGTTCTTTCCTTTTGCACTGATGAAGACGAAAGTGTTGGTCGAAACGTTTGCGTGTCCACCATGTTATGGTAAAATTGTAAATATATCAACATCCTCTTGCACATTGTTTTTCTTATCAAAGAATGGCCTGAGTAGCAATGGAGATTTTGCATGAGTGAGGGATTTACGATATGACCATTGATTCTTATGTAAAAGTTCGCGAGAAACACGATGGTGTCACTGGTTTTCTCTGAAATCATCTCCCAAGCTCAAAAAAGCTCTCAAGTTGAGGCCAAAATGGAGGGGATATCCCACCCTACCCTGAGAGTCCACCTCTACATCAAAACAAACTCTCCATGCAAAGATAGGGAGCAAACACATTAGCAGGGTTGCCGTGTTTTCAGTTTTGGAGTCCCCAAATACAGTGGCAGCCCTGTCAATGTATTTGCTCCCTATCTTTGCATGGAGAGTTTGTTTTGATGTAGACGTGGACTCTCAGGGTAGTGTGGGATATCCCCTCCATTTTGGCCTCAACTTAAGAGCGTTTTTTGAGCTCGGGAGTTGATTTTAGAGACAACCAGTGGCACCATCGTGTTTCTCGCAAACTTTTACATAAGAATCTATAGTCAAATCGCAAATCCCTCACACATGCAACATCTCCATTATTGCATATTATATTTGTTAAGTCGGCTAATAGCTCAGCCTTTTTTATCGTCTTGGATACTAGTACCGTCACTCTGGAAGGGAGGACGACTTCGCCATCTTCGAAGAAGCAATGCGCCGCCGACAAGACGTGGTACTCGTTGAGGATGGCCCCTGTGCACCGGAGGTTCTTCTCTCGGGTCCGGTTAAGTCGAGTTACGGCCACGGCCAGGTAAGGGATCTCACTGATGTCCACCGCTTCCGGTTTGTCCTGCGCGAAGGCCTCCATTCTCGTTGGTGCCGCTCGCGGGGTGTGCACCTCTATCGGTCTATTTTGTTGCTTTTCAGCCAGAGGTTTTACCTCCTCTCGGCTCTCTTTCCTTTCAACAATTTCAAATCACGAATAAGTATTCTAATTCAATCACTAATTGGACGTATTTCTACCAAATAGACCTATGTGCAAGTGAGAAATATGGGGTGTGCTCGTTAGTTCTCTATGCGTAAGAGTGAATGAGGATAATAAAACGCCAGTGACGTCACCGGCAACGAACGAGAGCTGCCACGACGGGGAAATCGTTGGAGGGAGTCTTTAACTCAAAAGCCCTGTCCACACCGCTCTCTTGCCATGCCCGCAGCTCATGACTGCCGCATTCAGTTGGCACATAGGTCTCTTTGATAGAATGTAACAGTCCGCTTTTCCAATTCTTCAAAAGGAATCACGCCCACTTTTACATTGCTTCTTATGCAGCTTCGACGAGCACACCCCATATTTCTCACCTCCACATAGTTCTGTTTCGTAGAAACACGTCCAATTGGACCCCCGCCAAGCAGGAAAGAATCAAGCCGCAATAGTTGTTGTCAAAAACTGGGCAATTTAATTTTTTACATGAAAACGGTTGTGCGCATTCTTGTGCAAATTTCAGTAAATTTTCTACACAGTACGAAGCAAATTCCGCGAAAATTTCAAAGGAATCCGCACAAACGTTCTCTAGTAAAAAATTAAATTGCTCACTTTTTAGCAGTGGCTAATGTGGCTGGTTCCTTTCTGCTAAACGCGCTCCAATTGATAAGTTATAACTGGGAAAGTTCAATCACTTCTCAGCCGTGCTTGAAATATTACTAGGCGTTGAGCGATAACTGTTTGAACACGACCGTCGTGCGGAATGCATACTCATCTGTTTTGAAGGCGATTTCTGGGCACAGCATTGACCAGAATCAGTGGTCTCTCTTGTGGTTCATTTTATAAAAATAAAACTATTCAACAAAATGCCGTGCAACTTTTAGTGAATTTTCCTCAAATTATGAAAAATATGATGACAAATAATTGAAAGGCCGTATCTGCTCAGTTTTCTTATTTATGTAGAAAAATAAAACATGAGAAGAAATTCTGCAACTTGTGACGAAGTTACACCTAACTAAGAAACGTAGCATCTATAGTTTCATGTAGGGCATACATATATGTAGGAAAGTTATAAGTTCGACACCCCTATAAAATAATAACTTGGGAAAATTTTCCAGTAGACCTCAATTAAATATGGTATTTCAGTTTTTAACAGTTTATAAAAAAATATTAGTCCATTGAGTTGCACATAACCGTAATAGTCTCTAAGTCATGATATCAATTTTAATCACGGAACTATCATTACGCAAAGGAATAAAAAAAAAAAATCCTGAATTAAAGTGGTCAAATATCCAATTCTAGTAAAAATCATAACTCACCTAGCCTCGCTTGGCTCCTTTTTTGCCTTGTCTTTCTGCGACTTCGTCACTGAAGGAATGTCCACATCGCCCTCAGAATCGTCCGCCGGTAGATCCTCATCAGGGTTCCTTGCAACATTCTCCTCGTCTCCATAGTTCCGGTCTTTGACTTCCGGATCGCTCGTCCTGCTTCTGGTTTTGGATTCCTCTATCCTTCCCGCCGCTTTTCCCTGTCCTTCCCGTTTCTCCGAAGTAGTCGTCGTAGTCATCGTCCTCGTGGTTTCCTCCTCTGCGTCCACACGATTCTTCTGCAGCCAGGATTCATTCGCCTCCTTCTTCGTCGCCTCATCCCTCTTCGCCTCCTCTCCTTTCTTCATTCCCTCCTGCATCGCCTCTACTCTCCTCGCATTCCCGTATAAAAAACTACTCGTCGACTTCCTTCCCAACGTTTCATGATGTTTCTTCTCGTCGTTGACCAGTTTCAGATCATCGGGCGGCTGCCAGGTTTTCACCGTGGTGGCCTGGGTGGTCGTCGTGGTCGTGGTCGATGTCGTGGTGGACTCCGGGAGTTTGATCCCTTGGTCGAACTTGTTCCCGGTCAAGGGACTTCCGCCGTCCCCGTCCTCTTCCTGACCGCGGCTCGAGTTCTCGACTTCGGGCGAGTTGACCCACGAGTGATTCGCGTTGTCCTGGTGGTACCTCGTCCCCGTTAGATCCGTGTCCTCCGTCGTGGAGATCGTCGAATTGTCGGGGGTCTGACGGTATTTGGAGCCGGTTAGATCGGTCTCCTCCGTGACGATGTCCGTGACGATGGTCTCGTCGCTCGGCGCGTTGTCGCCGGTTCCCTGGTGGAATCTGGAGCCCGTTAGGTTCGTCTCTTCGAAGACCTCGTCGATAGCGATGTCTCCGGGTGTTTGGGTCAGCTCGAATTCCTCGGGAGCCCGCGTGCTCGTGACCTGCGCCGATGGGAGAGCCAAGAATCCGTGACTCGCGACGGGTCTGAATCTCTTGCCGTTGGTTACCATTAGAGGACGTGAGATGGGTTTTTTCTCCGCCGGGTGTTTGTGCTTCCTCTTTACCAGATCGAACGCTCTGATGGGTTCGATCTCTTGATCCGGGTCGCCGCTTACTTCGTCGTCTTGGACCAAGTGGGAGTGCGAGTGCGGGAGCGGTTGGGCTCGCACGTGGACCGGAGAGCTGCCGGCCGGTAGGTTCGCGAGGTCCATGAGCCCGAAGGGTCCGGGAGTCGGTTCCTTCAGTTCCGGAGGATTCTTCCTGGACAAAGATGTAAACTTCTATCAAATTGATTCTGGTAAATTTTTATGTCTAGAATTGTGTGAAATTTTGTGTAAAGTGTTTAGTTACCTATTTTTAAAATACTTCAAAAATATTTTACATGGACACTTCCACGAACACAATACGAAAATCTTTCAGGCACACGTTCCTTAGGGTGAGACTTATTTTTTTAAATCGACAAAACCAAATGTTGCACGGTCTTAAATGGTTCTATGTGATAAAAAAACACGGTAGCCAAGAGGATTTTGAGAAAAAAAATTTTTAACCCGGCGCGCACAGAGCCTAAACATCGAGATTTTTCTGGTTTTTTTGGCATTTTCGCCGTATATTTTGATATTTTTGCCAACAACACAGATTTGACGCTAGATGTCCAAAAATTGGTAAAAACCTAGCACATACCTTGCAGATTAAGGGAAAATTTTTGTTTTTCTCCTAGATCACTTTCACTTCGCTTGGTGATGCCAAAACTCTCCGCTCGGCAGCTCTAAAAATCGAAATTTCGCCGTTTTTTAACGTATAATGAACTTTTTGAGCAACCTATAATGGTAGTAAAAATCCGAAAATTTGTGAAAAGCAAGTCCATACCATCAGTATGGAAGGGCAAATGTCAGAAAACTCCTAGGTCTTTCATTTTCTGCCAACCTATGCACACAATGTTGGAAAACCCGTCAAAAATAGCTCAATTTTGACCGTTTTTTCGCGTTCGAAAATTTATTGGACGCCCTGTAATGACAATGAAGGTCCGAAATTTTGTGGAAAGTAAGTTCATACCGTTTGTATGGAATAAAAAATTTTACTTGGTTCCTACGTCTTATATTCTTCGTTCTGCGATACCCGAAATGGCAGCGAAAACGTCAAAAATACCTCAAATTGGCCGTTTTTGGAGAATTTTTTTGAACACCTTGTAGTGGCAGTGGAGGTCCGAAAATTTGTACAAAGTAAGTTCATACCATCCGCAAGGAATAAAAAAATCTACTTGGTTCCTATGTCTTACATTCCTCGTTGTGCGGTGCCCGCAATCACTTCGAAAACGTCAAGAATACCTCAATTCGGCCGTTTCTTCAATGGCGAAATTTATTAGACACCCTGTAATGACTCTAGAAGTTCCAAAATTGGGGGAAAGCAAGTCCGTACCACTAGTATGGAAGGGCAAATTTCAAAAGATCCATAGATGTTTGATTGTTTGTCGCACGGTGTCTTCAGATACACAAATAAGTGAAAAATACCTCCATTTTGACCGGTCTTTCGCTATCAAAATTTAATAGACACCCTGTAATGACAGTGGAAGTCGAAAACTTTGCTGAAAGTAAGTTCATTCCATCTTCATGCAATAAAAAATTCTGCTTCGTTCCTATGTTATGCATTCCTCGTTGTGCGGTGCCCGCAATCGTATCGGAAACGTCAACTATACCTGAATTTGGCCAATTTTTTTTACCAAATTACTTTTCAGACACCCTGTACTGACAGCGGAAGTCCGAAGCTATGTAAGAAGCTAGTGTTGAAAGAAAGGAATGGATAAATTTCGGTATTTTAGACAATTTCGCCTCACTTCAGGGCATCTAGCGACAACAACTATAAATGTAAGGGTCTTTGAAAAATTGCCGTTCCTTTCAGATGTATAAACAACGTAAATTTACTTGGAACTTTTAAGAATCGCTGATATCATACCAGGGTGCCAAAAAAATTTCACACGCGAAAAATTGGCCGAATTCGGGTATACTTGACGTTTCCGATACGATTGCGGGCACCGCACAACGAGGAATGCATAACATAGGAACGAAGCAGAATTTTTTATTGCATGAAGATGGAATGAACTTACTTTCAGCAAAGTTTTCGACTTCCACTGTCATTACAGGGTGTCTATTAAATTTTGATAGCGAAAGACCGGTCAAAATGGAGGTATTTTTCACTTATTTGTGTATCTGAAGACACCGTGCGACAAACAATCAAACATCTATGGATCTTTTGAAATTTGCCCTTCCATACTAGTGGTACGGACTTGCTTTCCCCCAATTTTGGAACTTCTAGAGTCATTACAGGGTGTCTAATAAATTTCGCCATTGAAGAAACGGCCGAATTGAGGTATTCTTGACGTTTTCGAAGTGATTGCGGGCACCGCACAACGAGGAATGTAAGACATAGGAACCAAGTAGATTTTTTTATTCCTTGCGGATGGTATGAACTTACTTTGTACAAATTTTCGGACCTCCACTGCCACTACAAGGTGTTCAAAAAAATTCTCCAAAAACGGCCAATTTGAGGTATTTTTGACGTTTTCGCTGCCATTTCGGGTATCGCAGAACGAAGAATATAAGACGTAGGAACCAAGTAAAATTTTTTATTCCATACAAACGGTATGAACTTACTTTCCACAAAATTTCGGACCTTCATTGTCATTACAGGGCGTCCAATAAATTTTCGAACGCGAAAAAACGGTCAAAATTGAGCTATTTTTGACGGGTTTTCCAACATTGTGTGCATAGGTTGGCAGAAAATGAAAGACCTAGGAGTTTTCTGACATTTGCCCTTCCATACTGATGGTATGGACTTGCTTTTCACAAATTTTCGGATTTTTACTACCATTATAGGTTGCTCAAAAAGTTCATTATACGTTAAAAAACGGCGAAATTTCGATTTTTAGAGCTGCCGAGCGGAGAGTTTTGGCATCACCAAGCGAAGTGAAAGTGATCTAGGAGAAAAACAAAAATTTTCCCTTAATCTGCAAGGTATGTGCTAGGTTTTTACCAATTTTTGGACATCTAGCGTCAAATCTGTGTTGTTGGCAAAAATATCAAAATATACGGCGAAAATGCCAAAAAAACCAGAAAAATCTCGATGTTTAGGCTCTGTGCGCGCCGGGTTAAAAATTTTTTTTCTCAAAATCCTCTTGGCTACCGTGTTTTTTTATCACATAGAACCATTTAAGACCGTGCAACATTTGGTTTTGTCGATTTAAAAAAATAAGTCTCACCCTAACGTTCCTTCAAATTTCAAAAACTTTCCTATAAAAATTTTGCAAAAAAAAAATTCCAATTATTTCTCAGCAATAATTGAATCTATAGTATATTAAATTGTAGGTGTTTAAGTAAGTAGCGTATAGCCGATGCACTAACCCTTCCATTACGCAGCCCACGATCTAGCCTCCATCCTTTTTGATGTTGACGCGGAGTCACCTGTTCTCATACCCGCTTGTTTTGATAATGTTCTTAACATTGTTACCTTCCAGCCAAAGTATCACAAGCGCCATGCGACGATGAAAAATTTCCGCCGCCATTTTATTTTTTTACAGAGAAATTGTTCAACGAAGCCAACCGAAAAGTTCACTGAATTTTCTTTGTGCTGCCGATAAAATTCAGTGAAATTTTCGAACAGATTCAACCAAAAATTTCTCTGTAGAAGAACCAAATGGTGGCGGAAATTTTAAAACGTCGCATGACGCTTGTGATATTTTGGCCGGAAGGTGACGACATCTCAAAATACCTTTTTATCCCAGTATATCTGTGATTGAGTTTGTACACGGAGAAAAAAACTTCGTGCGTGAGACCCAAAGTATAGGTCCTATGGATCTCTGAAGTTTTCGGATTGAGCATCCGAACACTTATACGGTCCAGCTGCTGAGGTTCGGATCACACATCTGAAACTTCAGTTCTCACATCTGAAGTGCTTCGGTTTTCACATCCGAAAAACTTCGGTTCTCACATCTGAAGTACTTCAGATGCAAGAACTGAAGTTTCAGATGTGTGATCCGAACCTCGACAGCTAGACCTTAAGAGTTCAGATGCTCAATCTGAAAACTTTCCATATGACCTGAACTTCGGGTCCCACGCACGAAGTTTTTTTCTCCGTGATATCTAGAGCGGGGATCTGCGGGCCGATTATTGAAACTGATGGACAAAGCGATCGACAAAGAAGACATAGGGAGTATGGAGCGATCCTATTGGTTGACATGGTTGGTTCTTACAGACTAAAGCCGGCTCCAGACTACGCGGCATTCGCCGAATATTACTCGCCGAATACCGAATATTTGGCAAGTCCCGCGTAGTCTGGATGGAACATTCGTGTCTACTTGGCTCGTGTTGACGCGAGGCGAGTCACTCGGCTCGGCATTCGCCCCAACCCGCTAAAAGTCGGTTTTTGTGACACGAGTCAAAGGGATCGCGAGCGCGAAGCCGAGCGTCCATCGCGACATCGGGGCAACATCGGGGTGCCATCCAGACTACTCGCCCTCACTCGCCGAATGTTCGCTATAGTTTTGTAGGAAGGGGGCGAAGAAGTACAGCGTTTTCCAGTGTATTTTCTTCACTTGGCGAACATTTGTCCTTTCCTATCAGAAATTCGTTATTTGCCAAATGACGAGCCAAGTACGACTTTCACGAGTAGTGTGGCACTGTACACTCGTGAAAACACTGGAATCTGCCCGTCGCTTCCCGAACCCCGAATATTCGTTGCTCGGCTCGGTACTCGGCGAATGCCGCGTAGTCTGGAGCCGGCTTAAGGAAGAAAATGATGGACTAACTGTCGGGTCTTTAGTGCGTTGTCGTTAGTTAGTCCATTACCTATCTCCTATGTCCATTGCCACCACCTGCTTCCACCAATAGGATCCCTCCAAATCCCTTTTGTCGTCTTTGTCTATAACTTTGTCTATAATAAGTTTCAATAATCGGCCCGCTGAGATGGCTTACCGGACCGACGTGGGGCCGTCCTTGGCAATCGCTGCCATACTTGCGTTCGCAGTCGGATGAGTCGCTGCTGGCGTTGTCGTGGGTTGTGTCGTGGACGCAACCTGCGAGACGTTACCGGAAGGAGGAATCCTGGATACCGGTTTCGCGTGCTCTATCGTCTGAGAGTACTTGTTCCCATGCAAACTGCTCTCCTCGGGACCATTCTTCGAGCTACCGTCCGACTCGAAGAGATCGCGATCCTGACCGTATCGATTTCCGGTGAGGTTGCTCTCTTCCGTCGTCGCTCTTTCGGTCATCACTTCCGGTTCGGATGGAGGTTGGGCTTGGTTGAACCGGTTCCTGGTCACGTTGGGCTCTTCGTTTTCGCGCTGACCTCCATGCTGGAAAAAGGATTTGCAAGCGGGAAAGAGCCTTGTTAAAAATGGGTCGAAATTCGCCCCTTTTTAGGCCCTCGATTTTGCAAACGGGAATCGCGCCAAATTGTTGCATATGATGCCCTAAGTCTCTGGTAAAAATTTCAACTTGAGTTGAAAAGTGGTTTCGGAGATACGGGGGGGTGAAGTGGGGGAGTTGAGCGGCTGGCGTGCGCTATTTCCGCGGCTGTTCCTCGCCAAATCTTCGTTTTGATGTCACCCGTTACATGTTTTTTTATGTAATTTTTCGCGTACTTTCCATTTCTGGCCTTAAAAATTACTTACAACTACTTTTCAAGGCGCTAGGGGGTGAAAATAGGGGTTGAACGGCCAGCTGCGCGCTCTTTCCTTGGCTGTTCCTCGCCAAATCTTCGTTTTGATGTCACCCATCACATGTTTTCCTATGTAACTTTTCGCGTATTTTCCGTTTCTAACCTTAAAAATTACTTACAACCACTTTTTAAGGCGCTAGGGGGTGAAAGTGGGGGTTGAGCGGTTGGCGGCACGCTCTTTCCGCGGTTGTTCCTCGCCCAATCTTCGTTTTGATGTCACCCGTTACATGTTCTTCTATGTATTTTTTCGCGTACTTTCCATTTCTGGCCTTAAAAATTACTTAAAACCACTTTTCAAGGAGCCATGAATTTTGTTCGCATTTTTTTTTTTTTTTAAATTTTTTTTTTTAGTTTTTTTTTGAGTTTTTTTAATTGATTTCGTATTCTTCCCCAAGATCTATTCGTGCCGTATATTTTCACGTTTTCTCAGTGTACCTCCCACGGCGCACGAGAATATACGCATGATTTCATCCGAACATAAATGTTTACACGCCTAAATGATATGCAAAGACGAGCGTTCGTAGAAGGGAGATGGTAGAATAATGGCAGAATCATCAAATGAAGCTTTAAAGTTTTCATGAGGGGGGGAGGCACATTTTTAAATCGACAAGTTGCCATAGCTCTTAATTTTTTATACTTCCCTTGACTTAATTAGGGTGACGATTGGTCTCTCAGAGTGAACGTGTAAATGTATCTGTGGTCATAATATCCTTAAATACGGCGTGCAGGCTGGTAATGTCTGCTTTTAAATAAATAAGTAACGAAGTAAAGGACAGATTTTTTAATAATCAGATTAATGTACTGCCCGGGGCATATCTCAGATTTTTCCCCATATTTGCCATGTCATGTTGGCGTGTGAACATTTATGTTCGGATGAACTCATGCGTATATTCTCGTGCGCCGTGGGAGGTACACTGAGAAAACGTGAAAATATACGGCACGAATAGATCTTAGGGAAGAATACGAAATCAATTAAAATAACTCCAAAAAAAACTAAAAAAAAAAATTTAAAAAAAAAAAAAAAAAAAAAAAAATGCGAAAAAAATTCACGGCCCCTTGAAAAGTGGTTTTAAGTAATTTTTAAGGCCAGAAATGGAAAGTACGCGAAAAAATACATAGTAGAACATGTAACGGGTGACATCAAAACGAAGATTGGGCGAGGAACAACCGCGGAAAGAGCGTGCCGCCAACCGCTCAACCCCCACTTTCACCCCGTAGCGCCTTAAAAAGTGGTTGTAAGTAATTTTTAAGGTTAGAAACGGAAAGTACGCGAAAAGTTACATAGGAAAACATGTGATGGGTGACATCAAAACGAAGATTTGGCGAGGAACAGCCGCGGAAATAGCGCACGCCAGCCGCTCAACTCCCCCACTTCACCCCCCCGTATCTCCGAAACCACTTTTCAACTCAAGTTGAAATTTTTACCAGAGACTTAGGGCATCATATGCAACAATTTGGCGCGATTCCCGTTTGCAAAATCGAGGGCCTAAAAAGGGGCGAATTTCGACCCATTTTTAACAAGGCTCTTTACTGAAAATTCGATCGATCGAATATAAAAGATTGGAAAATTGAGAAAGGACTAGTGGTCGCCCATCAGTTAATGTTAAGGTGATTCGATGGACGCCATATTTTGTGCCAGAACGGCATGCGATATATCGCATCAGCTGGTTCAATTTTTTCAGCTACTCGTCATTTTTCTCCAATTTTGAGATCGCAATTCTGTTGTCAGGAGACTAAACCACTCACTTACCAATTTTAACAAAGAAATTCACAACGTAATGAAGGTGCGGTTTTTAAAGTATCTCATTCGAGTGCAGTTTCGATATCTGTATCGGATGCGATGTTTTCCCTCTAAAAAAAACACGCCTTTCTTACGTTGAATTTCTTTGTTAAAATTAGTAAGTGATTGCTTAAGTCCTGACAACAGAATTGCGATCTCAAAATTGGAGAAAAATGACGAGTAGCTGTAAAAATTGAACCAATTGATGCGATATATCGCATGCCGTTCTGACACAAAATATGGCGTCCATCGAATCACCTTAACAACTAATCGAGAAATTCTGTGAAGTTGTCAAAAATTTCATATTTTTTCTCGAAAGAAAACGGCCTATGTATTTTCCCCTCGAATTTGGGGACTCACGCACGGAGGACCAAGTCAATAGGAGAGGTCGGACAAAATTTGGAAAGTTTAAAAGCTTATACCTCAGTTTATACAAAACTTTGAGGTTCTAAAAGTGGTTTCACTGCCTTCCTTGTGAAATCTGCTGCTAAAAGCACCCCTGAAAATTTAAAATGTGACGAAATAAATATAAAAATTTGCAGTTTTAGTCAAAAAGTTCATGTCCGACCTCCCTGAGTGACTCGATCTACTGTGTGCGATATACATCTTTGGATATGAAGTGAACTTCCTCAAGCTGATTACGAGACGAAAAGAAGAAGATGAAGACGACGAGATGGAAAAAAAATAATAGGAGAAAGAGGAGACGGTGCTGAAGCAAGAAAAAGAGAATAAAAAGGAAAGAGAGGAGGATAAAATAAAAAGAAAGAAGAGAGAGAATAGAGATAGAAGGAGGAAAAGAAAAAAAACTTTTTTAGGGGAAGTAATTCAAGTTAGCAGAAATAAAGTTGCTACGGATCTTGTAACATTAGACTCTCGGTGCCTAATTATTTTTTGAGTGCATACCAAGTTAAATCATAAACCCACTTAGCTTTGGACTTAAATAAAAATCTGCAAAATTTATCTACTATAAGACAATACTAATACTGGAGAACTAATACAGCGGTAGCGAGTTTGCCACGCGAGTTTCCTGGCCGTGGATTTCTGTCCTTTGGACCCCTGCAATTTCTGAGGATGCAAATTTTTTGAAACGGAAGATCTGTCAATTATCTAAAGCGTTGGTTACACGATCGATTTGCTCGTCAATATGTTGAGGTCATGCACCTTCTTGAAAAAAGTACGATTTTTACAAACCTTGTAAATTTCAACCGCATAACAATGCAAATCGGCCTTTGTAAGGCTGGCTGTAATGATTTTGCCCCCATAAAAAGTAATATAATACCACAGAAAATCCATCGCATTATTCTCAAAGAGTCTGCCTCTATCTTAGAGTTTGTATAAATTATTGAATTGTTTCTTCCATTTTTTGTATTTTTTTAATGGATGAATAATTGTTCTCCATCGCAAGGATCTATTTTTGTAGTTGAAGGGCTGCATTTCATTCAAATTTTGTGAAAAATGGCTCCCTAAGGTTCCTACGTCAGATACCTCTCACTTTAGACCATCCTTATTCCTTAATCGCAATGAAAACCGTGTGAGACCTGCCTGAGGAATGGCGCTATTTGGACTCCATTTTTCAATTTGGAACTATAAGTTCTGGCCCAGTTTAAAAACAACGTATATGTCATTGGTTTCCGTATGCACATAAGTGTTTTCTCAGATGAGCCAGAATCTATAGTTCCAAATTGCAAAATGCAGTTCATTTAAGGAACGGAGCAACTAGACCGCATTAATCAAGGAGAAACCAAGTCACATCAGTCATTGCCAAATTTTTTAGAAAGATTTATTTTTTTACGGAGCAACGATAGTGTAGATTCTCGTAACAATTTCAGGGAATTTCCTCTTCGGCATAAAATAAAATTCCTAAAATTTTCGAAGGAATCCGTACAACCATTCTCCTGCAAAAAAGTAAATTGTCTGGTAAAAGGACCCCGCACACCTCTTTTGGGAAGCTGCACCATGAAGAATTGCCTTCTGACTTATGAATTTTGATTCTCCTCAAGATGCTGATCAAAAGTTATAATTGCGCCAACTGTCTACGATGCACCGTTTTCGCAAAAAACCTATGAGAAGATTCAATTATTCGGTGATAAAAAGCCAGAAAGATTCCTCATTTCAGTGCTCGATTGACAAGCGGCTGTGTGTCAACAAGGAAATTATGGGGACTCCCGCACCGAGCGGCAGTCTTATCTCGGATTCCGCACGCCGTTTTGCTCGAACACCATCCAAATCAGATTCTTGAGGAGCATAAGAACAGGAAGTCTGAACGTCTGCTTCTACCGGGCGAGTGCGGGAGGGAGATAGCCCCTGAGTCGGCAGGTACAGATAAGAAGACGGACACATGCTACGTTTTTTCCTTATTCACATCGAGCCTGTTCTCAAATGCTTTGTTCTTTTTTATTCATAGTCGCCGAATAATTGAATCTTTTCATGTAGGTTTTCTGCGAAAACGGTGCATCGTAGAAAGTTGGCGCAATTATAACTTTTGATCAACATCTTGAGGAGAATCGAATGACATAAGTCAGAAGGCAATTCTTTATGGTGCAGCTTCCCATAAGAGGTGTGCGGGGTCCTTTGGCAGTGACTGATGTTGTAACTTGGTACCTTTCTGCATTAAACGGTCCAACTATGAATAATGGAACCAATTATTTTCCAAATCACGTAAACGCCTATCTCTATTTTGGTGGTAGAGGGGTTGTGTTTTCTTATATTTTTTCGGTATAATCAGTCATGTCTGATTTCAAAAAAGCCCTCTAAAAGAACATACATTTTATGGAATTCGAAGGTTGTCAACAAAGCGAATAAAACGGGGTCTCATGTTTTTTCATTCGCAATTTTGGAGCTTCCGTGATTTGGAATTATAATCGGTGCGATTAAAGGCTAACTAGTCCAGCATAAGATACTGAAAAATCTCGCGTTTTCTTCGGAAAACTCACGTTTGAACTTGCACTGTAGTCTCCAGAGCTTGTTCTCTCATTCTCCGGCTCGTGCGGCCCCATGGTTTCTTCATGGATGTTACTGGCTTTCGGCTCATGAGTGTCCTCCTCCGCAGACTTCTCTTCATCTTTTCCTTGTTTCGCTGCCGTTCCTTTAAGGTCGCTTTCCTCTCTGTCATTGGGATGAGGCGAGACATGGATCCCTTGCGACACTTTCTCTCCGGATGGGACATGTGCTTCCGATTGGCCCTCTTCGTGGTCCTTTCCCTTTAAGATGACCTGCAAGAAAGATAGATATAATTCGGATGAGTTTTTTAAATCAAAAAGTTTAGTGGGGGATGAATAAATGAATTGTTTTTGAAAAGGAACAAGTACATTTTCATATGAGCCCTTGAGTGCTTAAAAATATATGCAAACTAGAGCTCATCTGGAAACGGACTTGTTTCAGTTTCAAAACAACTGATTGAATAATGGTTGGGTGTAGAATGGAAAAGTGGAAACATATTTTTTCCTCAACGCCATCGTTTATAACATCCCTCTCTCTCTTTGAAGTCGAATTCAAGGGGCACGGGACTAAGCAGCAGGGCCGGACTGGCCATAGGGGCGGGGAGGCGATCGCCCCCTAACAATTTGCCGCAGAAGCCCTGGAGGGGCCCCCGCGGCGATTTTTCGATTCGTCGTTTTTTTCCCCGGTAATGTTGTAATTTTCCAATCCTTTACAGACACTACATGCCTCAAAATCCTTGAAAGTTTGTTTTTAAGAGACATAAAAGGTCGCCTAAAGTTTATAATACAGAATATACAGGGAAATCTAATGGGCTCTTGGGGCCCCAGAAATGATGAAGGGGCCCGGGCCTCCGAAGAATCCTGAGAATGGGTTATTTTGAAGTTCAAACACTCTTGAATTTGACTCCAAAAATGCTTAAAATTGCGCTTAAAAAAGTGTGAAATTTTTAAAATTTTCCGAGGGAGGGGCCCCCGAACGACGCAGGAGGGGCCCCCAAATCTAGGTCGCCTCCTAACTTTTCGACTGCCAGTCCGCCCCTGCTAAGCAGCGGCGGTATAAGCACAGTGCCTCCCAGAGCAACCCTTAACCATACAAAGTATAACTACCCTCATTTACGTGAACTTTCCTATTTTGCAAACTGATAATTATTTGTACAAATTAAACAGAGAACTCTCAAAAACATGGGAGCCTCCGGTGCATTTCGACGGTAAAACTACCAGACCACATATTCGACGGTGAAACTACCAAACCACGTATCTCGTTTGCGGTGTTTAAAAATCTACGCTCACATTTTATTTTTTTGAAGTAGACCAAATCAATATCATTCCTTGAAATTTTCACAGAATTTTCTCCGCACAAAGAGGAAAAATCACAGAAATTTTCAAGACAGGATGTTAAGTAATTTTTCATTTAAAAAATAAAGTATGACAGGAAGTCTGCGACGTCGCAAACCGAGATACGAGGTTTGGTAGTTTCACCGTCGACATATCGGTTTGCGACGTTGCAGACTTCCTGTCATACTGTAATTTTTAGATGGAAAACGACTCAACGTCAATTCTTGAAAATTTTCCTAATTTTTCTTCTCTGTATGAAAACTTCAAGGAATGATATTGGTTTTGTTCTCCTCCACTAAAATAAAATGGGAGCAGAGATTTTTAAACGCCGCAAACGAGATACGTCGCACAGTGGACAGAGTCAATTAGAGAGGTCGGACGTGAAGTTTTTTACTAAAACTGCAAATTTTTATATTTACTTCGTCACATTTTAAATTTTAACGGGTGCTTCCTCAAGAAAATTTCACGAGGGACCCAATGGAACCATTTTTAAAATCTCAGAGTTTCATTTTTACGGAGTTATAAGCTTTTAAAGTTTCCAAATTATATCCGACCTCTCCCATTGATTCGATCCACTGTGCGTCGTCTGATAGTTACATCGTCGATTAAAATTCAGACGCACTGAAAAAAAACTCTCGGCGTATTTACCAAGGTCCGTTGGTACCTTTACCATCTCACTTTTTTTACCAATTATTGGTAATTCTACCAAGACAGACTGGTAAGCTTACCTAAAAACCGGAATTTTTACTGTTTTTTTCAGGTAAGAATACCACTTTTGTTGGTAATCAATTCCCGGTAACTTTGCCATTTTATCTCGGTAATTCTACCACAGTCGATAACACATATTGGCGTTTTTACCGGGGTCCAGTAAAATTACCGAGAAAGTCGATAATTTTACCGAGATATCGCGGTAAAATTACCAATTCCATAAATGGTAATTTTACCAAGAAAAAACTGGGATCAAATAGAACCCTGAATTCTTGGTAATTTTACCCTTTTCTTAGTAAATACACCGAGATTTTTTTTTCAGTGCGAAAAAGTATAAGTCAAAGGGAATAGGAACCTTCCCTGAAAGTCTCTTTCTCCATAAACGATCAAAAGTAAATAGTCCGTTAGATATTCGATGATATGCCAATTTCGAAGTTTTTATTCGGTGTGATAGTTTTAAGAGATAGAGTTCAGTGACCCTCTTGAAATCATTCTTAAAATGTAGTTAAAACACTGGCGCGCATGCTGTCTCACCTTAGGGCTCTCGTCGTGGATTTTCATCGATTGCCTTGGGGTCTCGATATTTCCCGCATGTGCACCGAGCATGGAGAGAAATTTTGGATCGATGATTTTTGATGGATGCACGTTGGTGGGGTCTATGAGGCTTGCTATTCGCATATCATCAAGCGCATTGCCGAACGCCGTCGGCGTGTAAAGTAATAAAAAATTCACTACGAACCACAAGAATTTCATTTTCACAGGTAATTTTTGGTCAAATTTAAAATGGAATTTATTCAATTTGTCATGGACTGGGCAGAATTTTGAAGAGAAGCATGATGCCATAACCTAGAATAAACAAGGGGGCGACTCAGCTGATTTGGTTGGAAGCAGAGGCGTTCCCATGTTGCCAAACTGTGGACAGTATTAGACTAAAATATTCTCTGATTTCCTCTCATCCCATAACCTGACTACAGAGGTGTTAATGGCCATGCCTGCTAATGCACTGATCACTTCTACTGCAACTTAAATTCCCGTCTCATATGAAATTGCGAGTGACCGGCGCAACTTCATAAGAAAATACACTTATTATGCTTTGATTTTTTTTTTTTTTCACTGTGACTTTTTCCTTATCTGTATAAGTGGAGTAGGGGTAGGCCTCATGGACACCCTTAATTCCACCCATGACCGTTGGTAAGATAGCAGAGACCCCGCACGCCCCGCACTGTGCGGGGTCTCTGCAACCTGTTCTACCGTATGAACATTCGAGAGTTGCCTTTCCGGGATAAAACATGTATTTTCGAGGAAAGTTAATTCATATCCTTGAAACGTTCAGATATTCTAGACCAAATTGCGAACAAAATTGTCTGCAAAATTTGAAGGAAAATATTCAAAATTTTGAAAATGAATTTTGAAAATTTTTTCTTGAAATGTTCAAATATTCTAGACCAAATTGCGAACAAAATTGTCTGCAAAATTTGAAGGAAAATATTCAAAATTTCCCCGATATATTTGTTTTTTATTAAAGGAAATTTAGCAAAATCTGAAGGCTCATACGGCGCTCTTCCTAAGTACGGCAGTATTGCGTCTGACAAGAGAAGTATACAGCGTTTCCGCTCTAAAACTTGTGTCGGAATCACACGCTGAATGTGGCTTGAATGTGGGAGTCTTCGGCCCAGCAAGGAGGCTAAGCAACCATTGGATAATGTCAGATTTGCCTGAACTTTTCGAATAGCTTTGATACAAATTTGGATAAAAATAACTCGAATTTGCGACATTTCAGCCGTTGAGCGATGACTGATGACTTCCATATTCAGCTGCCAAAGTCAGCGTGTGATTCCCGCTAGCAGTAAAAAAAATGAAACAACTTAAAAGCAACATGGAGGAATGGAGATGTTGCATGTGTGAAGAATTTGCGATTTGACTATCGATTCATATGTAATTGTTCGAGAGAAATACGATGGTGCCACTGATTTTCTCTGAAATCAACTCCCAAGCTCAAAAAAAGCTCTCGAGTTGAGGCCAAAATGGAGGGGATATCCCACGCTATCCTGAGAGTCCACCTCTACGTCAAAATAAACTCTCCATGCAAAGACAGGGAGCAAATACACTAGCAGTGTTGCCGTGTTTCCAATTTTAGAGTCCCCAAATAAAGTGGCAGCTCTGTCAATGTATTTGCTCCCTATCTTTGCATGGAGAGATTGTCTTGATGTAGACGTGGACTCTCAGGATAGCGTGGGATATATCCCCTCCATTTTGGCCTCAACTTGAGAGCTTTTTTTGAGCTTGGGAGTTGATTTCAGAGAAAACCAATGGCATCATCGTGTTCCTCGCGAACTTTTACGTAAGAATCGACAGTCTAATCGCAAATTCCTCACACATGGAACATCTCCATTTGCAGAATAGGATTCATTACAGGGATCTGTGGAAGCGTGGGAGGAGCGGAACTAGGAGAGACAGAAGAACGAGTGCGGGAAAATGAAGACGACGACGGACCGAGTTGGAAGATAAGCTGTTTTCGTCGACGAGGGCGTCGCAAGAGGCGGGCTGCGGCGGGATGCGCTCGCCGACGTATTGCCGGATCCAGTCCAGGTAGGGGCAGACGTACATGTAGACGTCGATCCAGCCCTCGGCGCCGCACTCGGGGTCGCCGGCGAAGGCCCGGACGCAGAGGGGTGGCGTCGGGTAGAGGACGTGCGCCACCCCGACCAGCTCCTCCTCGCAGATGAGCGGGCCCCCCGAGTCCCCCTTGCAGATCCCGTGCCCCGGCGTCTTCTCCAGGCATAGCACCTTCTCCTTCCTCCTTCTGCAACAGGTCAACCACTTCCATGGGCCCAATCCTGGTACTTTACACGGGGAAAAAAACTTCGTGCGTGGGACCCGAAGTTTAGGTCATATGGATCTCTGAAGTTTTCGGATTGAGCATCTAAACACTTTAGGTCCAGCTGCTGAGGTTCGGATCACACATCTGAAACTTCAGTTCTTACGTCTGAAGCACTCCGGTTTTCACATCCGAAAAACTTCGGTTCTCACATCCGAAAAACTTCGGTTCTCACATCTGAGGTACTTCAGATGTAAGAACGGAAGTTTCAAATGTGTGATCCAAACCTCGACAGCTAGACCTAAAATTTTCAGATGCTCAATCTGAAAACTTCAGAGATCCACATGACCTAAACTTCGGGTCCCACGCACGAAGTTTTTCTCTCCGTGCGGTAGTTCAGATATGTGACCCGAACTGCAGTAGCTGGATCGTACACTGGAAAAAGAGTAACGCGCTATATGGACATTCCGTCCGTTCCGGGCTCAGAGGCGGAAGCGGGAAGTTACGGGTGTAGGGGCAGTAGCTTCGATTGCTCCGGGTGCTACGGCCGGAACTTCCGGCCTTTGACAATGAGCCCGGAACGCGGACGATACGTCTATTCATATAGCCCGTCAGTACGGCTCCCACGGCCGAAGTTTTTACTTTCTCGCTCCCCTCGTGGGTAGAGGAAGTATTTTTCAATGCATAGAAATCTTACAAAATTTCACTAATTTTAACTAGGTGTCCGTTGAATTCGTCTCCGACTGAATTGAAAGGCACATTGTCGTGAAATGGAGCCATGATTGGCAGGCCCGCCACATCCCATTTCGGGCCCTGGTACCAATTTTCTGGCCCGGGCCCCTAGCACAGGGGGGAGGGGGGGTCCGGGGGGCTTCCCCCGGGAAATTTTTGAAATTTTAAATCTATTTGGACGCATTATGAAGCTCTTATGATGGAGATTTTCCATCAATTTCTGCAGAATAATTACGCCTTTTTGTTTACTTTCAGCACCAAAAACTTTCGAATTGTTGCATTCAAAACATCTATACATTTTGTTTTGGTTGGGGCAGATGATAATTTTCAATTCTATGGGGAGCCGGGCCCCCCTGGACTCCCCTTTCGTACGTCTATGGCAAGGGAGTTAAGCCATTGAAGTCGCGGATGCCCAGAAAGGAGCCTCTTAGCATCCGACAACGGAAGAAAATGAAACACAGTTACTAAAAATATCATTCTACATATACTCAAAATCTTGAAAATCTCTAAAAAAGTAAGAAAAATTGTATAGTGCCCTAGCGTGTTTTTGAAACTTTATTCACCTTTTGCGGAATTTTTAGGGTAATTTTTTCACTTTTCCCTACGAGACAAGGGTTACACATGAATTCGTAGTGGTTTGTCACCTGCGTCACGGGCCCCTCCAGGGCCCGGGCCCCGGTACCAAGGACCCAGTATCCCCCCCCCTTGTGGCGGGCCTGATGATTGGTGCTAGATACTATACTCACGGGCTGACGCAAGGGCAAGATTCGTCGCCGTGCGTGGCGATGACGGAGACAAGTTGGAGCGGGCCCATGTTCCGTTCGGTGAATCTCTCTCGACCCCAACCGGCGGCCGTGCAGTTGCCTTTGCGAGGGCTCTCGAACCACGGCTCGCCCCGCAGCTTGATGCTCGATACGTAGACGTTGTCTAGAATAAATGGCCGCTCTACCTGAAAGAAATTCCCTCTATGATGTCGCAATTAGACGCTGAATTTAGCAGCTGAATGTGGAAGTCAACAGTCATCGCCCAACGGCTGAAATTTAGCAAATTCGAGTTATTTTCATCCAGATGTGTATCAAATCTACTCGAATAGTCCAGACAAATTCAAAATTGGTCCGATGGTTGCTGAGAATCGTTGCTGAATTTTGCGCGTCACGCGCAAAATTCAGGCATCGGGCCGATGACTTCCACATTCAAGTCACATTCAGCTCCCACATTCAGCGTGTGATTGCGGTGTCACTCACAGAATCTGAAGTCTATGCTGCCATGATAAGGAAGAACGCCGTATCAACATTCGAGAGTTGCCGAATTTCCTTCGATAAAATGATTATTTTTGAGGAAAGTTACGAATATTTTCCATCGAATTGTCAGAGTCTTTGGGTGAAATTGCGAACAAAATCATCTGGAAAATTGGAAGGAAAATATTTACAAGTTTACCAGAAAATTCGTGTTTAATCGAAGGAAATTTGGCAACGGCAGAAGGTTCACGCGGCGTTTTTCCTTAGCACGGTAGTACGAATGGCCGGTGGAATGAAAATTAGTGACAAGAGTACAAGATTTCATCAATACCCGGTGATAAGGGACCGTTCAAATATTACGTAACGCATTTGGGGGGGGGGGGGGTTGAGCCAGCGTTACGGTGCGAAACAAGGGAAAGGGGGACGAGCCCAGCGTTACGTAACAAATCCGAGCCAGTGGATGGGATGTAGGGTTGCGTGACGAGTGCGTTACAAGTGGTAAGGATGGGGGGTTAAAAATCGGAATGAGGCCGTTACGTAATACTTGAACGATCCCTGAGTAGACTGGCATGCTGAGGAAAAACACCGTATGAACATTCGAGAGTTGCCAAATTTCATTCAATTAAGGTGATTCGATGGACGCCATATTTTGTGTCAGAACGGCATGCATTATATCGCATCAATTGGTTCCGTTTTTTCAGCTACTCGTCATTTTTCCCCTACTTTGAGATCGCAATTCTGTTGTCAGGAGACTAAAGCACTCACTTACCAATTTTAACAAAGAAATTCTACGTAATAAAGGCGTGGTTTTTATAGAGAGAAAATGTCGCATTCGAGTGCAGTTTCGATATCAGTATCGAATACGTTGTTTTCTCTCTGAAAAAACCACGCCTTTATTACGTTGAATTTCTTTGTTAAAATTGGTAAGTGAGTGCTTTAGTCTCCTGACAACAGAATTGCGATCTCAAAATTGGAGAAAAATGACGAGTAGCTGAAAAAATGGAACCAATTGATGCGATATATCGCATGCCGTTCTGACACAAAATATGGCGTCCATCGAATCACCTTAAATGTTTATTTTTTGAGAAAAGCTATGAATATTTTTCCTTGAAATTTTCAGGGGCTCTAGGTGAAATTGCGAACAAAATCATCTGAAAAATCTGAACAAAGAAGGAAAATATCCAAAAGTTTACCAGGAAATTCGTGTTTTACCGAAGGAAATTTTGCAACGCCTGAGGGTTCATACGACGTTTTTCCTAAGTACGGCAGTAGAGCGCGGGTGCAGAAACTTCCTGACCATTTGATAGCGATGGCGTGAAATTATCCAAAAGCTACGGGATGAGAAGGCCGTCTCTGTACGGTATGAAAAGCACGGTAAAAGAACATTTCCCTCGAAAAACCTTGATGGAAATCACGTGATTTTGGCGAAACCGTGACAATACCTTTTTTACAGAGCAAAAAATGTCTTCATTTGAAAATTTTGAGAAATCAGATCTTCAAGATGAGGATGATTTGGATTACATTTTGCAATAAGGAACCACTATTTATAGCTCATTTTGGAAACAACATATCGTCACCTTCCAGGCAAAGTATCACAAGCGCCATGCGACGTTTAAAAATTTCCGCCGCCATTTCATTTTTTTACTGAGAAATTGTTGGTTGAATCTGTTTGGAAATTTCACTGAATTTTATCGGCAGCACAAAGAAAATTCAGTGAAATTTTCGGACAGCTTCGTTGAAAAATTTCTCTGTAAAAAAATATAATGGCGGCGGAAATTTTTAAACGTCGCATGGCGCTTGTGATACTTTGCCTGGAAGGTGACGATATGTGCCATTGGTTTCCCTATGCGGATATGCGTTTTTATGAAAGAGCCAGAGATAGTGGTTCCTTATTGCAAAATTTAATCCATTTGATAAACAGTAAGGGGTGGGACTTTCGGGATCCCTGTGGTAGAATAGTATCAGGAGCGTCATTTGAGGGAGAGGAGGGGGGGGGGCGTTGTGGAATCGGGCCGAAGAAAACCGCTCGACAAGAAGAGGAAGGAAGAGAGAGAGGCGGGAAAATCCTCGGAGGGGTTTTGGAAGACGCGTGTTTGCCGCTCCCAAGGTAGAAATCTGAGCCAAAAAAAAAAAAAAAAACCTTTGCCGATCTTTTTGACCCTGCAATTGATTGAAATTGCTGCATACTATTGCTGTCAAGTAATTCATTTTTGGTTGGCTTATCCGTCGTCCGTTATGAGAGGCTGTCTCAAACCCAAGAATGGCGGACTTTTTAGGGAGGTAAATGAGTAAGTGACCCAAAATTTGGTTTTATTCACTTAAAGCACCGTGAATTTCACTTAACCAACATGATTTAACAAGTATATCTATTTGAATTGGCATGGTATGGGCATGTGCAGAGAATGGCTGATGTTGCCGAAGAAGGTGTTGGAGTGGGTTCCCCCAGATAGGCGACGGAGAGGGCGTCCAGCCAAATGGTGGGTAGAGGGCATCCGTGAAGAGATAGAGAGATGCCAGCCTCCGGAGGATCTCTACCATGACAGATTCCTGTGGAGAGTAGACGTCGCAGAGCACCCTAGCGCGCCGTAAAAGCGGCTCATTCATACATGCATACATATCTATTTGATAGACCAATTTCGAATATGTACCAAAATCTCCTCTCTGCACCTGCACCCAAAAATGCTGCTCTAAATGGACCGCCTTCAACAGAAAGGAACCAAGCCACATCAGCTGTTGCCAAATTTGACTGGGCAATATAATTTTTTGCGAGAGAACGTTTATGCGGATGTCTTTAAAATGTTTAGGGAATTTGCTTCGCACTATGGAGAAAATTCACTGAAAGCATAAAAATCCGCACAACCGTTTTCATGTCAAAAATTAAATTGCTTAATTTTATTTGGCAATAACTAATGTGGCTTGGTTCCTTTCTGTTTAACGCGGTCCAAATGTGCTATACATACCTAATACTTGAACGCAAACCATCAGGGTGGCAAAATTTCATGAAAATTAAAATCTCGAAATTTCATGTGAAATTTCAGAAATTTATGAATGATATTGAAAAATACCGGCTGCTTTTCACGTTCCGCAAAATGTGAAAACGGGTTGCATACTCTAGCCCCTGAAAAGTATGAACTACACTGAGAAAAAACTATGGCTTATAAACCTATTAGAGGTAAATATGGAACACCACTAATAGTAGTACCTCTACATATAATAATAGCACATATACCTTAGTTATGGTACGGGGTACCTTAATTAGGTACAGAGACCTTAGTATGGTTCACAGACCGAGAATCATTAGTTTATTTACGACTATTATAGGTGTTCCATATTTACCTCTAATAGGTTTATAAACCATAGTTTTTTCTCAGTGTATATCACAGCTTCGTGAAATTTCATGAAATATTTCACTGAAATTTCCAACCTTTCATTTCTCTCTTACGTGTTTCATGCCACCCTAGAACCCATAATTCATGTCTCCAGAAAAACCTTAATCGCATCTATTAGGTGGGCGAGGTGAAACTTATACCTGAACCAAGGCCAGATCTCCGTTTCCTGGATTGTGCATTCTGGGAAAATCTGGGTGTTGAACCAAGCGTAAGGCTTTTCTCCGCTGGGCCGCTGAAGTTGAGTCAGCACGCCTTACGTTGCTCTGTCCCGCTATTACCTAAAAACAGGGAGGGGGGGGGGGNGGGGGGGGGGGGGGGGGTTACTTTTGATCAGTGCTCGTGAAAGAATTAAATGGATAGCATTTAGCAAAAAGGAACCAGCGCAATTACAGTGTTGTGAAAATGTTGCTTCTTCATAATTATCTAATAAATCTCCGAAAATAGAAAATAGTTGTTGCATCCAGTCAAAAAATGTTGTAAATTTTAAAGGGAAATAATGGTGTAAATTTTAATACTGTACATATATTCAGTATTTTTAAAAGGAAAAAATAATTTGCACGATTTAAAAACACTGTAATTACGCTGGTTCCTTTTTGCAAAATGCGATCCAAATAGCCGAGAAAAATGCTCAATGCTCCAGTGGCGAGCGAAAGGAAATTTGCGCCGAAACCCATAAAAAAAAACCCGTAAAAAGAGTATTTCCTAACAAATCACGTGCGTTGACTAAATATTTTTTTTAGTAGCCTCATTAATTATTATAATGAATTTTCTTCTATAGCTATAATAAAACTTCAATGCATGATTCGTAGCACGATCTGACGTTCGCAAAAAATCGTCATTTCCATCTTGAGAGAACGCAACTGCATTTCAATGTTGCCAAATTTCCCCTCGCAAATTGAATTTTAAGGAGGACAATCTTGGAAAATTTTACTGATGTAGGTATCTTTTCATCTGATGCGAAATTCAGAAAAAAATTAGAATACAATTTAGGACGACTTTTCCGGTAAAGAGGGCGCATGAGGCTTGCAATGCTACTAAGATTGTGTAATTTTTATAGCGTTTGCGGCAGCTGAAATTAATTCACAATCGACTTCAGTGGCGAAGACAAAATGGGGTCTGAAACCCCCCCCCCCTTGGCCCTTAGCCTCGTTAATTGTACCTTTTCTATGACTTTTGGAGGGAGGAAATAAAATATTATCAGGGACGTACACAAAATAATGTAAATTTACCGTCATGGACCCCCTCCCCCCCCCTTAAAGAATTCCTAGCTGCGCCACTGGTCGACTTACTTCCGTACAATAGTTAGGAAAAACTCGGAGCAAACTCAGGGAAAAATAGGTGAATTTTCAACTAGAAAACTCGATTTCAAAATTTTAGCGGGTGGCTGGAAGTCTCATACACCTTTTTATCGAAAAATTCCTCAATTGCCCAAATATATAGACGGTGTAAGTCGGCAATCACAGGACTCGGTTTGCGAAGTCGCAGACTTCCTGTCATACTTCATGTTTCAAATGGAAAGCTACTCAACTGCAACTCTTTAAAACTGCCGTGATTTTTCTTCTCTGTGCGAAGAAAATTCTGCAAAAACTTCAAGGGGTGATGTCAATTTGTTCTCCTTTAAAAAAATAACATAAGGGCGGAGATTTTCAGACACCGCAAACGAGATAGGTGAGTGCGGACTTACGCCGTCGATATTCTGAAAAATTGAATTGCATGAGTCAATTTAGCAACCTTGGAATAGAGTTACGTCGTTCCTAGACCAGGGAAACAACGAACCATCGACGGGCTCTTGAACAGTGTGCGAGCAGGAGATAAGTTTCGTTGGGGACACGACATCCGGCCGCAGGGGAGAAAATTCGAGAAGCCGACGACGTTTTGCCATTTTGTCTGAAAGCATCGCTTGTCGGTTTTCAGAAAAGGCCGGGGCGGAAAGCGGAAAGAATCCTCAGACGCTTCGACGGATGAGGCGACAGGCCGACGACGCCAACGGATCAAGACACGTCTCAATCTGTCTCCACTTCGCGCGGGCCGATCAGCCAATCACAGAGTGCGAACTGTTGGTGGACCACCCCACCCCCCGCTCGGAGCGCACCGGCGGCCGGCCGGCCGCGGGCAGATTTGGTAGTTTTCAATCAGTCGTCCGCTCGTTACGTTGCTACTTACCTCCGGGCACCGCCGCCGCGGCGAAATGGTTCTGATGGCCTCCTTCAAAGTAAGTCTGAAGGGTTCCACACTATTCTTTTCGAACATTCTGCCCAAATAGAAGTGTTCCGCAAAAACTTGTCGATGTTTAATGAGAACAGTCGCGAATAATTCGTAGCGTGAATCGAAATTTCGCCCGGTGAGTGATGCATGTGTTTGATAAGTATTCCACGGATTTTCGTCGTTCAATCAATAGTGAGAATCGCCGATCATCCCATGATTATCGTGTCTCGCGCTACCCCTCGGTTTATTTCCCGGTGCCCTGACTTTGAAAGTGTACCTACTTGACATTCTATAGATTTTCGTCGTATATTTGAAAGTGTGAATTGCCGATTCAACAGTGCGGTTTTCGGGTGCAGGTGAACAATTTTGTGCGAATCGTTCGATGAACTCGTGTCGCGGTGTTTGACATTTTTATGCGTGTGTGTATGCTTTCCTAAAGCCTAAATTATCAAGTGTGTTCGCGTGGTTCCGTGGCTCCTGTTCAATTTTCTAAGGTTCAATCGATCGAGTGTGTTCATAACTGCCAAGAGGATGCCCAATGTCTGGTCGAAAATTTCTCTCCCAGCCGCCGTTGGTACTGGATTGAGGTTTGAAGTATCCATTATTTCATTAGATTTTGCCCAGATAAGGTGTCTTTCAATGATATTGTAACCCCATCACTATTCATAGTCTGACAACACTTTAATTTTGCAGAAACAATTTTTCAGGTTTTCAGCACTTGCTCAATGTTGATCAACTGAAATTAAATTTCACTCAACGATCATATTGCTTCTAGGATTAGTGATTAAAATATGATTTATTATGGTTTTTGGCTTCTGCTATGTTTCATCGATTGAGTAATAAGTCTCTGCAGACTCTAAATTTTTACTCAGGTAAAGGACCATAGCCCCTGCGCATGAGCCTTATGCATTATTCTAGACCAAAGTATAGACAAAATTTAGAGAAGTGCGAGCAGGATATGTTTTGGAAAAAACCTCTCGCTTAATACAGAACCCGATAAGTACCTGTGTTGAATGTGAGGTTTTTCCTGAAATGGATCTTGCTTCCATTCTCTGAATTTTGCCAATTTTTTGGTCTAGAATGATTCTTTAGGCTCATGCCCGGGGGCTATCATCCTCTATTTGGCTTTTAACTCCAATCTGAAGGGATTTTAAACCTTGACAAATCACCTAAGGTATTATCTCATGGTCATAATGCCCTGTATTTATCTTAATTATTTGTTCAACATGAATATAATACACCTGAGTAAGTTCAGAATGACTTACCACAATTACATATCTTTCCTGTGCAGAATGACTCGCCACCGTTAAATATCTTTCCCTCTTCACTAACATCTTCGCAATCTTGACAAGCTTCTTGTCCCCCAACAAATATTTACTTGAACATATTCTTGAACTTATTTCCTTACTTGTTTGGTCAGGTATTTACATTAAAGATTAGGTGGAGCTTGTGTATTACTCAAAAATAAAAAGTAGAGACAACTGAGACTATAATTTTGCAACCATCTTATCTACAAAGTTACTGATGAAGAATATTGGCACCTCTACCAAAGCTCAAGCCCACTTTAACGATTATGATAAATGTGTGCCCCCCCCCCCACAATTTCTCTTAAGAGTTCCTTTTATTCCTCGCCCCTTAGGACTATACCTTGTTTACAGCTTCCAGTATACACATTATTGTTTCATTCAGCTCCTTCATGAGCAAATAAGGTAATGGAACAGTTGAAAGTATGTAACCAGATATTTTTAATTGTAGCTCGATCATGATCTTTGGCAGTATTTTCTGAGATTCGTGTTCTAGAAAAAAAATTTCCTTGAATCCTCCCCCCCCCTTTCTTTCTCACCTCATACCTTCAAATAGTTCAGAGTCTGTTTTTGTTTTGGTTTAGGGAAGTTTCATGTTTTTCCTGGCGATTGAGATTGTACTGTTCTTTCCAATAGCTTCAATTATCTTAGACTAAACAATTTTCGAATTCATTGAGGTTTTTTTGTCCCTGTTGAATGGTTCAATGGCTATCACTTCTGAAATCATTGTCTGATAAAAGCCCTTGTTTCAACGGATGGTTTGACTGAAATTTATGACGTTCCACTTAGATACATGCGAGGATCACCTGTAGAATTTTTTTTTCCAGCTAGGCAGTAGCAGGTTCCTTCGAATGAACATCATCCTCGAGAACATCAATGCCCCTTTTAATGTGAATGTAGAGAGAATGTTTTCATCCAAGAAAATGTAGTTCTTTGGTGTCAGGGTAAACCCCCCCCCCCCAGCCCCCAGGAATTAGAAATAGGAACATCTGGCCCCCCTCCCCCCGTTCCTCCCAAAAATTCTGCAAAACAGGAAATAGCCTCAGAGCTGGTGCACTTTATTTTTTTATCGAATAACATGCCTGGATAGTGCAGACAGGTTGAGATATTTTTCAAGGATTATTGGAGGAGTTGATCCTAATATTTGCATACGGCCGAAGTTTGCGTTGGAATAGCCTTTACATGCACCTCAGAGAGATCAATATTCCAAGAGTGACCACTGAATTTCCCTTTTTCTTGAGAGACGCAGACTCTTTAAAAATGAGGTAATGGGATCAGCCCTTGTGGGCTACTTGAAGTTTTACAAAAAAAAAAAAAAAAAAAAAAAAAANCTCCAACTATCGATATGAAATTATCAGGGGGACGATAGCATTGTCAGTGAAATCCTGGGGGAGGGGGGGGGGTTCAATTGTCCAGAGCAGTGCATCTGAAGAATTCTCTGAAAAATTTCAATAAGCCACCAAAACCGCTCCTTCAGAAAGTTAATATCCTATTTTAGAGGGGCTGTGACCCACCCACTCCCATCATCCATATGGCGCTCTCAAAAATTGTCGGTTCTACCTAGTGATTTGAAATTCGCAATGCCACAGAAATTCACATTGTCTCCCCTATGTTCTCACTTGCTTTTGAAATTTCATTATCGTCCAAATCCTCACAACCATTTTCATGTTAAAAATTCAATTGCCCTACTAAATGTGGCAACAGCTGATGTGGCGTGGTTCCTTTCTGATTTAGGCGGGAAGGGGCTGATGTGGAGTGGTTTCATTTAGGCGGGAAGGGCGAAGAGGATGGGTAGATGGAAGAGAGAGAGCGAACATTCATGCACTTCCAAAGTGAGGAGATGAGGTCCGCATTGACTCGTGAATTTGTGGTTGGGAGTGAGACTAGACGAAATAAGAATCAAGAACATGCGGGAAAGGGGAAAAATCCAACGCTCCGCTCACAATCAGCCCACCCCGATGCTCGGCTCTGCCGGTTGCTCAGTTTCGCCGACCATCCAACTTTTCTAGGAATTCCCCCGAGCTCGGAAGATTTCAGCCGACAGATTCAGATTTTCGGTTTGAGAGCCTTTGATCGAAGCGAAATCGTTCGCTCACCGTCCCTGATAATACCTGGTTTTCCCCCTCGATCTTTCTTGCAATGTCTTCAGAGTTACGCAACCAAACTCAATTTTCAGATGTAGAGACATATGTGTGTGTGTGTGTGTGTGTGTGTGTGTTCGTCTACGGTTAGCTTCCCCCCTTCTTTCAGGCCGCTTCGGGCCAGACTTCGTCCTCTGACGATTGCCGCCACCAAAGCGTTGGCTGATGAGCCTTTCGGCAGGCACCCCCCCCCTCCCCGCCCTTTTTCCTATCCCACTCCTTATTTTTTCCTATCGCGAAGCACTGCTAACTTGGAAAACGATTTGACAGTCGATCCAGCGACTGGCAATATCTAGATTTACTCAGAAAATTACGCACTTCTGAAGCTCTTTCGAAATTTTCTCGGTTGAACTTAGGGTCTAAATACTTATACTGGACGAACTACGGGTTGACTCAACGCTTCGAAATTTTTCTCGAAACCATCAATTTATCGATCGACTATGGAATGGTCCGCCAAATGTCCTAAGATCCAACACCCCCCCCCTCCCCCGCTATGAATACTTCCGATTTTGTATCCACATGTCAGGGGAGAATAGGATTGAGACAAAACCATTTTAGATTTTCAATTAAAATTTCATATCACTAATGGTAATCTATTAGAAATCAGTAATGAATCCCTGAGCCATTTAATGTCGAGGTGCCAATATTCAAACATACCTACCATTTCTAGCCACCAATTTTTTTTTTTTTTTCTTTTTTTACCCAGTGACTATTAGACGGTCTCTGCGTGAGAGAGTGAAATAAAAATACATATTACCAGAATGATAATTACGGAGTTAAAAATTCAATGTAATTTAGTGAATTGAATTTGAAGTGGCTTCAAATTAAATCAAGAACTTGTCAAGGAGGGCCCCATTATTTTCCCTCTAGTCCATCTGTACATGATGCACCACATCCTTAGGTACGAGAATGAACAAAAATTACACTTCAAACATGTTTCTTACGGACGGGACGGGTACAAGTTTTAGTCGAGGAACCATTGAGTTAATTTCCACTATTTTTAGTTTTACTTTCTACATAAGTTTAGGAATTTTTATTATTGATTTTAAGTAATTTCAAAGAAATATTAAGTGAAGTAATTGTGAATCTCAATTTATTTTTACCTCATCGTGTGTATAATTTCTCATAATTTGCAATGAGTATTCTCAAGTTATACAAAGATTTGGAGTTTGGTAACTATCAGCAGATTTTTTTCACCAATCTCTGAGAAAATCCTATAACCCGTACCAGATGTCATTAGTAGCTTAACTTTTTGTAGATACTGTATCTTAAGACTCATCTGACTCCCTCCTCGCTCCTTTTAGTAGCCTCTTCCCATTGAATTGATCTTTCACCTACCTACTCATTAACTTTTCCTGTTTTTTACTACACACCTAAAATGTCGTATGTCCTTGCTCTTCTCTTTATCTCTCTCATGATCTGTAACAAAATTAACAACTAACCCAACAAAATTAATTCAACGTATCATTTTTACTTTTTGTCTTTAGGTACTGCAGGCAAGTATTGTATTTCTTTTAAAGGTTATTTTTCTTAAATTTTGCGCGGGTGAATGCTGATCCTTCTCGCGTACAGGGGATGGATAGGGGACACGGGACGGGGG